GTGGCTCGCCTTGCATGCAGATCCTGCAGTGGTTACGTGCCCTAAATTAGCTCTCATTTTCCCTTTTGTAATCTAGCCACATGGGCTACAAGGATCATGATTCTTGGCACCCCAATGCAAGACCAATGCAAGACCAAAGCCCACTGCCAAAGGAAAAGGAAATGAAGAGGTGGGTTTAAAATTAATGCCGATGTTACTCGGCCGTCCACAGTTCGAGATGAACTCGGGTCCTGTCCATGGGTGTAGCTTCCATTTCTCACTGACAATGAAATAGAGATCACTTTTGTTTTTATTTGTGGCCAGAGTCAAGGCGAGTATAGAGGAAGAAACCGGTTTCTCGATACTCCATACATAATTTTCCGATTGCTTTACTCTGTGTACCTCAGAGATAGAATCGTGATGGTATCAGAACAAGGATCATTACTAATTAAAGACATCGGTGCTTGAAATCTGCCTTGGAAAGAAACATGGCCACATGGCATGATCTGATCGACGGGGCTATCTGAAACGTGACTTCAGCCAGGAGATGCAGGGGTTTTACGCCTTCGCGTATATTCTAGGTGGACGAAAAAATAAATACCCACAAAAAAAAACACAAAGTCAAAAGAGAATAATCCAACTTTGGTAAACTCCACTTGGTCGAGCTCAGACCTCAAAACTCCTTTGTGATTCTGCGATCTGAGCGTGTGGGGAACCCCAGGAAGTAGACTTGATGTATACAGATGTATATTGTACTGGGACGGAGTCGATGCGAGAGTACTAGACACGTATAGGTCCCGGTAGCATGGATCAAGGTCTTGTAGCTACTCTGTATCTAGTCTGCGTATCCTCGTGGAATACATATTCAGTGACTCTCTCGAAGAATCCTTGCAAGTGTGCTATATTCGGTATGGTGCGCTTTAGTGGAGGCACAAATGCCTCATTTCTAAAATCCGCTTTAATCTCAACCATTTCCCCGAAAGATTCTGTATAGAGCATGTGCATTGGACACCTTATTTAATATACTTATATTGTCAGGCATTTCTTTAATTCCAAGGGGTAGAATATCTAGCTGTGACACTTCTTTAAGTGCACCCGTGACGCTGGGTCAGAAAGACCTCGATAACGACGATCTGCGAACGGGATTGGACCGCGCAGATCGATCAGAACCTCTGTGGACAGAGTTGGAGGAATTCAATAACGGTGCATTGAGCCACCCGTTGTATCCGAGAGATGTGTTACTGGAGTTACGTAGGGGAAAAAAAAGCAGAAAATCGACGAAAATCATGAAAAGTGGGACCTGAACTAGACTGAATTTGTATAATGTACAAGGGTATTTTCCACGTGGACCACAAGGCTATGCCTATTTGAGTTATCCGAAATGTATCTAAAGTTCGAGGCTAATGTACTTGCATTTGCTTTTTTGGAAAACCCTCTCGGGATCATCCGCAATCCCAGGGGTATCTCTATCTTGAACATGGTATTTTACTGTACAGATGAGAATATTCGCTCACTTCCCTAACCATTACGTGATACCTACTAATGTAATATGACTTGCCTAGACCTTGACAAATCAAACATAATAGCCATCCCTTATTGAATCTGAGGTGAGATTCAACTTCCATGGAACAAGATGATGTAACCGCTAGAAGCAGACATACTGCAGCTTCATGAGTTTACCACCTTCTATGCTTGACTGGAACCTCAATTCAACCTGGGGCGAGACCCGGGGCCACCAACAGACCAACGTGACCGGATTGGGATCAAAGAGCCTCTTAAAGCTTGAGAGGGGCTGGTGGGGACAAGCAAAAAACGCGCATTCACGCTGTTAATTTCTTTTGCATGTCTTTTCATTTCATTTTTTCTTTTATTTTTATTTTTATTTCTCTCCTTTTCCCCCTGGTATTCGCAGAAGGAAATGTGTAAATTTGACAGTTTCAAGGGATGTCTAAACAACTCGGGTCAATCCTGGGGTGTCGATCTTGGAAATCCCGTAAATACTTTAAAGGGTCGGGAACATGGGGTCACGTTGATCTTGCACACGTGTTGCGGATAGCTTGGATTTTAAATTAATTGAAATTCGAATATGCGATAGGCAGATTGCTCCTGTTTCGGGCATCGCTTTGGTCGATCAGGAACGAATGAGGGAGCTAGAATATACTGACGGAGTACAACATACATGTTGTATAACAACGGTTGATAACATGTGCCTCCCTGCTGGCCGTGGAGCTTATATCTTCTTAACATGTGACAAGTCAACGTCGCCCAAAATATTATTTTCTCTCGAAAATGTACACTAGCGTGCACGGCCTACTCCGTATCCCCACCCGTGTTGATTTTAAGCATCTAAAAAAAGAACCAACATTTAATCGAGCTCCCTGACTCGCTCTTCTATACAGATGATCACGGCCACTTGTCTGCCCTTCTTCATGGTAATCACCCGTTGCTTACTCGTCTTACGGTATGCTGAAGAAAACGATTCAGAGTAATCTTCATATTTAAAACGGATGTCGGTAGATTTGATTGTAGATTTCGACAAAGACGATATTCCCAAGACTGACAGCTCGGTCTGCAAGAAATCACCGCCAATAAAATTCAGCCGTGGGCAGTATCCAAATGACGACTAGCGGATCCCAACAGCGCTACGAACTAACAAGCGCTGTTTGAAAAGACGGGTTGGCGAGCAGCTTTCGGTAAGATTTGATCTCCCACGATCCACACAGACGCAAGCGAAAAGAGACTAACAACCACGAGCCATGTGGGAAATTGCAAGCACAGGGGGAAATAGCGTGAACCCGTCAAATCCCGGATATATAATATCCCCTCGAAAACGCCATTGGTCCATGATCATCCACCATAATTAATAGCATGTCCCTCTACACCGGAAGTGGTTTAGATCGAGATTATGTACACTGCGATAACAAATGACGATCGATTTTAACTCCGGTCCGAGCGAAAAGAAAAAGAAAGAGAAAGGCAAAAAAAAAAAAAATAAATAAATAAATCAAAGCTTTAATTATATTTCCGGTATCCCCCAGGCTAAGCCCGCTCTCTGACCCTAACCGCAGCAGCCGATCAAACATGGACGAGACCCTCTCCGGTTAGTATACACATGGAGGCAGGGAATGTATGATGCATCATTTGTGTCTAAACTTGGAAGCTGGATAAAACACAGGAGGCTGTGGTAGTTCCCGCATGCTGCATATTGGATTCTTTTTTTTTTTCTTTCCATCTTATGTTGTATATCCAATTACAAAGAGCATTTCAAGACCTGCAAGAATGCCTTGCATTACAGATCATCATTCTCCTTGCTTATGCAGCAATACACATTGCAGACATATGTAAGCATTGATTCAAACCCCTCCCCCACAGCCATCCATCTAGTGTCTGGGATCTGTCTTTGCAAATGTAAACAGTCCCGATAGTGACGAACATCAGCACGGGACATTCACACCTGATCCTTCGAGATCCCCTGCATATGTTGTAATGTGCACGCCCGCTTGTTTTAGTTTATTGTTCCTTGATCCTTTTAGGGATGTGCTTTGCAGAAGGATTCATTCCAGAAATATAGGGGAACCTGGGATAGTGCCAATAGCGTGTTTTAGTGATGTAGTATATTAAGTAAAAAGTTTGGTACAACATAGAGATAGTGTTACCGTCAGATTGCCACTGGGACTTTTGATGCTTGCTCTGCCACGAGGGTGACAGGGAGCTATTCTCCGGCTATGCATGGGTGCATTTGCCCCGGGAGTGTGGAAATTCAATAGTACAATATAGACCATATAGTAGTCGTTCCATTCCGGACGAACACTGACGTTTTGAGGGTCGGAGCCGGGAGTTGGGGTATCCCCAACCGTCTAAGATCGGCACGCTGAAACAACGTAAACTTTGGAAAACATGCCAAGACTAGCCAAGGATCCTAGGCTGACTCTCTTGTTTATTCTTTTTTCTTTTTCTCTATTTTATCTATTTATTTATTGATTTATTTATCAATTTCTCTGTTGGAATATATTTTATATCCTTTTCTTTTAATTGCCTTGTCTACTTGGGTTTAGTGCCTAGTATTCATCGGCTCCAGCTTCGAGGACTTGGATCCACTGCAACTCATGTCAAGATATCCAACATCCATGGTTGCAACACTGCCCCTGTTTTGGTTCAACAGGGAGTACACGGTAGATAGAAGCCAGAGCTCGAGGTCATCTACATTCCTAATTTGGTCAATTTCCCGCCAGTCAGCCCTGTTGCGATTTTACATACTACCACATTCGGATTAGCTCCCATTCTGCGAGTTGCCTAAACCGGCGCATCATTTACCTTTTTGCCGATGGGGCAAACCCGTTTTCCCTATGAGCTTGGACGATGGGAAAGCTCCACGCGGGATTTGGAATATCAGAGGCCTCTTACGTCCACAGGGGAATTTGTCTTCTATCAGAGTTGGTATGGACTTGATCATGCATATGATTGCTACGCCGTACTTGACTATAGATAGTAAAGATTTAATGGAAGCAAATATAAATTTAGTACACATTAATAATAGTACTCGAAAAAAGCAAAAATCGGACCAACACAGGTTATTTCGCCCAATCTCTCATAGGTCCTTGAAAGGGCGGATTGGAAAGTGCGCCTCAGCCGCAAGTCAGTCTAATGCAATCCCCCTGTGTAAATTTAGTACGGCTTATGCTCTGATCATCCCGAGAGATCTCCACGCCCGTGCTGGTTTTCTCTGGATCTCAGTTAGCCTGACTTACTAGGATTTAGTTATTTTGGTTGGAAAATTATTATTAGTCTCGCTAATTCATTTTCGATTTTATTATATATTGCTATATATTAATTTCCTCCAATTTACTCAAAGTCTATTAATCCGTAGATCTGTAGGAACAGCGCTTTTAGTGTATCGTTCCTATATCAGTCCACCCTCCTCTCTGTCTTTTCTTCCTTCAGGATTTCTTTGCTTAAATCTTCAAACCCACTTATTTGATATTTCAATTCCTATCTACTCTTTCCCTTTCTCTTGACATACCATGGCCCGAGGATCTTCAGGACGCAGTCCAAACCATATCGTCTCGGTCTTGAACTCGCCTTCTATCTCCTCTTCCTCTTCACCGGAACCTCAACTTGCTTCCAACATGGCTCGAAAGAACATGCGCCAGAGCTCTCAGGATGATACTACGATGCCCGTCACCTATACACCAACCACCCATCGCATCAGCAAGGCCAAGAAGGGAAAGCGCGTACACGCCTGTCAATACCCAGGATGCGGAAAGGTCGGCGCAATGATATATACACCTATCGAATCAATCAAACTGACTCCATTGCAGGTCTTCACCAGGGCTGAGCACCGAAGACGCCATGAGTTGAACCACAACCCCGAGGCATCATTTCGCTGCGCAACACAAGGATGCAAGAAGGCATTCCACCGCGCTGATTTACTTGCGCGCCACATGGAGAGACAGTGAGTACTGCGAAAGGCTTTTTTTTTTTTTTTTTGTTCTTTGGCCATATGGCCCACATACTAACAATAATGGTAGCGAACTCGAATCGCAATCAGAGCAATCCTGGGTATCTAACACCCCCAAAACCGTAAATGAGTCCACTGTCCCGCGCTGTATGTCAATGGATCACGGAATGCCATTGACCGCAACCTCCCATTCACACTCCATGTCCATCGGCTCACTCGTGGGACCTGGGGTTCATCCGGACCTGGCCAGCGACTGCTTATCAATGTGGAGCGGCGTGGACCTACCTCTACAGCCCCGCCCGGCCTTCCACAGCCATCTCCCCGAGTCCGTTGATGACAATCCGTTCTATTCTTCCCCAGCAGAGACCTGCCCCTCGCCTTTGTCGGATGCGACTTTCTCTCTTCCTCCCCACTCTAGCTCCTCCATCTCTTCTGCGTCTGTGTCGGTCATCGATCAGTACCCGAAGAATATCCTCAAGGGCGATGTCACTTCATCCCCGCTCCAGATGCACACTCCTCTCCGCTGGGATACCGATGCGGGTATGCCCCCATCGCACCTAGTTCCCATGTCCATGGGAGAGAATATGATTCAGCCGGTGAGTGTTCTTTGTGATTCTTTGGTACGGCCATTCAACTAATATACCCGCAGCCCGTTCAGTGTCACTACCCCTCTCCTTCATGGTCTAGCGCAGACTGCCTTCCCTACGAGGACCAGGTCCACTCCATGCACCAGTTCCAGCCCGTGACCTGGGGCATATGAAAAGATCATCGAAGCTCTTTGAGCAATGTTATCAAACATTGATCATAGACTGAATCTTATGACTACATGACCGAGCATTCACCTCCATACGAAACCAGGATGCTCCAATAGCCCTGGGAATCCTTGGACTCCAAAGGCATATGTGGGTCCAAGGGACGGCAATCCCGAGGCTGGTGTTGGGCAGTCTCGACTTCCCTACAAATATCTCAATCATCATTCGCAGGACTCTTCACCGTCTCCATTCTCCGGAGCATGACCAACTGGACTCCGGATCCACCGGTCGCGGTCGCTTCTAGCAACCGATTCTTACCAATAGACCGATACCCGATTTCCCGATATTGGTTTGATTCTTTGGTCCTAGACCCTAACTGGGAGAGTTAGATTTGATGGGTTTTTTTATTTCCTTTGTTTGACGTGTTTCTTTATGTTTGATTTCCGACGACACGATCATGATTCCCTTTCCTTTTGGCAATTCCTGTCTATACCATCTATACCCATGCAGGCCATTTTCAGATGTCTCAATTTCATTTCCTATACAGAATCCTATAATATATATAACATCTCTCCAAATCCATCTCCATATACAACGGATCGGTAAGTTTAGGGAAGCGAGATAAGCGACTATCCGATTTGAGCGGAAATGGATTCCAGGGGAACGCCCAATCCCTGATTATGTAAGGCGGCACAAAGCGACCCTTTCCAACCTGGGAAAAAAACAGATCAAATCTCGATCCAACGCGATAAGTCCTAGAAAAATCCATGTGTTTACTTGAAAACCCAAAGACCCCTCTCTCGGCCGGATCATGGACTCCATTTCTTTGAGACCCGGCCGACTCCACTTCACTTTAGGACCAGAAAACCGAAAACCGATTTGACGCTGGATCCTCTATTCTCTATCTGGTAAACGGACAGGCCCTATCCACCTTCTTGTCCTCCGCTAGACTGCTTTCGGTGTCCTGAGCTTGGAGTGGATACTTGGGGTCTTTTTAATCTCGCGTGGAGAGAGGTGGGTTTCTATTCGATCTGGATTTGGTGTACGGAGTATGGGATTGTATACTCCGTATTGTATGAAAGATGGAGAACGAGGGAAATTGGGGATGAAGGCTTGAGGACTGATTTTTAGTTTATGATTGATCACACTTGACGTTGACGATGATCCTTTCTTGCGAATGGGAATATCTCCTTTTTGCTTCTGGAGGACGGAGTACTCCGAACCGAGTACCGTTTACCTTTGGAGAGCTCCAGGGCTGTCGTGGACTCGGTTGTGGAGCACGGATAGTCTGGCGTTGTCGATCAGGGGGTTTGGGAGTCACGAGGCTTTTTCAAGGCCTTAGGCTTTCGACTCACTTGCCTGCTTGGGTGATGATGTGCGTTTGTTGATTTTGGTGATTCGGGGGCTTGATGTGTGTGCTATTGCTATGGGGTGTGGAGTCTGGAGTGTGGAGCACTGAGTGGTCTGATGAATGATGTAGTTGTATGGATATAATGTCTATGGGTGATATCATAGTGAACATCGGAGCAAGATTGTATCAGGATTTATGGGCGTACGTCGGTAGAGAGAAAACAGATATGAAGATGTTTCAAGAGATATGGACCGAAAGACGTAAGTAGAGAGCCCGAGTCTCCCGATATCATCACTTGTGACTATGTACATAGCCTGTAATTGAATTTTGATCTTTATTATTCTCAAGAATATCCTACAGCAAAGGGAACGCCATCCCATCGCCTCGAAGATCACTGCCTGCAGCGTAAACCAGCTTGCCATCGTCGTAGTACGAACGAATGATCTGGCCACGACCAAACATAGCGCGCTTCCATCCAGTCAATACCTCAATCTTGTGACCGAGACGACGCAGACCCTCCACAGTAGCATCACTAATACCCTCCTCAACCCACACCGTGCGGTCAGTGCTCTCGTCCGTCGGCGCAGCAAGACAGAAACGCGGCGAGTCAAGCGCTGCCTGGGGATGATATCCAAAGGCGAGCATGTTGAGCATGACCTGCACATGACCCTGTGGCTGCATAAAGCCTCCCATGACACCGTACACGGAGTGTAAGGAGCCATCGGCGATATTAGTGATAAGGGCGGGGATGATAGTGTGGTATGGCCGCTTGCGGGGAGCCAGGGCGTTAGGGTGGCCTTCCTGAAGCGAGAAATTGGCACCACGGTTCTGCAGCGTGAAACCACAACCAGCAGGGATGATGGCTGTTCCGAATCCAGCGTAGTTGCTGTTGATGAAAGAGATACCGTTGCCCTCACTATCTGTCACTGCGAAGTAAACGGTGTCGCAGTGGTTGTGGGCCGGACTGCCGTGGTCCATGATGTCTGCTGCACGTTCGGGTGTGAACAGCTTCGCCCGCTTTGCGAGGTATGCGGGGTCGAGTAGACCTTGCGAAGGCACGCGCTCCACATCTGGGTCGGTGACCCACCAGGCTGCGTCGGCGAAGGCGATGCGCAGACTCTCAATCACGGCGTGCAGGTACTCGGCTGAGTTGTGTTGAGCCTCGGTGAACTTGGGGATCTTGCCTGATTTCTCCAGTTCCTCCATGATGCCGAGTGCCATTAGCGCCACGATGCCCTGGCCGTTGGGTGGGTGCTCCCAGATTTCGACGCCCTGGTTGTCTTCACCTTCTGTGCCGGGTGTCGCTTTGGAGACGATGTCCTGTCCGGTGAACTTGAGTGAGATTGCATCGACTTCCTGTGTCCCGACCTCGGCGTGGTAGGCTAGATCCTCGAGGGACATGTAGCCGCCCTGGTCTTGCACCACCTTGACGATGGCCTCTGCGATCCGGCCCTGGTAGAATCCTTTCTTACCCTCTGCCGCGAGTGCGCGGAAGGTCTTGGCTAGGGTGGGATTCTTCATGATCTCGCCTGGGAGCGGGGCTCGTACACCATCTTTGGCTGAAGGATCGACTTTCAACATCTCACGGAAGTTAGGAGAGGCATTGCGGATGTCATTTTCAGAGTCATTCCACTATGCATGGGTTAGTTTACGGTGCGAATGCGCTTGGAGGTCGAGTACTTACACCCTGAGACGAAAGCTCTGAAACGGGGAAACCCTCCTCTCCAAGCTCAATGGCAGGCTGTAGGATTTGCTCGAGTGATAGCTTGCCGCTGCCGAATTTCTCAATTGTATCAACCCATCCTGCAGCCGCTCCAGGCGTAGTCGCGGATAGAGCATTCAGCATAGGCATGTTGCCCGGCTGACCGGGGGCCAGACCGAGGTCCTTACGGACTTTCTCCAAGCTAGCTTTACCAGGGTACCGACCAGAGCCATTGAGCGCATGCACCTTCTTCGTCTTGGCATTGTAGAAGAGACAAAACATATCACCTCCGATGCCCGTGGAGCAGGGCTCGGTCATGTTGAGTCCGGCAGCTGTAGAAACATGATATTAGTTCATTGTTTGCTGTGATTATGCACGAGGTGAGTCTTACCCACGGCAACAGCGGCATCCTGAACAAGAATATCACAGTTAGTATCGAAGTACAATGAGACACATCGGATTCAAGGTGCATACCGCTGCGTTTCCACCCTGACTCAGGATCTTATGACCCGCAGCAGCGGCTAGTGGTTGACTGCATGATATGATTCCCTTGGTGCTGTGGACGGTACTCCGCCGACTAGCAAATGGGACATAGTCCGCATTCGAGCGGGTGTATACGGCTTTGGCGTTGAGAGGCATGACTTGAATGATGGAGAAGTGGGATGGCGGGGGAATATGGGGAATAACAGATGCTTATTAACCCATTCTCACAAAGAACGGAATTGGGGGAAGTTGAATGACTCCAACTTTACAAACCTTATATATTACCTTATATAAATCCCCTCCGTCTCGGCAGAGTCCACCTATTTTGTATAATTCTATGCATGTGTAGAACCTCGATTTTGCACCTGACCCTAGAGCCCTAAGAGATAGTGTATGCATGGAATCTAGAGAGATCCAGTGTGAAGATATCAAAGCGTCTCCTACCCGATTAGAACATCAAGGCGCTTGTACATCTGTAGGGTTCGGAGTCAAGGATGGTCCTCCCCGGTATCTTTGGCCGAGGTATGACGTGTGATTCTCTACATATCAGCCCTAGAGAAAAGACAGTCGACTGTCGAACAGTCAAAATAGCCCCGGGGGTACGGGGTAAAAGGATACGCGATTACATAACTCACCGCCCCGGATCTTCGGACTAATGAATCCCCCATCCCACCTTGCAGTTCCCCAGCTTATGCCCTATACCATATCTGATGGAATCCTGAGAAAAGGCCTCTGATGGAGCAGCATGGTGGTGTTTGTCGACCTCGACGATGCAATTCCGGATGGATCGGCATTCTTGGAGAAGCCATTCCCTTTGACGGTTGACCCCATCACGTCGGAGCCGGCGGAACTACCCGCATCGTCTTCCCCGAATGAAACCGGGATACTAAACCCCAATCGAAATGGCTTCTCCGCGGCTTTGACTTGTTATCCGTAAGTCTTTGTTTGTTACCCGACAACTATGACTCAGACCCAGCTAACAGGCCAACCCATAGAATCGTCAAAGAAATCGCTCGCGCCATCGATCTGAATACCCTATATGCCCTCTCGAGTACATGTCGCCAGTTCCACGTGAACTTGGCACCCTTCCGCCAACAATTAGTAAAAGCGACCCTCCGGTGCGAAAATGAATACATCGAAACCCTAGCAGAAATGCTAGACAGCGGCTCTGTCCTCCCAGACAGTGTCAAATCAGTCATCCGACTACTAAGCCGTCCCAGTGGCGATCATACCCGCATGACCCGCGGGAAAGTGGCCAAATGCGCGCGAGATATGGTAGGCGAATGTCGACGCTGCGCCAAGATTGTATGCAGAGTAAGTTCGGATCCGCTCCCCCGAACAAGAAAACCAAGTCGCTAACCCCACTGTAGAACTGCACAATAAAACCCCCTTCCCAGCCAGCCCTTAGAAACCGTATTCGCCGCCTCTGCGCACCATGTGGAACAGCGCCACTCTCTTCTCACCTCTCCTACCCAACCTCAGATTCGCACGCCCCCGAACCGTGGGACGAGAATAGCGTCGCGGCTATTGCGTTTGCGCGCAATCCCTGCAATTGCCAGGAAGCCGTCTGGCTATGCACGCAGTGCGGGACGACGCTGCGCAGCAATGACACGACATACCGTCGTGTCTGGGCGTGGCGCACGCGCTACAGCACGTATCTCGGCGGAGGGCTAGGTACTGGCATTGGTGAAGGCAGCCAGGGTGTTAAGTGTGGGCGTGGTGAGAACTGTCTTGCTGCGCAGGAGATTGAGCTTGAAGTTGACTGTGAGGCTGATGAGGGGTCTGGGTCCGGGAGTGATACTAGTAGTACTGAACAGAGTACCGCAGCTCCATCGTTTGGTCATGAGGAGGCTGCTGTCTCGACCGATAGCCATGATGATGTGGAGCCTGGGTATTTCAGACAGGAAGTCATTGGGCTAGGCGGTGTGGTCAAACATAAGTCCAAGAAAAGAGTTAATGTTGGTGCTTGTGTTGTTGAGTATGAGGATGAGAGGGAGACGGGGAATTATCTCGAGAGGGAGGAAAAGGGTTTGTATCGTGGTTGGTGTGGATGGTGTTCTAGAGTGATTCCGGCGAAGAGCGAGCGGGCTTGATTGATATTGCTTATTTGGACTGGCTGATTTAGGGCTTTGCGTGTTGCATGGGGCATTTTATGCTCTGGCAACTTTTCCACGCTTTACGACTGATGCCATTGGTGAACATACTACGGAGTACCCTCACATTAGATGACATAGATTATGGGACATGACCCGGATGATGAGATTTTCGCCGGAGAGTCCACGGACGAATACTACAATGGCCTCGAGATAGCCTCAAATAAGCTATGGGATCTGCGAATAACGATCTCCAAAATCAAAAATTCTTGTCAAGTTGATGCATATTGAGCCAAATCTGGCTAAAAAAATCAACAAACTCCTGCAATGATTCGCTCCGCAATGCAGCCCTAAGGGGCACAAATTCATCAAGCATATACTCTCACATGTAGATCATTCTGTCCAACAAACCACCCCGGGTAAAGTAAAAAGACAAGGTTGAAGGTGAATAAAAGCACAAAAACGCAAAACAAATCTATAAGGTCTCAATGGGCAGCAATTGCTCTCCAGATGCCTTTCAGCTTCGACTCCTCGCGGGGAGGCGATTCCTCGCGCCTGTGGCGGCGATGAGAGCGCACCTCTCGTGACTCCCTAGAACGTCGGGAGGAGCCCTCGGGCTTCAGTTCCCTCTCCCTCTCCCTCTCCCCATCTATTCTCCGTTCGCGTTCACGTTCGCTCTCACGCTCACGCTCACGCTCCCGATCTCGATCTTTCCCTCTGTCTCTCTCCCTTCTCTCTTCCCTTCTCTCTTCCCTTCTCTCCTCCCTAGACCGACCATACTCAGCAGTCGACGAACGTCGCAATCTCCTACTCTCAGTGCGCTCGACACGCTCACTTCGAGGGGCCTCCTCTTCGCGCCGCGATCGTGATCCACTAGATCGACCATTAGACTGCCGGTCTTCGTGTTCATGACGGCTGCCACTGCTATGACTTGCCGATGACCGGCGTGGCATTTCAACAGGCGGTGCAGCCTTCATCGCGTTTAGACGCAGCAAAGGCCCATTGGTATCCGATTTACCTTCTGTCATGTATCGGAGGAAGGCACGGGGCCTGGGAATCGGGACCGGTGGCGCCACCTGCTTCGGTGAGGTCCTGGTTGAGCGGGCTCGCTCGAGTGGTTGACTTGGGGGAGTTTCGGAGGTGCGGCGTTTGGATCTGGGTTCGATCACTTCGGGCTCCATTTCTAGTTCCCTTAGCCTCTCTCTCTCTTTCTCCTTGGACGAGCTCTTCGTACGCTTCAGTTTTTCCGGGGCGGGGATGCCGCTGCGTTCTCGTTCATCAGCGAGAGCGCGCTGCTTTCGTTGCAATTGGGATTTCTCATCGTGTTGGCGTCGGGCTTCTTCCAGTGCTTTGGCCCAGCGGTTGGTGAAAATGCCTCGATCGCTCTTCTGGCGCTCGAGTTGATCACGGCGACCTTCAGAAGATGTTTTGGACTGCCGACGCTCTCCGTCGATTCGACGCTCTCGTTCTCCCTCGACCGGCGAGGTGCGCTTTCTGCGGCGTCTGGAGCTGCGGCGAGCTGCTGCAGCTTCTGCGCTTTCATCGAGAGGCCCGACGTCGATCATCTCCACCTCACGCGGGGCGTCGGCTGGGGGTGTGACAAGCTCGTCGGGCGCCACTTCGTCGCTAGCGGGGACTGAGACTCGCTCGGGGGCAGTTTCTGGTTCTACTGGTGGGTCTTCGATGAGGAGGTCTCTGGCAGCCTCTGGCTCAGGGGTTGGCTCCTCTGGCGGTGTTTCAGGCAGGGCCTCTTCTAGCGTTGGAGTCTCAACTGGAGCTGCAGCTAAATCGGCCTCTGGTGTCTCAGTTGGGGCTCTTTCCGGAACTAGCGGTTCCACCGGGGATTCGTCAGGTGTCGGAGCCTCCGCTGGGGCAGCTTCGATAGGAGCTGGCTCTTCGGGTACTGGGTCATTAGCAGGTGCTTCATCTGGAATCTCCCTTGGCGCCTCAACGGGCACAGCTTCCGATTCTGCCACGGCTTCTGCTGGTGTCTCTTCCACTGGGGTGGGAGCAGGTTCCTCAACCACTGGTTCTGGGGCAGCAGGTTCAGGCTCAGCAGCAGGTTCAGCCACAGGCTCAGCAGCAGGTTCAGGCTCAGCAGCAGGTTCAGGCTCAGCAGCAGGTTCAGCCACAGGCTCAGGAGCAGGTTCGGGGATTGGCTCGTCATGGGCTTCAGCCACGGGCTCGGCATCAGGTTCCGCAACAGGCTCTGGGGTAGACCCAGCAGGAGGTTCCACGACCGGTTCGGCAGCGGGTTCAGCCACAGGCTCAGGAATAGGCTCTGTGGCTGGCTCCGGGGTAGGCTCAGCAGCAGGTTCGGGAGTCGGTTCGGCAGGAGTTTCGACCACGGGCTCAGGAGCAGGTTCGGGAGTAGCTTCGGCGGGAGCCTCGACCACAGACTCAGCAGCAGTTTCAGCGACAGGCTCGGGAGCAGGATCAGCAGCAGGTTCAGCAGCGGGCTCAGCAGCAGGTTCAGCAGCAGGTTCAGCAGCAGGTTCAGCAGCAGGTTCAGCGACAGGCTCGGGAGTAGGCTCAGCGGGAGCTTCAACAACGGGCTCGGGAGCAGGTTCAGCAGGAGCTTCAGCAACGGGCTCAGCAGCAGACTCAGCAGCAGTTTCAGCGACAGGTTCAGCAGCAGGTTCAGCAGCAGGTTCAGCAGCAGGTTCAGCAGCAGGTTCAGCAGCAGGTTCAGCAGCAGGTTCAGCAGCAGGTTCAGCAGCAGGTTCAGCAGCAGGTTCAGCAGCAGGTTCAGCAGCAGGTTCAGCAGCAGGTTCAGCAGCAGGTTCAGCAGCAGGTTCAGCAGCAGGTTCAGCAGCAGGTTCAGCAGCAGGTTCAGCAGCAGGTTCAGCAGCAGGTTCAGCAGCAGGTTCAGCAGCAGGTTCAGCAGCAGGTTCAGCAGCAGGTTCAGCAGCAGGTTCAGCAGCAGGTTCAGCAGCAGGTTCAGCAGCAGGTTCAGCAGCAGGTTCAGCAGCAGGTTCAGCGACAGGCTCGGGAGTAGGCTCAGCGGGAGCTTCAACAACGGGCTCGGGAGCAGGTTCAGCAGGAGCTTCAGCAACGGGCTCGGCGGCAGGTTCAGCAGGAGCTTCAACAACAGGATCAGCAGGAGCTGGTGCCGCTTCTTCAGGCGCTTTCTCGGCAGCGGGTTCCTCGGCTACCACCTCGGCGGGAACTTCAACCTCTACCGGGGCCTCTTTAGCTGGTTCGGCCTCAGGCTCGGCTGGAGTGCTCTCTTCGACGATTTCCGCCTTAGGAGCTTCGACTGGTTCGGACTCTACAGGTTCCACCTTGTCCTCCGCAGCAGCTTCGGGCTCGACAGCAGGTGTTTCTTCTGGCGTAGCTTCCGGTTCTGGTTCCTTGACAGTCTCTTCGGGGGCCTTTTCTTCTTCAGCTGCTGCGGCTGGAGCAGGTTCTGGTTCTGCTGCTGGCGTCTCTGCTGGCTCGGGTGATGGTTCAGGCTCTGGCGCTGGCGCTGGCTCTGCATCAACTGCCTTAGCGGCCTTATTCTTCTTGCCCTTTTTTTTCTTACTCTTACCCGTCAGCTTTTCCTCTGCCTCTGGCTCCTCTGTGGGTGGCTCGGGTGCGGGTGGCTCTTCGGGGGCTGGGGGATCAGGGGGGGTTATCTGCGGGCTTTTCGGGCTCAACTTTGGGCTCCGGCGCTGGTTCGGCCGCTGGTTCGGGTTCCGGCGTTGGCTCGACCGCTGGTTCTGGCGCCGTATCAGCTACCTTGCCCTTGCCCTTTTTGCCTTTCTTTTTCTTAGACTTGCTTGAAGACTTTGGCTCCTCCACGACTGGCTCTGGCTCTGCTGGAGTCTCAGCAGCCTCTGCAGGTGTTTCATCTGCCTTTGGCGTATCTTCTGCATTCTCTAGAGCGTCTTCGGCGGCCGCTTTAGCAGCAGCCTCTTTCTCGGCTGCTACTGCCTCGGGATCTACATTTAGATCAAAATCTGGAAACTCTTCATCTAAATATTGTCAGCTTCGTGAGATCCAATGTAAGTTTGAATACAGACCATTGGTGCCGCTGTCGCCTTCTTTCTTCGTGGCTTCGTCTGCTGGAGAATCTTTTGCGTCTTCGGGTTTGGCACCTTCTTCGGGGTTTGATTCTTCTCCAGGCTTCGCACTGTCATCGGACGCTGCGCCACCTTCGGGCTTAGATTCATCGTCAGGCTTTGGATCGTCTTCTGGCTTTGGATCCCCTTCCGGCTTTTCTTCGCCTTCAGCTTTTGCTTCCTCCTCAGGCTTTGTTTCGCCTTCGGCTTTTGCTTCCTCCTCAGGCTTTGCTTCGCCTTCGGCTTTTGCTTCCTCTTCGGCTTTTGCTTCCTCCTCAGGCTTTGCTTCGCCTTCAGGCTTTGCTTCCTCTTCGGACTTTACTTCCTCGTCAGGTTTTGCTTCGCCTTCGGGCGCTGCACCGTCGTCAGGTTTCGCATCCTCGGCGGGCTTTGCATCTTCTACAGTAGCCTCGGAAGCCTCGTCGGGCTTCTCTGCACCTGGCTCTGGCTCATCTTTGCCCTCTTCTTTAGCTTCTGGGGCAGCCTCGTCGGGTTGAGACTCGGCTGGTGGTGCAGCCTCTGCGGAATCTGAACATCATATGTCAATATTAAGTAAAAAAGTAGAACATGGATTTTTCGACGATAGACCTCATCGTCTATAGAGACATGTACATACCTGTAGGCTCAGCGGCCGGGCTATCATCGCCACTCGGTTCAGCGGCAGGGGTGTCTTCAGAGGCAGGGTCCTTCTCCGGTTCGGCGGTGGGCTCTTTGTTGTCCTGATTTTCGCCCTCGGTCAGATCGGTCGCTGAAAAGGTGACAGGGTAATTTTGGAACGTGTTAGTCTCATAATCAAAGGTCGAATATTGACGTCGAACCGTTTGATATGAGTACTGAGGGAATTTAGCATACTGGTAAGGCATCCTCAACAGCGGCTACCGCCGGGTCCGGGGCAGAGTCGACGACGGCTTTGTTCTCAGGTTCAGGGGGTGGTGCAGAACCGACGGGAGGGCGATTGTTATTGTTTTTATTGTTCTTGGACTTCTTAGACTTCTTACCGGCCATGATCCCCGGTCAATGACGTATCATATATCGAGGCCTAGGCGAGGCTGACTGGCGCGTGATCTGACGAGGATCGGAACAATAGGAAAGTGACAAGCCGGCTTGTCGGGCTGGATGCACAGAAAGAATGGGGCGGCAAGGGAAATCGAGGAACAAAAGATACAAAAGATTGACAATTGAGAAGTGTGAGACTGGGTAGGGTACCTCCTGTATTAGAGTACCAAAAGGGAAAAGAAGGATATGCTTGTTTCTCTGGTGACACAGAGGTCGCATTGGACAATCATGGTGAGGCAGCGTATAATAGTTCGTCTCCGATGCGGTCGGATGGGACGACAACAAAGTGCATTACGGACTTGGGCCCTGAACGTCACCAATGAACTGCCCGATGGAGCCAAATTGTCATTGGGCCACGTCGGCATCGGGTCTCCATCTCCAGGGCAAGAGGTTTAGTGAGCTCCGCTGCTTGTTTAGGGCCGGGTGAGGGCAGCACGATCCCAACCTGCAGGAATAGCTGCAGCACCGAACAGTAAATGGTGAGATGGGATTGGGGATTAGGGGGGCGTATCGGTCAAGATAGGAAAGGTAGTGCTGCAGTAGTATGGAGTAACTGGGTCTGTTGCAGTGGGGTGGATGCCACGAATTGAAATGAATTGAATTGACTTGGTTTTGGTTTTTGCTTTGTTTTTGGGCTTGAATACTATACACAGACACAGAATAGAAATGAATTGGCCCAAGGGAACTTCGCCGGTGCACACAAAGCCACGAAGGCAATGTTTCAGTAGGAAAATCGATGGGCGACGCAAGAAGATGCAGGCCCATTTCTGCCCAACGTCCGCCGGTAAAGGCGGCAAATAGGATGCAGGCGTACACGGGTGGGGAGACCAGGGTAGATTAACCTCAGAATGGATGTGGGTGTTGAAGGGGCAAAATATTTGGACTTCTAGCGAAATTTTTGCAAAATCAAATTGAAATGGTAAAACAGGGTGGTTGGGAACGAAGTTGGAGCTGATGGAGTCGTGGATACGGAGTGGAATCTCCACTTTCGACAGACACGACACCGACACTTCAGAATCGCCTTCTGTGATACTCAACTGTAAGGGAGTCAGTTGGAATGGTGATGTAATATGCAGTTAGACACCGTGGACTGCATCAACATCTGTAGTCAAAAGGGAGCGGAACACGGTGTTCCTTGTCAGGTGATATTGCACTTGGGAAGCTGGACATGTTGGACATCAAATTCTCTCTCTGCGATAATCCCATCTTTCCATTCCACCTATAACGATTACGGAGTATAGCCGATCCTTATGTGATCTTCGCGTCAATACCAACCACTCCTAAACTACCACGTCCGCCATGGAGCACACTAACAAACCCCACGGTTATCTGACTGATGTGTCGTCTTACAATAGCTTCGTCACCGGGATCTTCTTTCAAAATGGCATATGTGTTCAATTCGACCTAATGTACCTACAGGTATAGATAGGTATAAAAGCCAAACACTCGAGTCTAGAAAGAGCTGCATGCATGTCTAGGCCGTTTTTATCCTTTCTGGCGAATCACCTCGGCGCTGGCTTTTCGTGCCCTTCCCGATATGTTGTACTTCCTGATACAAGTCATCAGCCAAATCGCTAGATAAGTCGTCTACCCAACTCCATGCAGCGGGCCGAGCATCCATGCCGTGTTGCGTGTTGTCAGCAAATGGCGGCCCTCGAAGGAGGTGAACCCATCGCGTCGATAAATATGATTGGTGGTTCGGTTTCTATTCTCAGAATTGGGCCAGGATTTTTGGGTTCTCTTTTGAATACGGAGCACGTTGGACTCCTATACTCTTGGACTCGAGGATGGGCATGAGGATCGCTTTTTTTTTTGCCAAGCGGTTCCTTTGTCACCTATGCACTTGGAAGGAATATGGCCGATCGGAGAGAAGTCTCGAGGCTAATAGACTGTAATTCGATGTCTTATATTTGAGACTGCAACTAGCGAATAGATAGGTCGTTTGAGTATAACTTGGTAGGGATATTGCTGGCATGGGGTTTGCTAGTGTGAACTGTGTGAGAAAAAGAAACGAAAACTTACTCGGGGGGTTTGTCTGGTCGGGGATGGGAATTCGCAAACATCGCTTAAAAAGTACATACATCGTTGACAGGAAGATCCTGGTAAGTCCAGCACATAACCCCCTCTAATTATTCACGCGATCTCCCCTCACAGATGCATCGAATGTTCGCTAGAAGTGCTGGCGAGTCAAGAACATGGCACGATGAAGCTCTGATTGGCTGCCTTGCTTTTTTCTCATGCGGGTAAATTAACACATGCAGTCTTACTCAGATCTATATCCTTTTTTATACATACTCCGTACGGAGTAGAGATTGAGGGACATCTATGTAAAGTAAACTCCGTAACATTGCTAGCCTCATATGCGCAATTAATTGGCTCAGATTAATGAACCTGCTATCTCGACCAGTACCTGATATACTGTAGCTAGATCGAAATAATATGCTCGATAACACAAATACGTGAGACCTTATACGTATCAGCTTGGCATATGCGATTACTAAAACACGGGTTGAACGCTTCTTGAGGAAGTGTACGTCTCAAAATTTGAGGACAAGTATCCATGTGATAGAATATTCCCATTACTGATTCATCTTTTTCACTACGCGTAGCTGTATTCTGCGACTAACTCTAATAAGGGGGAGGGATATCTTTCTGAGAAGAAATATGGAAGGTCTAATAAAAAGACCACCAAAGGCAAGGTAAGGTCGACTATCCTTGTAAGTCTTCAAGTCGCACAGATAGATACGTTAACATGCCCGAGAAGAGTCAATTTGGGTATTCTGACGGGATAGACATCGCAGGACTTGGCCATTGGACATTTTGGGATTGAGCGATTAACAATGAAATTGCTCTAGGGAAGGCCGCTTGAGTAAGCATACAAACAGAGCATAATGGGGTTTTCGATGCTGCAGGATATGTATTCGGTAGGGCTCTTCTACTTGTACACGGTAAATGGACATCATTGTGGCCTGGGGAGGGCTCATTTAAGATCCTTGTGAAATGGATTTCACTTCAGACTGGGTATCATTTTGGACATTAGACATATCTGCACCCTGAGGGAAACAGCCGGTTTTGAGAAAGACAGACATGAAAAACAGGTAACGGCCATTGGGCGGTTCAACATCAACGGAAAGACAGAAACAAGTATGGATATTTTGTTTTGGTGGGACGTATGTGCAAAACAGAGACAGGCTGTTATGACACCAACTGTGTATGGTATGCCAGACACTTACCTCTCTATCAATTAATGTAAAAATATGCTCCAACGCCAAAGTCAAAATGCAATCTAGTAGAGCAGAGCAGAAAAATCTCATGCCCGCATGTGTGCGTCCATGGTCTTTCTCCATTTTGGGCCGTTGACTCTCATCAGGAAGATGACGGAGCTGCTTGCGAAACTAACCAGGCCGAGGATGGTGAAAAGCCATCCATTGCCGATAGCGCCGATTATCGGTGCCGTGACGACAGAACCGATGCAGGAGAAGATATTTCGCATAAAGTTGTTGAGAGCTACACCTTCTGAAGACCTTTTCGGCATGAACTCGGTGAGCATGGTGGTGACCATGCTGAAAATGAGCATCGAGCCCATACCGAAGAAGAAATTCGCGATCATCTGTGGGGTCAAAGTTAGCAAGTGGCACTGGTGCACATATCCAGGGAATGAGATGAGAGTTGACATACCGGGACGAGCCAGAAAACTCCCTTCTCCGCCGCCCAACCATACCAGATCAGAGCTGCCGGGTACATGAAAGCACCAAGCCATGCATTCTCACGCATTCTGTCTTCTGGTCGTAGTACCAGCCGACCTTTCTCGTCGTATCGATTTGCCTTCTTTGCCTCACGTTGCATGATGCTGTCCATCCATTTTCCTCCAAAGATACTGGTCACCATATAGCCCAGCGAGTTTGGAATGTACAGCAAACCAACGATGATGGTGGAAAAGTTGTACGGCGCCTCTGCGAAGGTATGCTCAACACTGATATTGAGGACATAGAGGGAACCGAAGGCGATACTAGCATAGTATACAGTGAGAACAACGGGGAGGAATCGGAGATAGAGAATGATTTTGAGCGGATCAATGAAGATCATCTTCATCGTCTTCAGCCACCTTGTGGTAGACCGAACAACCTGTTGGGACGAGACTCGACTCAACGGGCGGCTGATGGCTGGACCTTCGTCGCTCTCAAGCTCAGCCAACACAGGCTTTTGAACCATCAACGTCTCGGGAAGGGCGAAGAGAATGAATATGAGAGTGAGAGCACCAAATGCCGAGAGGAACCACATGGTACTCCGCCATCCCCAGCGCTGAGCTAGAAGACCACCAATAATGGGTGCAAACAAGGGTCCACACAACGGACCTAGATAGAATATACCCATGGCCCGTCCTCGCTCCCTGGGTTCCCAGAGATCGGCGATGGTGCCAGCACCAACCGCCTGGACAGAAGCAGCAGCGCCACCACTCAACATTCGCATTACAATCAACATTGCGATAGAATCTGAGACAGCACAAAGACAGTTGAAGACCACAAAGAGAGCAAAAGACGCTAAATAGACAGTCCGTCGCCCAAGTCGCTCACTAAATGATGACCACCACAATGGGAATATCGACATGGCCAGCATGTACAATGCGATTGACAGATTAGTGATGGTGGTTGTCGTATGCAACTCCTTGGTTACTTGTGATAGTGAAGCTGATAGCAGAACGATTAGAGATGATCAGATCTATACCCAATTTGTGACTGTAGACTCACGGAGAAAGACTGCGCTGCCCATTGGTGCTGTGGCTCCGGCAAGAGCGACGACAAATGTGATGAACCATTTCATTCTCCGAGGGTATGTCTTTGGATTTTCAATCTCTGCCACTAATGCCAACTGACCGAACAAGCCTCTGCGCTTGAGTCGGGCAACCTTGATGGGAGGACCAAGCTCGGTCAACTGGCGCTCTAGGCGTGGAGGATTCTCTGGATCATGTTCCTCGGCGGTATTGCTGGAGGCATCCGATAGAGAGTGGATATCATTCTCGATCTCCGACTTTGTGTCGGCTATGACTGTCGGATGTTCTCCGCTCTCCGAGGACGCGACGATGCCGTCTGCCTCAGATTGGCCGTGCATGTTGGAAGTATGTGGTAAACCAAAAAGCCAATTTTGCCAAATTGGACATAAAATAAGTCTAATAACTCGGTTTTCAAAAGAATAGGGCGCACAAAGCTTTACAAAAGAGTCAAGCTAAGTGTTCGAAGAAAAAAAAAAAAACAGGAAGCCCTGCAAATGACCACTTCGGCGCCTTCCTTGCAAAAAGCGTCGATCTATCCCCTGATATCAAAGATCTGCAAATATGCACCTGGATAACTTGGGAGTCCTGAATGTATTGCGTGTATTCTCAGAAATCAAAGTGATAGAAAATTTCTGGCATTTGGAGATTCAAAGATTTTTTGTCCGACAAGCACCGACAGCGACCGAGTGTAACTGAAAATATCTCTTGTGCCTTCTAGCAGGACTTCAGGCCCGGATTAATATCCGAGATGCTAACGCTAGTACACATCTGCTACAAAGATATCAGCCGGCTTATAGAGCCAGTCATCGTTGCGCGCGAACGTGCCGGTCTTCCGTCGGCAGACCTAATGGTGGCCCTATCCCGAGATTGGGTATGGACTCTTGAGTCTAGATGTTCGATCGTATACAATATAGAACACAATCTGAAAATTCCTGATGGCATCAGAAAGGACCTGAGAGTCGCAATCGATTTTCGGAAGTCATCTTTGGGTTTTTTAGTTGATCTTTACCCCTGCTTCCCCGGTGTTACCTTGGCGAACTGCCACAATAAATACCCCAGGGTCCTCTCCATAGCCATCAGATCCAGGTATGGATGTTCCACTACATGGCACAAGATAAGGTTGGACTCAGTTACGCTGTTGAACAAATGCAACATGATGGACTTGCTACGATAATACAGATCCTTGAGAACAGAGTAATTCGAACCCAGAAACATCTTTATACGCCACTTGATCATACCTTCCACTCATGTGGACCTCACTGCAAGGAGGTGCTTAATAAGCCCGGTAGAGAGGGCTGGCGGAACGGATCCCCGAGGTTAAGATGGCATAAAGACGGTGAACTTGACCGCATCCGTTTAGAACCACCCCGTGAACCCCAGATCCAACGATCAAACCATAACCATCTCAATGGCAAACATCAACCCAAAGGCCATACAAGCTCATCTTGCCCAATACAAGGGCGACAAATACGTCGATGGCTGGGCGTCTCTCTGGGACAAGGGTGACAATCTGCCCTGGGACCGGGGATTCCCCAACCCTGCCTTAGAAGATACGCTCGTCAAGCAGCGGGCGACAATTGGCGCCCCTGTCGTGACCGATGCACAGGGTCAGTCGTACAGGCGGAAAGCTCTCGTTCCTGGTTGCGGGAGAGGTGTCGATGTCCTCTTGCTGGCGAGCTTTGGCTACGATGCCTATGGTCTCGAGTATAGCGCGGCTGCGGTTGAGGCGTGTAAGAAGGAGGAGAACGATAATGCCAATTGGTATCGCGTCCGGGATGAGACTGTCGGTGCGGGAAAGGTTACTTGGATTCAGGGTGACTTTTTCGATGATGCTTGGTTGCAGAAGATTGGTGTCCCGTTGAACGGATTTGATATCATTTATGATTACACGGTATGGATTCCTTTTTGGCCTCTCTGTTTCTGCTCGGATGTCTGTCTATATCGAGTTCATCGCAATGCGGGAATACAAACACGTGATATGATAACATGAATGATGTATCTGCTGTTGTCTATATCTCAAGTTTCTATGTTCACTGTCCTCATGCTAACCATCATGCAGTTCTTCTGTGCACTGGACCCGTCAATGCGACCCAAATGGGCACTCCGACAGACCCAGCTTTTGGCCCCTTCGCCAACAGGTAACTTGATCTGCCTCGAGTTCCCACGTCACAAGGATCCCCAAGCACCAGGGCCCCCATATGCTTCTCCATCAGAAGCATACATGGCACACCTGAGCCACCCCGGCGAAGAGATCCCCTACGACGCCAAGGGTGTCGTCAAGCACGAACCTCTGCGGACGCCGAGCAAGACCAGCCTGGAAAGAGTGGCGTATTGGACGCCAGAGCGTACGCACGAGGTAGGCCAGGGCGAGAACGGGGTGATCCACGACCGAGTCTCGATTTGGCGTCGCCGTAACTAAATCTGCCGAAAAGCTGAAATCACCCAGCCAAGAAAAAGAACCAAGACAAAAATAGATCTGCAATTGCACAGTCTGGCCTTAACTGAGAAAAGGCCGAGGCAGAAATGAGCTTGCGTTGATATGAGTAGCTTAGGACTTCTTCACAAGGGCATTGTAGTGTTCACCGAGTCCGTAGGTGTGACGGTAGTAAGCGAGCCAGATAACGCGTTTGCGCTTCTCCTCCTCGTCGAAGCTGTCGCCATCACCGGACTCAATCTTCTCCATCCGCCCATCCTTCTGTACAATGTTGATTTCCACGCCGTATGCTCGGGCAATCGCCTGCAGCTCCAATTGCCCTCCCCACTCGGCAGTCAATTTTATCTTCCGAGTATATGACTCTAGGGGCTCTTCCATGAACGCTTCGAAGTCTTCTTTATGTTCCATAATGAAATCCGCAGTCACAGCTCGAACAGCTCGGTAGCCATCGTGTTGTGGAGAGGCGACTGTGTCGATGCGTGACTGTGTCGCGGGCTGGAGGACGATTCGGCTTGGGTCCGGCCGCAAACCGACTCCGGACTCGTCGAGCTGTATAGCGACTGCTGAGTAGAGACAATGCCCATCTGGAGTCACTTCGATCTCCTTCAGACCCAATTTCTTGAACACAGCGTCCATGACCTCCTGTTCATTGCCTCTGTAGTTTGTTTGCGTCGCGGCTTCTTCTGCTGCGGCCGCGGATTGGGCGGCTTGCTCAGCTGCACGCCGCGCGAGGCGGGCTTTCTGGCGATTTGGCTTCTTTGTGCTAGATGCAGAGGAGGGCTCTGGGATGGATTCGGCTGCCGTTTCTGCTTCTTGTGGCTTCTCGGCGGGTTTGTCTTGTTTCAAATCTTCATCCTCTGTAGGTTGATCATCTTCCAGGCTGAGGTCTTCGAGCCCTTCAGTCAAGTCTCCATTTAATTGTGCAATCTCAGCCTGTTGTTTCTCAGACAAATCGTGCTGCATCCGTTCGCATTCATCGTTGACTCCTTTGCGGGTCTTCTTGGTGGCGGACTTTTTCTTCTGCGTGATCCGCCCTTGGAGATCTTTTTGCTCTTTACGGTGTTTTGAAAGGAGGTCCTCCATCGTTAAATAGCGAGTTGTAAGCAAAAATCGACAAATCTATTGTAACGGAGCTGTACGCTATGAACACAAGCAGTCAAAACACCTCGACCACCTGGGCAGAGACCCCGCGAAACCCTGACGATGCAGCCCTAAGTTGATCCCCAAAAAGGACTAGTACATATTGATCGGTAGAAAGATGTTCCGGGGCCATGTGCCTCGGCTGAGCTATCAAGTAATCTCGGCCTCGGGTATGGGGTGCAATGGGGAGAGCTACGACGGACATACATATGTAACGAAGGTAGCGCTCCTCATCTTTGATCTTTCTGGTGTTTTAAGTCTAATTCGCAATTTCACAATGGATTCCGCAAGTCTTTTCAATGTCAAGGTCAGATCGCTAGGTACTCTAACTTTCCGACCATTCTAACGCGCCCACAGGGCAAAGTGGTGCTGGTCACTGGAGGTGCTAAAGGCGTCGGTCGTATGATCTCAGAGGGATATGTAACAAACGGGGCCACCGTCTATATCTCTTCCCGTGATGCAAAGGCATGCGATCAAGCAGTCAAGGAGCTCAACGCTCTGGGCAAGGGCAAAGCCTACGCCATTCCGGCCAATTTCTATAAACTCGAGGACGTGAAGAAGCTGGCCGAGGAGATCGGCAAGCGTGAAGGCAGTAAGGCATCATATCCAATGGACTATAAGTTATATCACCTTCTAATAACATGCCTTCTTTTTCTAGAGCTCCACGTCCTCGTCAACAACTCCGGATCGAACTGGGGCGCTCCCTACGATGAATACCCCTCCGAGGCCTTCACACGAGTACTTACCCTCAACCTACACCGGGTCTTCGACCTGACCCAGCTTGTCACACCTCTCCTGGAAAAGGCGGCTACACCAGAGGATCCTTCTCGCATTATCAATATCGGTAGTATTGATGGGCTCCGTGTTCCCTCGCTCGAGACATTCGCATACAGTTCCAGTAAGGCCGGTTTGCACCACTTGAGCAGGGTTCTTGCCAACCATCTGGGCAAGCGAAACGTTACGTAAGTTTACCCGCTAACGAGTGCTTCGCTCCTCTTTGATGTGTAGGAGACTGATTCGGTTTGCAGCTCTAATACCCTGGCCTGTGGTCCCTTCGAAAGCAAGATGATGGCTGCTACCTTGCAGTCGTTCGGCGATAGTATCAGGGCTGGCGTACCTTTGGGTCGCATTGGAACCCCACAGGATGTGGCCGGGGCTTGCTTGTTCTTGAGTAGCCGTGCCGGTGCGTTTGTGAACGGCGCGACTATCACGGTCGACGGCGGAAGTGCAATCTCTGCCAAGCTATGAGCAATTGTATAGACAGTGCTACTTTGGATATACTACAGTCTATAAATAGCTGTGTTGGCACAAGCTTTACGGATATTTTTTTGTTAGAGAATATAAGCGTACCTAGCTATACTCCGTAATGAGATGCGGGAGAGAGTCCCCCACATTCCAATAAATGGCTGGTGACCATGTCAAGGCCGCAAACAGACTGATTTTTGAGTCTTTATTTAGACTACTTCTAGAAAAGACTTACAGTATCTATATTTGTTCTAGTTTTCGTACATCTCATCTTCCCTTCGAATCGTTTCGAATTTGTTATCTCAAGGCTTATCAGCTCTGGGGGGGCAACAATAAGTGGAGCGGCGACATCATCAATGTGAATGCCGTCATTCCCTTTCCACCTCTGCCAGGTTCATAATATTTCGCTGTTATTTTCTATCACTGCCATCTCATATCCATTTCGAAGCTTCAATTTATCAAAATCCGAGACTGTCTTAAGTATCAGACAAGGATCCCCTGACTTTGCTGATCGGATCGTGAGTACCATAGTACAATTTACCCCGATCATTATATTACATCAGGCCCATTTGGAGTGCCTGTACTCGCTGCTTTAAGTGTATCGACTACCGGGAATAGTCGGTGTGGACGCTTCCTTGCGTAACGCACAATTCAATTTCAAATTGTGTCCTCTCTTCTTCCTCCGCCACACAGACCATGAGCTCGCCAGATGGGCGTACCCGTTCTGGTTCCAGCTCCACCGATCCTTTCTCTAATCCAGATGTCTACTATGGCAAGGAGGATAATCTCAATGCTCTCAAGTCGAGACGACGTGCATTCTCAGTGGTAAGCAGCCATAACGCTTGGGCGGTACCCCGCGGTAGAAGGTACAGCCAGCTTATTTTTGACTGGGATCTTACAGGGTTTGAGCGACTACAGTCGTGAAGACATCAATCAATTCTTTGGAACCTTGCCATCTCGGCGCGGTAGTCATGGTATGCTTGTTACTAATATGCTGGATATGTGGTCAATGCAAGAGCTGACAGCAGCGGAATAGATGAGGCGCCAGGACAACCACGGAAATTCCTTATCGAGGTCGACGAGACGCTTGATGCTCTCTTGAAACAGGAGGATACGGATCAGAATATGCAGATTACCATCGAGGACTTGGGACCGAAGGTATGCTTGGTGGTGTCAAATACCGAGGACGGCTGCTGACCACTGTAGGTGATCTCCGTCGGCACTGCAGCATCTTCTGGACATAAGCGAGTTGACGTACGAGGCACATACATGCTCTCCAATCTCTTGCAAGAGCTTACAATTGCCAAAGACTACGGTCGCAAGCACATTATCCTTGATGAAGCACGACTGAGTGAAAATCCAGTCGCGCGGCTCTCCCGCCTGATCAAGAATTCCTTCTGGAAGGCCCTCACAAGGCGTATTGATGGCTCCAATATTGAAGTGGCAGGTCGAGACCCCAAGGATTGGACTGCAGACCCGCGACCTCGGATCTATATCCCGCCGGGTGCTCCAACGCAGTTCGAATATTACGAACGGATTGCGAAAGAACATCCCGAGCTGCGCCTTGATGTGCAGATGCTACCGGCTGTAATCACGCCCGATTATGTGATGGGACTCAACGACAAGCCTGGTCTCCTTGCTCTGGCTATGGAGGAAAAGTTGAACGAATCGACGGAGAAGACTGAGCTGGTCGGTGTGCCGTTCGTAGTGCCTGGTGGTCGGTTCAACGAGCTGTACGGCTGGGATAGCTACATGGAGTCCTTGGGACTGCTTGTCAGCGACCGCGTCGATCTCGCCAAGGGCATGGTAATCAATTTCTGTTTCGAGATCAAGCACTACGGCAAGATCCTCAACGCAAATCGATCTTACTATCTCACCCGCTCTCAACCGCCTTTCCTAACCGACATGGCACTGCGTGTTTATGAAAGGATTAAAACAGAGCCCGATTCAAAGGAGTTCCTGCGCAATGCTATCCTCGCTGCCATCAAGGAGTACAATAGCGTCTGGGTTACCGCGCCTCGGCTCGATCCAGAGTCTGGTCTTTCGAGGTATCGCCCCGAAGGTTGGGGCGTGCCCCCAGAGACCGAGCCCTCTCACTTCGTGCACATTCTCAACCCATACGCCAAGAAGCATGGAATGACCTTCGATGAGTTCGTTAAGGCATACAACTCCAGGACTATAGTCGAGCCCAAGCTCGACGAGTATTTCATGCACGACCGAGCCGTCCGCGAGTCCGGCCACGACACCAGCTATCGCCTGGAGGGCGTGTGTGGAAACCTCGCCACAGTCGACCTCAACTCCCTGCTGTACAAATATGAAGTCGACATCGCGCGGGCCATTCGCGTTCACTTCAATGACAAACTCCCCATCCCAGCAGAGTTCCGCACACCCCAAACCCAGCACATCGAGACCGAGTCCTCTGCAGTCTGGGACCGACGTGCGCGCAAGCGCAAGCAGCGCATGGACCAGCTTCTCTGGAACCCCGAGAAGGGCATGTACTTCGACTATGACACCGTCAAGAAGGAGCGTACAGAATACGAAACTGCCACAACCTTCTGGGCAATGTGGGCTGGTCTCGCATCCCCCGCGCAGGCAGCTGTCATGGTCGAAAAGGCCCTGCCCCGCTTCGAGGCGTTCGGCGGCTTGGTCTCTGGAACTGAGGAGTCGCGGGGTGCCGTGGGCTTGGAGCGTCCCAACCGGCAGTGGGATTACCCATATGGCTGGGCACCGCAACAAATGCTTGCCTGGACGGCCTTCCTCCGCTACGGCTACCAGGAGGATGCAGAGCGACTGGCGTATAAGTGGGTCTATATGATCACTAAAGCTTTTGTCGACTTCAACGGCGTTGTCGTGGAGAAGTATGATGTCACTCGTCCTATAGATCCGCACCGGGTTGATGCCGAGTATGGCAATCAGGGCACGGACTTCAAGGGAGCTCCACGTGAAGGGTATGTCTTTGTTCTTTCCCTTTTGCGAATCTCTTTGGTACTAATTCGATTGCAGGTTCGGCTGGGTGAACGCCAGTTACGTCTACGGGCTGGAGATTCTCAATGCCCATATGCGACGCTCGCTGGGAACTATCACTCCCTACGAGACGTACCATAAAGCAGTCGTTGCTCAGGATGCATATTGATTGAATTTTGTTTTGCTTTAACAGTCAAGATTGTTGCACAGTTTGTGTGGGCGTGAGCAGCGAACATGAGAATAGAAAATGCATGTAGAAGTGAGCAAGATATTGGATTTATGAACATCAAGCAGTGTTTACTGCCTAGCGTTGATTTTCGGTTGCAATTCATCTCTTAGTCTTTTTTCTGCCTTTGCTGAAAGCGTATCACATACAATCACAAAAAAGAATGGATGTCAACTTATTCTTCACTTCGCCGTATATGCCGGCAGATGTATACTGGGAGCACGCCATGGTCTAATGGTGAATGACAACCCTGGTAAATGATTACCCCACCAAACGAGCTTGACTGGCTGGGGTATACCCCAGAACCACAACCCGAAAGCGAGAATAAGTCGGTGGATGCCTCGGCAGCGCAACACGTCCCCGACCGAGAAAAGACCGCATTTCGGAGATCCCGAAGGCGTCATGGTCTCTCCGCAGACAGGAGATCGATAATATGACGGGTGGGGAGTTCCCTTGTTTTCCCGAGGTTGTTCCCGTGGCTATGAGGAACTGGGGTATGTATGCACTTGTTTTCTTGGGGTCGTTTGGTTGTTATCTGGTACGAATCTCATAGGTGGATGTTATCTCGTTAAGCATGTCTAAGGTTATCTGATGTCCAATATTCATCCATGGAACTTTCCAAGATTGGAGGCAATTCTTCGGATTATAAGTGCAAGGATGATACGAGAGAGGTTATATTTTACACCAGAGGGTCAAAGTACTGTGTTTCATGTTGGTGTTCCAGGCTTTATCTTTATTGTATAGTTCCTGATCTAGCCTTATCGGCGCTGTATGCGGTTAGTTTGGCAGAGCTCAGTTGTGCCGAGGTCCAACTTGTAGGGCGGTTTTGAGTCATTTTTTTTCCCTCGATCAGGGTGGATCTCTTACGATTGGATAGATGCATGTGCAGGTCACTTGGAAGTGTCATTTCTGCCGGTCTGATTTCGTGTGGTTGTAGATGTTAGAATGTGGTAACATATGTATTTGCATATATGGATGTGTAGTGAATGATATAGGGCGAGAAAATGGGACTATGAACCTGGTTATTGTCGAAACTACCTATGTTGTATATAACTTAGAGCAATGTCTATGTGTATAGCGTAGCAAAACACCAAAAGAATCCCGAAATACTCCGAAAAAGTTACATTATGGTGAAAACGCCTAATGCAAGGATCTTGAGGATTTGCCTGGTGGAGACCGGTCGAATACCGGGGCATGACAAGACGGCAAGGATGACTCAGGCAGACTATCTCTCTCGACAGTGTTTCTCTTCGAATGGTAACGATTTTCCTACTTTGCTATACTATAGAATGTAGCGCGTATACGGAGTAGTCAAGTATGTATCACGGAGAGTAGTTTATTTAAGACTATTCCTAACTGATGAACCTCCGAATGGGATGCACGTGAAAATTACCATACTGTATATCTTGTATTGCCACGGTAATCGCATGTGTTCTTCGACGTCATTCGGCTCTATTCAAACATCGAACATCAAATTCTCTCACCCCAACTTGAACAATCAAAGAACAAGAAGGGAGGAAAAAAAATACCTGGAATGTCATCCCCTTTACATTCTACTGAGATGCCGATTATTGTGACACCAATGGAACATTTGGGGAAGTCAGCAGTGGCAAAGGGTTGTCCCATTAGACCGAGGATCATCAGAGCCTGGATCCTCTGTTCCGAGACCAGTTGTACCCGCCTTCCGCCTTTCGGAGCGCTTTGCCCGTGCATTGGTCGAACCTGAGCCTGAAAGAAAAGAGTCCTGGAGTACCTAGGCATTGGAGGTATTGGTTCCCGTTGAGCCGAGCGTTTACCGACTGTGACGCATTTGAATGTTTAATAAGTACCCCGGCTTTCGCTGGCTTGTGATCGGGTCCTTCTTATTATTATAGCTTCGCTTCTCTTTTTTTAACCTTGATATCCCTTTTCTTCTTATACTTGGGGCATTGAACAGACGTGACACTTCCTGTCTGCATATACTATCTGACTATATTTGTACCCTTTTTTCTGTATTATACCAAAAGTCATGGGTCTACACGAGGATGAGGACCGCCAGTTTGCGGCGGAGGTTCAGGCCGTGCAGAACTGGTGGAAGGATTCTCGATGGCGCTACACCAAGCGGCCTTTTACAGCCGAGCAGATTGTCGCCAAGCGTGGTAACCTGAAGATCGATTACCCGTCCAATGTGCAAGCAAAGAAGCTCTGGGGTATTGTGGAGTCAAACTTCCAGGTAAGTTGAGCTGGGATATATCAACCTTTCACGATGCTGCAGATACTAATTATACATTTTGCACACAGAAAAAGGAGGCCAGCTACACCTACGGATGCCTTGAGCCTACCATGATCACTCAAATGTGCAAGTTCCTCGATACTATCTACGTCTCTGGCTGGCAGAGCTCGTCTACGGCTTCATCAACCGACGAGCCCTCCCCCGATCTGGCTGATTACCCTATGGTACGTTGAATCTGGCTATATAAAAGTTGGCGCATACTTACAAGTACTCTTTAGGACACCGTGCCCCGCAAGGTTAACCAGCTGTTCATGGCACAGCTCTTCCATGACCGTAAGCAGCGCGAGGAGCGTGTTACCACACCTGCCGGCCAGCGAGGAAACGTCGCCAACGTCGACTACCTGCGACCCATTATCGCCGATGCCGACACCGGACACGGTGGTCTGACCGCTGTCATGAAGCTGACCAAGCTGTTCGTCGAGCGTGGTGCCGCCGGTATCCACATTGAAGATCAGGCCCCCGGTACAAAGAAGTGCGGCCACATGGCCGGCAAGGTCCTCGTTCCCATCAGCGAGCACATCAACCGCCTGGTTGCCATCCGCGCCCAGGCTGATATCATGGGCTCCGACCTCCTGGCCATTGCCCGTACCGACTCCGAGGCCGCCACCCTCATCACCTCTACCATCGACCACCGCGACCATGCCTTCATCGTGGGCTCCACAAACTCAACCATCCAGCCCCTCAACGACCTGATGTTTGCCGCCGAGCAGGCAGGCAAGAGTGGTGCTCAGCTGCAGGCAATTGAGGACGAATGGACCAGCAAGGCCGGTCTCAAGCTCTTTTCTGACGCCGTTATTGACACTATCAATGCCGGCTCCCACGCCAACAAGAAGAGCCTCATCGACCAGTACCTCACTGCCTCCAAGGGCAAGAGCAATACCGAATGCCGTGCCATCGCCAAGAGCCTTACCGGCGTCGACATCTTCTGGAACTGGGATTCTCCTCGTACCCGCGAAGGCTTCTACCGCTACCAGGGCGGCACTCAGTGCGCCGTCAACCGTGCGGTCGCATACGCACCTTTCGCCGATCTCATCTGGATGGAGAGCAAGCTGCCCGACTACAACCAGGCTAAGGAATTCGCCGACGGCGTGCACGCCGTGTGGCCCGAGCAAAAGTAAGTTTCTTATCTCACCTTTCGAGTTTCCCGTCATATCAGGACCTCAACTAATAATATTCCCACTAGACTCGCCTACAACCTTTCACCCTCCTTCAACTGGAAGAAGGCCATGCCCCCCAAGGAGCAGGAGACTTACATCAAGCGTCTCGGTGCGCTCGGCTACTCGTGGCAGTTCATCACCCTGGCTGGATTGCACACCACCGCGCTTATCTCGCACCAGTTCGCGAAGGCTTACTCCCAGAACGGCATGCGCGCCTACGGCGAGCTTGTGCAGGAGCCTGAGATGGAGCAGGGCGTTGACGTTGTCACCCACCAGAAGTGGAGTGGTGCCAACTACGTTGATAATCTGCTGAAGATGGTTTCTGGTGGTGTGAGCAGTACTGCTGCTATGGGTAAGGGTGTGACTGAGGATCAGTTCAAGAACTGATTTATGGTGTGGCTCATGTTGATACCCTGATGGTCTTGGCTATCTATCGCTATATATGTGCTTGATGTCTTGTTTTACATATGTTGATTGTGGCGTTTTCTTTTTGTTTCTATACAATCTTGTTCTGATTCCCTGTCGGTCTTGCTCTCCTGTGGGATGAGTAGGTCGATTTATTTTGCATTTTGGAAATCATAGCATGATAGATTCTTGTCTTGAATGACTGTGGTCTTTTGAAGTTCTACTGTTGAATTTGTAAATGGAGAGCTGTATCTTTATAATGTTGAGTTCGTAAACCGTGACTGTGGTGTTAAACTTACATCGAAATCAATGTTAGACTGGGATAAATTTGAATCGAATAATGGATCAGAAGGTGATGAGAAAATGAAGCAATGCTACCAATATTCTATTTTTTTTTTCTATGGTGGCCCAACATGCCCTCTATCTTACAAGATAATTATGGGCCTTCCATTCCACACAACACTGGCAAACTGAGCCTGATCTAGGCATCGCCATAGACAAGTCTGAAGATATGGCTGTGGATGAAGAATCCACCGGAATGTCCCGGTGCAGGCTGCAGGGAGAAAGTCATCGCAAAGTTCAATGGCTCAGACGAATCATCTACCTGTTTCATCCAAAATCAGATATCGGTGCAGTCGATATTATATGTAGATAAAATATCTCGCTTACGCCTAAAACTCCACTAACAGCCACCAGTACGCATTCATTAGGAGATTGGGTGGCATCAATCGACATGATCTTAGTCTTTATACTCATCAGAGAAGGTCTCTAAATACGAAGGGACAGGTCAGACATGGATATGCTTATCATGCATTCGCTCTCATCACAAAAACTCACGGTTAAGGCTGATATTATATCTTGCGAGCCTGTATACTGGCTGCCTTCCCATAGTAGTGTTGACTCCGCGCGCTAATCCAACATCAGTTTTTTTATACATCCTATGATCACTTTGTCTTTTGTGTGTCACTTGGACTCGGACATACATAGAGCCTGGCCAGTCCGTTTCTTGTCTCCCCGTCATTGAATGTTTTGAAGTATCGCTTAACAAAGGATTCTAGATGAAGTTAAGAATCATTAGCCAGGTGACTATTTCGATGTGAGAGAGATAGATACGACGAGGCTAGGGCTGCGTACCAGATCCTGCCTTTATATCCATCATTCTGATTCACTAAGACTTGTTAGCGAACTTGACTCAGTGTTGCTTAAAGATTTCATGGTTTTTTGCGTGTAAGGTCCACACACCGTACAGGACATGCTTTGAATTTGAAAGTAATGTGAATATAAGAAGAATTGGGATCGATAGTAGACCTGAAGACAAAAAAGAATTTATAGTCAAGCGAGCCATCCCACACATAAAAATAGTAGCAATGCGCTGACAATATATGAATTCATTGCAAAGCCTACTGACCGCAACTTTCAGCTATGCATATATCAGCCACAAACCTTGGAGATAGTAAATCGAATTACTGGTGGTCGATCAATATCTAACTCCGGCTAGACAGAGTGGTAAGGACTAATAGCCTATTGATGTCCTGCATGATGTTTCATAAAAATTGATATTCTTCAGTTGATGTCCCCCAATCAGCCACCTCCCATTCACTCGCCTCCGCGGGCGTGCAGGGCTCGCTGGCATTGTTCCAGTGTGGCAGTGTATAGATGCATGTGATGTATACATAGCTAGCCCGTAGGATGACCCCGTGACCAGATATCAAGTGACCAACAGTGATCACATAGTCCAAAGTAGCTATGTTGTGTGTTAATATTTTACACGAGCTACCTATTTTGCATCCTTCTGTGTATAGAACTAAGCCGGAGAAAAAACACCGAGAAAGACGTCCAAAAATACATCTCGAGATCCCTTTTCTCTTCACATCCCAGTATTCAAACCCACCTGAGGCTTACTCCGCGTCAAAAAATATGGCTCCGGGCTCGTCTGCTTGATCTCTTGGAAAATTTGCGTGACAGAAGTTTGCCCTCGGAAGATCGCAATCCGCGCCGCCGTCCACTTTTTGTTCCCTGATGTCATGGAGACATCTGCGCCGGCATCGAGCAACATCCGGACAATCTCATAATGACCGCATTCTGCCGCTGCCGAAAGCGCCGTATACCCGTTAAAATATGAGCCTTGAGCATTGACATCAGCTCCTGCCTCTAATAATTGATGAACAATCCGGCTGTAGCCTCCAAAAGCCGCGGCTTGAAGGGCCGTAAAGCCACGATATCTCACAGCGGGGGCGTTCACATGGGCTTTGTGGTGTAGGAGAATCTCCACGACATCAGCGTGACCTCCCAAAGCCGCAGCTTGAAGCGCAGTGCGACCCAGGGTCTTCGCGGCAGGCGCATTGACATCTGCGCCTTGTTCAAGCAGCCATCGTAGTACCTCGATATGCCCTCCCTCAGCGGCAGCCTGTAGGGCAGTTCGACCCATATACTGATGGGATGGGCACTGGATATCTGCACCCGCAGAGACTAATAGGTGGACAATATCCAGATAACCCGCTCCAGAGGCTAGTACTACCGCTGATCTGCCTCCGTTGTTTCCTCCAGGAGCGTTGACGTCTGCGCCTGCCGCTAACAGCATCTCAACCACGGCAAGATGTCCATTAAAAGAGGCGGCCTGGAGGGCTGTCTGCCCGTAGTAGCCTTTAGCGGGCTCGTTCGGGTCCACTGATTGGGCTAAAAGCCGCTGTACTTGGGACAAATTCCCTTGCGCAGCGGCAAGCTGAATGGGAGCCCATCTGCTCTCATCGTCTGGTTCATCTAGTTCCGATTGCCGACTTGATAAAAGTGGAACTTCCTGCATCTTAAGACTTCTGTTATAGTTGGTTCGTGCCACTTGGTGATAATATATTGTTGGATTATGTCAACTGATGTGTATGACTTGAAGGTGCCTATCCGGTTAAAGCGGCATTGATCCTTGCAAGATAGTTGTAAATCCAACGTAATCCAATTAGAGGCTAGGTAGAGGGAAACAATTTGTAAAATTCGGGTACAATATAGTGAAATGACGTACAGCGGGACCTCCAAAGTATTGGATGACATTTCGCACCCTCATACATGAGGCAGTATATAAAAGTTGAATAATCCTCCCAATATTGTGGTCTCACTGCACATGTGTTATACAATGAGGGGTCATTTTCAAACGGAGTTTCGAATACAAATCACGCTCACAAAATAAGCACGCCTAAGCACTAGGTCTAAGCACTATGTCCGAACACTAGGTCTGAGCACTGCTGTTAGAGTGGGAATATCCTGTGACTCAGACCTTCTTGTCATGCTTCGTGGGCATCTTGTTATCAGATCAAGTGCATTTGTCATTTCGGTTCCAGCTGCCTAAGTGGATAAGATATATTTCGTAGTATTGCTGCCATTAGTGCGTCCAACACACGCATATTGACTCTGGCAGCCTTAAGTGCATTGCTCAAGTATTCTATTGTTGTATTGAGTCAAGCGCGAGCCCGGGAGAACATGCTTGATTATGCAATGGATTTCATCTCCCATTCTGACTCCCAGTCGGTCTGCTTCACCTTCTAATTGCATCTCAACAGGAGATAGTTTTTACGTTGCCTGATGTTTATCTACTTTCCATCTTGAACATTCTAGCTTGTGGCCGATATTGTGTGTTAATGATTTGTTGTCCTCGGATGAATTCGTGTCTCGTTAACCAACACAGACTGATTAGCCTGCTTTACAGAGTAGAAGAATAAACATGGAGCATGGAATATCTGAGTTGTACAAAACGTCTGATAGAAATCAAACAACGCGAGGCCGGGGTTAAACGACAACTAGGCAAACTACCGCTCCAGAATCGACAGGATTAAGTATTAATATCAAATGTTAGAGACTACCCTTCCCTAACCTCTCGATGCTTGACATGCTCACTGTTTCTAAACCTAGCTATGTAACCAAATCAGAGACAGCCTCGCAAAAATTGCAGATGATAAGATTCGCCCAGCTCCAAAGAGCAACAGATAGCTATAAGGACGGATTTCACGCGCAACCATTTGGAAAAAGACGCAGATCAAAAGAAAATTGAGTTTGAAGTACGATGTCGTTGAGACGATCAGGTAATTGTGGACGCTCTCCAATTATGGAGACTTGGTCTTCCAAAACTATCCCGGATACGTTCATCGACGAATCAAAGATAGCGATAGACCCCTAAACTCAGTAGAACAACCGAATCGCTCGGAGCGATTGACCGCGAACCAACCCTATACGTCTCGACTACCACTTCTGGCATAGCCATAGCCCGCTATGCCGACTGCGGGCTGCGAAATAGAGTTGCGAAACACCAAGGTGGACCAGTTATGTATAGCAGAGCGCCACATAAGCCCTCGATTATAGAAGGGCTAGGCTCTTAGATATAGAACTCGACTAGGTGGTCCGTTATCCAGTTCTGAAGTTAGATAATTTTAGACAATATGGCTGTAGGGTTAACGGGTTACCAGGTATCTCCGGGGTGAGAGGGGTAGAGTACATATACTCTGCGTGTGCCGAAGTAGGTATACTTCTTCCTATTCCATGTGATAATCCTTGCACGGTCAATCATTATTCATTGCCAAGAGAGGTTGTGATACCACTGAGTAATCCAATAACACATTGGACTTGACGCACTCAATGTGTTGGCGAGCTTTTTAAGGAGAGGTACATAGCACTCTAGAATCTGCATGACCAAAGAGACCTCTTACATGTTCTATCAATTCTTGATTAATGATAGCTATATATTTCCGGGGGATTCCTATGACGTGATTAGTAATCTGACGGCATCTCCACTCTTTTGCAGCGGGCAGTTCGTGTGAAACCGCGGTTACGGGGACTTTTATATGATGGGGACATGCATGGACGTGTACATGCACACTTGTACGTGGACTTCTTGTACACCCAGAGATAGCACTGAATAGAGGTAAAATTACTATAGATTTCCTTTTTTTTTTCTTCTTTCCAGCTAGATTTAAACGAAGTGGAGGCCAAAAGTAGAAGCCGAGAGCATGTGCGGAGCTTTAGACTAATAAGGGTAGAGCTAAAATCCCTTGGAGATATATAGCCTAGGTAACTTAAAAATGCCCGTAGATCTCAAGACATTTATATGTACCCGCACAATTTCCCACTTTTTTTTCCCCATTCTTCCTTTTTGGACTATCTTAATTCATGATGGTTGACCTACCGGAATTTCAAGCTACGTCGCTGGAGGAGATTCCTTCGCGCGTCGCCACGGCCCGCAAGGCCTTTGATGAGCACAAGACTCGCGACCTGGAGTTCCGCCTCGTCCAGCTGCGCAAGTTGTACTGGGCGTGAGTACTCAATTCCTTTGTGTTTCTGGTCAATTAATTAATGCTTTCCCAGTGTCAAAGACAATGAAGAGGCAATTATGGAGGCCTGCGCCCAGGACCTGCACAAGCCTCCGTTCGAGACCAATATCGGAGAGAGCGGATGGATCCTCAACGACATCGTCTTCACGACACGCAACCTGCGCAAATGGGCCAAGGATGAAAAGGCCTCCGATATCGATCTCACATTCAAGTTCATGAGCCCCAAGATCAGAAAGGATCCTCTGGGTACTGTGCTGGTCATTGGGTACGTCTCCCCCTTTGCCCCCTCGCTTGCGATGCGCCTGAAGAATATTCCGACTAACAGGCTCTTTCTTTTTTTCAACTCTAGTGCCTTCAACTTCCCCTTCCAATTGACCCTCGGCCCCGCCATTGGTGCCATCGCTGCCGGAAACACTGTCGTGATCAAGCCTAGCGAAAATGCTCCCCGCAGCGCCGCTGTCATGCAAAAGATCATCGAGTCGAGTCTCGACCCTTCATGCTACAAAATCATCCAGGGCGGTATCCCTGAGACACAGGCATTGTTAGCCGAACGGTGGGACAAGATCTTCTTCACGGGCGGCGCCAACGTCGGACGCATCATCGCCAAGGCCGCTGCACAACATTTGACCCCCGTTGTGCTCGAGCTGGGCGGTATCAACCCAGCCATCGTGTCCAAGAGCGCGAACCCGCGTCTCGTCGCCCGCCGCATGCTCTGGGGTAAGCTCCTGAACGCTGGCCAGCTCTGTACCTCGCAGAACTACCTGCTGGTCGACAAGTCGCTTGTCCCAGAGGTCGTACAGGAATTCAAGAATGCATACAAGGAATTCTATCCCCAGGGTGCTAAGGGCTCGCCCGATTACTCACGCATCGTCAACGAGGCTTCCTTCGCCCGTCTTAAGTCCATGCTTGATAATACTAAGGGCAAGATCCTTATGGGTGGCACTATGGACGAGAAAGAGCTGTTCATCGAGCCAACCGTTGTCCAGGTCGACTCGGTCGATGACTCCCTGTGTTCGCAGGAGAGCTTCGGTCCTTTCATCCCCATCTTGCCTGTAGATAACCTCGACGAGGCTATCCGCCTAGCCAATGGTGTTCAAAGCACACCGTTGGGTCTCTACCCCTTCGGTAACAAGGCCGATGTCGAGAAGAGTAAGTCTTGTATATCTGGTACCCCGCAACGACAGCCATCCTAACCCTCTCTCCTAGTTGTCTCTTCCACTCGCTCCGGCGGCGTTTCCTGCAACGACGCCGCGCTGCACATCCCCACCCTGCCCTTCGGCGGTGTTGGCGAGAGTGGCTACGGTTCTTACCGCGGCCGCTCTAGCTTTGACGTCTGGGTGCACCGTCGTCCCATCACCTCCAGCCCAAGCTGGCTGGAGTCCATCCTGGCTATCCGGTACCCACCGTACGCAGGCAAGATTAGCATGTTCAATGCTGCTAGCGCCCTGCACCCCGACTTCGACCGCAACGGTAACAAGCTGACTCTCGGCTGGCTGCGCTGCATCCTTACTCTGGGTGGAGGCAGTGCGAAGGCTGGAGCTGGCCGAGCTACTGTTATTGCTGCCAGTAAGTAAATTCTGGATCTTCATTTCCTTGCCATTTCTGTGAATTTTTTCCTCTTGCACAAATTTGTCTCGTTAGTTTATCCTAATACTGGAGACTTTCCCGTTTATGTGAAGAGGGGAACTAAATTCCGCCATCCCCAACCCCCGTCTGTGGCTTATATGCTTCCAACGATGAAGACGCATAATCCCTGTCTGTGCTATATACCCCGATCTCATTGACTGGCTTTACTCTGTTCTATTCTCTCCGAGGATGTCTCTCCTTACCATTTATTTCGTTATTGTCATCATCTTACCCCTTTTCCTTGATCATACTCTCATACCCCGGAATCAAGGAAAAAGATACTCATAATCCGTGAATTTTAATGAATCTATTGTCCCCCTTGCATTCCATTGCGATTGCACATCTGTTTCAATCATTTCAATCTGCATATCATTCCCATCAAACATTTTTGGAATCACAGTCTAACCTGTAATAGTCGCCTACATCGTCCTGCAGGTCCTCGAACGCCGATCGAAATTGTGAACGTGAACGCCTGCCCCTGATCGACACTATTCCATCCCATCCGGCTAGGATCTATCCCACTGCTTTGGTGTTGATCACTGATTACACCTTTTGGTGGAGCGTTAGACTTCAGGTTGGATTTACATGTGTGGATGAATATCTTGGATCACTCTACAGTAAAGTAATTTGTCATGTAGGTAAGTGCACTTTGAAATTAATCGCTCTTAGGTAACTGGGTTATGGATATTCGAGCTGTGTATATTTTATTTTAAATTGATTTGTGTGTTCTTGGTTGTTTTGATAGTGTATTACATATCCCTGGTGACAACCCTGGGAGTATGCGGACATAGTTTATCTAGACATCATGGCATCGGCGTTGGAGCCCCAAAGCTCCCGGCAATAGGCTACGACACTACATCAAGATACACCCCTGCGAAACACAGATCTAACATTCATATCATCATTCATGCTGTCAAATGCAGTGATTATCGAATGTGCTATCCAAAACAGACCAACGCCTTCACTTTATCCGATATCAGAAACCAAGTCTATGTCAAATACAATGGGCTCTCAGCAGCGCCGCTCCACGCCGCGGTTGCTCACGCACAAGTATTTGACACCCTTGTATGGCTTGACACCCTCGCCTAAACCACGACTGCGACGCTGGTCGATGTTGAGACTTTCCACCTTGATACCAGAGGGAAGCCAGCCTCGCACGGAGAAGGATACAGACGCCGAGTTGGGCATTAGACTTGCATTGGCCTGGGCTTTGGTTCTGCGCGTGGGGCGGGATGTAGATGATGGGGCGAAGAATGCGGGGAGGTGGGCATTATCCTGGGATTGTGAGTGTGATTGTGAGTGTGATTGTGATTGTGATTGGGGTGGAGGTGTGGGGGTGTGAGGTATAGAAGGATTTGGGGATGGAGCTGCAGCTGCAATGGGGTCTTCTTCCGCGTCTTCTGATTGTAAGGCAGCGGAGCGGGAGGATTTCTTTGTGGACTTCTTCTTCTTCTTTTTACGTTTAGAGGGGTCGGAGGAACGAGGCTTCTTTGATGTAGTGGCGGTTGCATCGTTGTAGGAGGTAGGAGCCTCGTAGTAACCTTGCAAGAGGTTGGCATTGGCATCTTCGTCAGCATCCTCGACGCTGCCGTCGAGGTCATCATCAGCGGATGGATAGCCTGAAACACTGCAACGCAGTGTGGCAGTACCGGTCAATGTTCCGGCATCCTTGCCAGTGGGAACCCGCCATTCGAGAAGCCCGCTTGCGGGGGAGAATTGAGCATCACCACGGCTGGCCTGCATGTCCGTGATATGGCGGACGGACTTTGAGATCGGTACGCTAACCACAACCTCTTCAAGTGCCGGCCCGGAGCTTCCACTTCCGCCACCTAAGAACGACGGTGTTGATGTACCGGATCCGCCTCGGGTAGCTCCAGGCCGCGAGGATGAGCTTTGGCCCGGGAAATTTGTGTTCAAAGTCAGCCGAACCTCAAATTCGGATCCAGATGATCCTAGCGATTTACGGATATCCACGATAGCAGGTAGGAAAAGCTTTTCCATATGGCTTGGTGGCTCATCCAGGTCGGGATCTATGGGAAGAAGATCCACTTCATATCCAGCCAAGATAAACCGCCCATCGGGGGGTATGAAGCTGAGCTCGCCCGGCCGCTCCTTCCATCGAGCCAGTCGAACACACGGGTGAAAAACTGGAAGTTCGATCTTGCGAGCAAGAACATGCTGACCACCAGGAGCTGATAACGATAGCTGTAGGTCCGGGACTCCCGATATCTTCGCCGTAAATGCGATGGTTCCAGATACCAAAGCAGACAGGAGTCGCCCCGAAGGAGCCATAGTAACAGAGAGAGATTCAATGATGTCGACATATAGCTCATTCGAGGTATGCCGTACACCGGGGCGTCGCCAAGGAATGGCGGGTCCTTGTGATGCACTTGCGGCGGCGAGAGATTGCTTGAGAGGATTCGTAGATCCTAGCGCTGGCGAAGATGTGCTAAACTCCCACGCGAACCCATTAGTACCACATACTATTGGCTCTCAGGTGAAGAGCTGCTCACCCAGGTACTCCAATTCCACCTAGCAGCTTCCCCATCCAACCGGGAACTTCAACAACCTCCTGCAATGCATTGGGTTCGGTATTACATACTATTCCCCCATCGCACATTTCAGTGAGAAGCTGTGCAACAACATCATAGTTGGCCTGGATCTTAGTTGTGAGCAGCGGTGCTCCAACAAAGTCCTCGAGTACATCAATCACGCGGTGCAGGAACTCCAATGCCAAAAGCGGCTCCGTATCGACTTCGCTTATGGCAAGAAATGTCAAATTCGACTCAACCGTCGAAAATACCGTCACCGGTGGTAGAGCGCTAGGGATGTACAGCAAGGAAGGGCGTGGCTCGGCATGAGCAAGGTAGAGGGGCAGGATGGCGGAGGCCGAGGGCGGGCGGGATCGATATACATGTTCGACGATAGGAACGCTAGGGAGCACGGTTAGTGTGACCTTGCAAGCCGGTGCGGAATACCATACTTTTGCTCGTCATATATGTAAACGGCATCAATCTCGCCGCTCATTGTGATAATTGTCTGATGATGAGATTACTTGCTGTGTCGGCGTACTTCGATTGCATAGCTCTCGTGTTTTGCCGCAGAGTCCCGCCTTCCGATAACTTTTTGGAGAACAAACAGAGATCAACTCATGCTACCTGAACCGTGTTGATTCGGTACGCCTTTCTTGTTCTTGTTTCGAACAATATCGAATTCAGCTCTACAACAGATTCATCTCTTCTGATAATTACAACATGGATATCCAACCAAAAGACGCCAAACAGGCTCTGGCTGAGGACAAGTACGACGACTGTCTGTCCTGCAGAGTGACTGGTATGTTTATTTTTAGCCTGTGATCCGAGCTGGTATTACCAGTCATTAATACTGACATTCCGCAACAGGATCTGCTGCTTTTATTGGTCTCGGAGTCTACAGCTACTACACTGGAATGGTCAATCTCCGGAAACAAGAGAAGGCCATCATGCAAGGTGCCACCAAATACAAGATGGGCTCGCGCAAGCTGGGTATTGCCTCTATTTCCGCGACATTAGTGGGAATGGGGTTGTGGCGAGCGTTTAATTGAGCATTGTACAATCAACACATATGAAACCGCATGCAATGCGACGAAGGCTGAAGCTGAGCAAGATATTTGATAGCGAAGCACATATTGGAAGTTTTGTAAGATATTGATTGTTGTTTAGTCGCAAACCAATGACAATTGCCACTCCGGGTATCGGGTATCACCACAGGCATATCCGTCTATATGCTATATCACAAGGGGAAGGGAAAAATAAGAAAAAGAGACTGTAAGAATGAGAAACCCAAGGAAGAAAAGAAACAAAACAAAACCATATGCAAAATGCCCCTTCCTTGTTATGCACCCGAAAAGCACCTTCGTACCCGAAATCTCAACCAGCCACAGTGTGACAATCAGAAGGGAATGGTCGTCACTTCATCATCATATAATACTTTATCTAGGCCAAGCCCTAGGTAAAGCGACCTCGTTTCCCACCCCCTGACGCATCTCGTCCGTTATTAAGTCCCGATAGATCGAAAAAATCCGGGAAAGTGAATTTCCTCTTGGACCCAAGACTAGCAGGGGACTCCCGTGGCGAAGGGCGCGCAGTTGCTCGTGGGTGGTTGTTGTGACGATGGTGTGGTCGGCTATTGCGAGGCATCACTGAGACGCTTACAGGAGCGCCGTCCTGCATGGCCGCAGATGAGTTGTCCGATGACTGCACATCCATGTCGAGTTCTTGACACTGAGGGTATGTAGGACCGGCAGAGAATGTGAAGACGGCAGGTGTGGCGAAAGATGGTGTTTCGTGAAGTTGCGTGGGAGGAGTGATCGGCTCTGGCTTAGATGTGGGTACAGGCGCCGAGGTGGGGGGCTGACGAGCAATGGTTTCGGGCGTAGGTTTTTCTTTGCGAGCAGTAGCGGGAGTAGCACTTCGGTCACGTTTGTCGGCGTCTGCATCTTCATCGCTGCTTTGTGATCCAGTTCCGTCACACTTTTCAGTTGCCCATTGTCGAACCTTCCACCCCTCTCCGTCTCCGAGACCGAGGTTCTCGCGGTCGAGGAAGTGAAGTAAATCCTCTATTGCTTCCTGGTATCCCAATGACCTTGCCTGAGCTTGTTCACATACTGCATTCTTGTACAGGTTTGTGACAGATAGAGCCGCCGCTTTGAATTGCTGGAGGAGTTGCTCCGGAGGTTGCGGGCGGGGTGTCGAGCTCGGGAGAGAGGTGTTGAGGGACCTCATGGAGTCCATGGCAGGGGACAATATCAAAGCCCTATCCGGCAGTGGGCTTGAGGACAGAAGTTTTTCGTGTTGACAACTTCGTATATCGTGCGTCGTTGCTCGGTGGACAAATCGCAATAGAGAAGAGCTTGGAGATGGTAAAAAGAGAGCAGGGGTGATAACAGAGTCTTGATTAAGAAAGAGGGCAAAAGCCAAAACACCCAGGATCAGATATATCCAGGCAGTTGTTCACCCAGCTGTGCAACAATAAGCGGCACCAAGATGTGTCAACGGAGGAACTTTCAAGGTTGTTGCAGATGACCGCCTTGGCCCGGTAACGAGAAGCCCACTTTCCGACGGAAGATCAATATTCCGAGCCGTCCGCCCTACTGAAAGGCGGTATCTTGATTTGCCATCGACGCGCTTTGAATACCTTCAATAATCCTAGTCTAGAATTGTTCAATAGCATTCATTCTATGGGACCCCCGTTGATGAGTCGCTCCAATTTTTGATTATATATTGGACTATATTTAGACAATCCCTCTCACTTCCTCACCACTCCGACCGCAGTTCTTTCTTATTACACCACGCGATTCGACTAGTCGCGAGCTTCCGATATTCTTTGTTGCACACTCAAAGACGTGTTTGAACAGCGAAAGCAGCTGTGATCTGTTCGCCAAAGATAAAACATGGCTCCTGCCCTCGCGTCTGATCCGGTCTCGCAGGTTGATACGCCTATGACTGACGCAAATGACGACACGGTCCCTTCGGTGCCCGTGGATAGTGCCGACGCGCAAATGACGGTATGTGAAGCTGTTCCTACTTGCTTATCTAGAACAAACCGCAGCATGGTCATCTACATGTATCTCTGTCTTTTGTCTCATCTCATGCTGATTTTCTTTCGCAATCTAGAGCCACCGAGATACACCAGAGTATACAGTAAAGATGCCATTGGTCTACAACGTTGTGTATTAGAGACTGAATTTTGCTAATCATTGAAAAGGACTCTGACACAAATCCCAACACCACTGAAAGCAGCGTTGCGGGCGACGCCACTGCCGATGGACGCAGGCGCAGATCTGAGGCCAACCACCTCAGAAAAAACATCCTAAACAAGAAACATGGCCGCCTTGATACCACAAAGGTATAGTTCATAGCACAAGATGACCGACTACGCCTCTGCTGATATATTACGTCTCGCAGGAGGATGATTCCATTCGCCGTTTCCGATATCTCCTCGGTCTCACTGACCTGTTCCGCCACTTCATCGAGACGAATCCAAACCCTGAAATTAAAGAGATTATGGCAGAGATCGACCGACAGAATGCAGAGGCGGAGGAAAAGGCCCGCAAGGGCTCCAAGCGCACTGGAGGTGCTGGTAGTGAGCGGCGCCGCAGGACTGAACAAGAAGAAGACGCAGAGCTGCTACAAGATGAGAAGCAGGGCGGTGATAGCACCACCGTCTTCCGAGAGTCACCGGCATTCATCCATGGCGAACTACGCGATTACCAGGTTGCCGGTCTCAACTGGCTCGTTTCGCTACACGAGAACGGCATTTCCGGTATCTTGGCTGATGAGATGGGTCTCGGCAAGACCTTGCAGACGATTTCATTCCTGGGTTATCTACGTTACATTCGTGATATCAACGGGCCTCATTTGGTCGTCGTGCCGAAGTCAACTCTAGACAATTGGAAACGGGAGTTTGCAAAGTGGACCCCCGACATCGATGTCCTGGTGCTCCAAGGTAACAAAGAAGAGCGACAGCAGTTGATCAATGAGCGCTTAGTTGAGGAGGAGTTCGATGTCTGCATCACCAGTTATGAGATGATCCTCCGCGAGAAGTCGCACCTGAAGAAGTTTGCTTGGGAATACATTATCATCGACGAGGCCCATCGGATCAAAAACGAAGAATCGTCGTTGTCGCAAATCATCCGTCTTTTCAACTCCCGCAATCGGCTGCTGATCACGGGTACTCCGCTGCAAAACAATCTGCATGAATTGTGGGCTTTGCTCAACTTCCTTCTTCCAGATGTCTTCGGCGATTCGGAGGCCTTCGACCAGTGGTTTTCAAACCAAGATTCTGACCAAGAAACTGTGGTACAGCAACTCCACCGTGTTTTGCGCCCTTTTTTGCTTCGACGTGTGAAGAGTGATGTTGAGAAGAGTTTGCTGCCGAAGAAAGAACTGAATCTCTATGTTCCAATGTCTGAAATGCAACGGAAGTGGTACCAGAAAATCCTGGAGAAGGACATTGACGCCGTTAATGGTGCCGCTGGGAAACGCGAGTCCAAGACCCGCTTGTTGAACATCGTTATGCAACTACGGAAGTGTTGCAACCATCCTTACCTGTTTGAGGGGGCTGAACCAGGTCCTCCATATACGACGGACGAGCATCTTGTTTTCAATTCGGGAAAGATGGTCATTCTGGACAAACTTCTGAAGCGCATGCAAGCGGATGGTAGTCGTGTCCTTATCTTCTCCCAGATGAGTCGTGTACTGGATATCTTGGAAGATTACTGTGTGTTCAGAGATTACAACTACTGCCGTATCGATGGTACTACTGCACACGAGGATCGCATTGCTGCCATTGATGACTACAACAAGCCCGGATCCGATAAATTCGTTTTCCTTCTGACCACCAGAGCGGGTGGTCTGGGTATCAACTTGACTTCGGCTGATATTGTGGTTCTCTTCGACAGTGACTGGAACCCGCAAGCTGATTTGCAGGCCATGGACCGAGCCCACCGAATCGGCCAAACCAAGCAGGTCAAGGTTTTCCGATTCATCACAGAGCATGCCATTGAAGAGAAGGTTCTGGAGCGAGCAGCCCAGAAACTGCGCTTGGACCAGCTTGTCATTCAGCAAGGTCGTTCTGGACAGCAGGTCAACAAAGCATCTTCGAAGGAAGACCTCCTTGGCATGATTCAGCACGGTGCCGCTGAAGTATTCAACACGAAGGCTGGAGACGGGACAGAGACCGCTGAAGATGAAGATATCGAGACCATCCTGCGTAAAGGTGAAGAACGAACTGCAGAGCTCAGCAAGAAGTACGAGACTCTCGGTATTGATGACTTGCAAAAGTTCTCCTCTGAAAGTGCATATGAATGGAATGGCAAAGATTTCACCGAACGGAAGAAGGATATTGGCATCAGTTGGATCAACCCAGCCAAGCGTGAGCGCAAAGAGCAATTCTATTCCATCGACAAATACTACCGCCAAGCGTTGGCCACTGGAGGCCGAACCGCCGATACAAAGCCTAAGGTCCCACGTGCTCCTAAACAAATCACTGTCCACGACTGGCAGTTCTTCCCCCTGGTCTTCACGAGCTCCAAGAAAAGGAGACGGCCTACTTCCACAAGGAAATTGGTTACAAGGCTCAATTGCCCGAGGGTCCTGAAGAGGAGCTCAGTGAGCGAGAGGCTGAGCGGGACCTTGAACAACAGGAGATTGACAACTCCGTTCCGCTCACTGAAGAGGAGCAAGCTGAGAAAGCACGTATGTCAGAAGAAGGCTTTGCGACTTGGAACCGACGTGATTTCCAGCAATTTATCAATGGATCTGCCAAGTTTGGTCGCACCGACTACAAGGGTATTGCCACCGAGGTAGACAGCAAGGAGCCCGATGAGATTAAAGAATACGCCGACGTCTTCTGGCGCCGATACACCGAGATCCAGGACTATCCTAAGTATCTCCGAGTCATCGATCAGGGTGAAGAGAAGGTGCGGAAGATGGACCACCAGCGGAAGATGCTCCGCAAGAAGTTGGAGATGTACCGCGTGCCGCTTCAGCAGCTCAAGATCAACTACACAGTGTCCACCACCAACAAGAAGGTTTACACTGAAGATGAGGACCGATTCTTGTTAATCATGTTGGACAAGTATGGGGTCGAGGGCGAGAATTTGTATGAACTCATCCGTGACGAGATTCGTGAATCACCTCTGTTCCGATTCGATTTCTTCATGCTCAGTCGTACACCCGTGGAAATCGGTCGTCGCTGCACTACTCTGTTGAACACTGTGGCGAAGGAATTCGAGCCCAGTGAAGGCAAAGGCCGCGGTCGTGATCGTGACGAGGAAGAGGAATTAGAAGAAGCGCCCCCTGCCAAGAAGAAGGCTAAGAATGGAGCTGCTGTAAGTTCTGTCTCATCGATCATCTGATCATCTATAATTCGATTCTAACTTTTCTCTTACAGTCGACCAAACAGGCCAAGGGCACCAAGGGTGGTAGCAAGACTGCGTCTGCGGCAAGTTCCCGAGCTCCTAGTGCTACCGCAACCAAGTCTAAGTCTCGCAAGAGGTAATCATGTGGATTGATCCACGAGTGTGTACGTTCCCAGTTTGCTCAGGTTATTGGTGATTCGGATATTGGGGCGGTTTTGTCAGGGTTGGCGCAAATGATCTTAATGTATTTTTGTAATTGAAATAGAGTTAACTTGTTTTACTACCAAAGGCTTATCGTAGATCCCTGTATCATCCTATCATCCCTGTATATTCGTGCATATTCCTGTATATTTCTGTATATTCCTGTATAATCCCGAGAAATTCCCCGCCTGGCCGGAGTCCGTATCACCGTGCAGATCGGATACTACCTTCTGCCGCCATCATGCTACTGAAACAACACTAACCCTAAGTCATCAATTACAAAATAACAGGTTTCTACGTCTCTACCTATTATCCATCAAACCGATAAATGACCAGCCTCCCCACTAGAGAGGCATCGCAATGCCCAAAGGCCATGACGACGCTCTCCGTTTCCAATACCCACCAGTCCATTGCATGATCCCAGCATAAATACCTAGGGAGACCCCAAGCTCTAGCCAACCATACTGAACCTCCTCGAATAAAAAATATTCGACCCCCCACCATGACGACTAAAATAAATCTTATCGCGAACCCGCACTACCAGAAGTCGGGCACGAAGTCGTACTTGCACGCTATGCGCAAGTATCGCTTCAACCCAACGAAGGGTGGCCCGTATTTCCTTGGGACGACGATGGTACAGACCGGCCGACAATTTACAAATAAGCCTGTAGGAGGTCGTGCTCGATTGCAACAGGTGCTGCAGAAGAAGAGCGCCGTCAGCGATGAGGTTGGGCAAGTAGATGCCCACGATGTGCAAAATGATTCGATGTATCTTGCAGAAGTCAGTATCGGCACGCCTGAACAGAAGCTCAAACTAGACTTTGATACTGGGTCTGCAGATCTGTGGGTAAGTAGGCTTCTTTCGCTTATATGCGCGTGCTGTGAAGGTTGCTAAGATTGTCTAGGTCTGGTCCACGGAGTTATCATCGAAGAGTTTGTCCGAGAACAAACACCATACAATCTTCGATCCGACCAAGTCGAGCACATTCAAAGAGAAAGATGGCTCTACGTGGCAGATTAAGTACGGTGATGGCTCCTTTGCCTCTGGCACGGTCGGCAACGATAATGTCAACATCGGTGGGCTGGTGGTCCGAGACCAGGCTATCGAGGTCGCTGATATGTTGTCCGCACAGTTTGCACAAGGTGCTGGGGATGGGCTTCTGGGACTTGCGTTTGGTAATATCAATACTGTTCAGCCCCAGGCCGTGAGCACGCCTGTGGAGAATATGATCTCGCAATCCGACATCCCGAAGTCAGCTGAGCTCTTCACTGCAAAATTAGGATCATGGCGAGATTTGAATGAGCCGGATAAGGGCGAGTCATTCTATACTTTTGGTTATATTGATCAGGACACTGTGAAAGCCGCCGAGGAGGAGGTCTACTACACACCTGTCGATAACAGTCAGGGGTTTTGGATGTTCGATTCGGCCTCGGCGACTGTGAATGGGAAGTTGGTTTCTCGGACTGGAAACAAGGCTATTGCTGATACGGGGACTACTTTGGCGCTGGTGGATGATGCAACTTGTCAGGCCATTTATGATACTATCCCCGGGGCAGAGTATGACAACGATAGCCAGGGATGGATCTATCCCTCCAACACACCGGCTGATAAGTTGCCTGTTATATCTTTTGCTCTTGGGGACAAGCAGTTTGTTGTCCAGAAGGAAGATCTAGGATTTGCCGAGGCTAAGTCTGGTTATGTCTATGGAGGCATCCAAAGTCGTGGTACTATGACCATGGACATTCTAGGTGATACCTTTTTGAAAGCTATTTATGCAGTGAGTGATTTTTTCTGTGAAAGTCTACAGTCACACGGGCTAATCCGATATTCAGGTCTTCGATGTCGGCAATCTTCGCTTTGGTGCTGTGCAGCGAAAGGAGCTGCATCAAAATCTCTCTGTGCCTTCTGAGTCCAGCTAAACATATGCATAATGTGATATTTGGCGTAGGACTTGCATGCGATACAATTCATACTTCTATGTACTACGAAAGAAAGATGCTGCAATATGAACACGGAAAGAAATGTGCTACAATCTACTGATAGAAACCAATCACAGCCACCACTAAATGAAAAGCGCCTTCATATGCGTACTCGAGTCATATCGTCACAAATCTGCCCATTTGATGACGGGCTTGATAACCTATGGAGAGTATATCTGTTAGCTCGCCTGTTTGAAACATCCATTCCGAAGGACTTACATTTCCAGAGTGCAAGTCTGCTAGGGCTTGCTCAAGGGCATCCGGGGCATAGATCCTAGCAAGCTTGTCAACTGGGAATTTCCCTTGCTTGTATAGATCAATCAGATGTGGAACAATCTGCACAATGACGAAAAATTAGTCACGACTTGAGAGCGATTCTGAAAAAAAAAAAAAACAAAGACTTACCACAGCGGGGTTTGCGCAGCCTTCAATCACACCAACAATACGCTTGCAAGCCATCATGAGTGCCAAAGGATCGATGTTGAGAGATGAACCAGCACAAGCCACACCCACAATAGCCAAGGTTCCTTCATGGCCCAAAGCTTTGACCGCAGCCTCAAGCAGAGGCACTACACCCGTCGTGTCGAGAATACAGTCAACGCCATCCGGGAAGATATCTAACAGCCCCTGTGCAAGGTCAGACACACTCTTTGTGTTCAATGTGTGCGATGCACCAAGAGACTTCGCCAGCTCGAGCTTCGCATCAACAATATCAATCGCAATAACTGTTTCGACTCCCTGAGATCGGGCCGCCATCATGGCCGCCAGCCCAACAGCACCCATGCCAAGGACAGCAAACCGACTTGTTGGCTGAGGCTTGAGAACATTGAAGACGGTACCAGCACCAGTAAGATATCCACAGCCAAGAGGAGCAAGAACCGCCATGTCTTCAACCGTGATTCCAGATCCTGGAGGTGACTTGACGACTGACCGCTCGTCAACCACAGCCAGCTTGCTCATAGAAGACTGACCGAAGAATTGGCCACGAATTGAACCCTTTCCATCAGGGAAAGAGATGGGTGATTCGGCAGCGCTGAGACCTCGAGCGCCGGCGAAATTAATGGATGTTATCTGACTGCAGAATCCGTTTCGGCCTTTGCTGCAGGGGCTACATGATTTTTCATGGCAGGAGCTGAAGCTTAAGAAAACAAGGTCGCCCTCTTGGAGGGACTTGTCTTTAACACCACTGCCGACGCGGCGGACAATTCCGGCGCCCTCATGACCTAGTACGGCGGGATAGTCGCCAACCGGCATTGCGCCTTGTTGGACGACGATGTCCTGAGGGTATCTTGTCAGTCTCGTTTGCTTGGAAAGGTTCACTTGCGGAATGCATGATACATACTGTATGACAAAGAGCAGTATACTTCATTTCAACCAAGACTTCATTCGCTCGGACTCCATCGAGAACAACATCTTGAAGGACGAACGGAGCTCCAGGCTTTTCAACCACGAAGGCCGCAGTTGGGATCTGTTTTTCCGGGATCATAGGGATGGTCTTATCCACATGCACGGATCTTTCTATAGAATAAATTTCACAATGGAAAGACAAAGACGATTGTACAATCGCGGGAAGTTAAGGAAGTCAAAAGAGGCTGCGGGTCTTCCCCCCGCAGATCCGGTCCCCCACACTTCGGCGACGAGTGTCGGTATATCTCAGAAGTTTTGAAGAATTCTAGGATTTTACCTCTAATGACCTCAAGAAACATCAGACTCGAAATGGAGGGTCTCTTGGATTCTCCAGATGAGGTGTGTTAACCCTAATTCGGAACAAGAGCTTGGATTGAAAAAAGAAACAACGCCAATTATATGTGCTAGTGTACATAGATGCAATGTAAGTGCTAGAATACATACTGATTACAGTCAATTACCACATTTTATCCTTTCTCGTGTTGGTTTCCATATTCTTTTCCTTCTTGACAATTTCGCCCAAAGTTATGGGGGTCCGCAAGAACTTCTCCATCAGTAGCGCGGCGGCGACACTCACATTCAGACTGTCGATTCGGGCAGGGTCTGATTGGACGCCTAGGATAGAACTATGTCGGGCACCTGGAATGCTGACGATTGCATCTGCATGCGACTTGATATGTGAGCTCAATCCAGTGGCTTCGCTACCCATCATGATAACACTAGGCGCAGTCGTGATAGGTAATTTGGATCCGCTTTGGTTACCGTCCGAAGAGATATGATCTAGATGCACAGAGCCGGGGATTGGTGCATCTGCGGCATAGAACCGCCACCCATTCTGCTGGGAACGCTGAATAAAATCAACTTCATTCTTCACGTGAAGGATAGGCATGTTCTCGGCTGCGCCAGCAGAACATTTGATTGTGATAGGAGACAATGGCGCAGAGTTGCGACCGGCCAGAACAATTGCATCCACACCCAGGAAATAGGATGAACGGATGATGGCGCCCATATTACCGGTATCGACCACTCCATCCAATAACAAAACAACTGGGTATCGGTGGCGTTGTTCAGTTTCTTGCGAGAAAGGAGAAGGATGATGGATCTGGATTCGATCATCGGTGCCATTTACCGCAGCTTCTTCCCGGGTTTGTGGCGCAAGCTCCGTTCGGAAATACTCCTCGGATATAGATGGAACAGCCTGCAGGCCACGCACAGGTAATTTTGGTAAGGGAGATGCCTCCAAAATACACCCATTGTGAGGTCGCCCGGCACTCATCTTGTCCATGAGCCGATCCCATCCGGCAAATGCCATTTTTACTGTAATGTTCTTTGACAGTGCCAGTTTGCGGATTGTCATCTTTGCTGCACTTAGTTCTTCATCCGCACTCTGGTAGATATACAGCTTGTATAGTTGGCGCCGACTGCAACGCAGCGCCGCCTCCACGGCACTTGTGCCATAAATAAACTCAGATGCCGGTGTAGTGTAGGGAATTGTGTCGGGCACTTTCACGTTGTCCTTCACCCGTTCTGGCATGCTGCTCGTGGCCCGGTGAGCTCGAGATCTTGCCGGCTCTTTCTCCCGCGACTCATCCATTGCGTACCTTCCCCGTCCAGATTGTGTGAATGGACTCTCTTGGGTCCGCGATTGAAATCGTGACTGGAATCGTGATTGATGTTCTCGGGGAAGTCCTCGGAAATCACCAGAACGAATGAACTCATCCTCATCGAACTCAAACTTTTCCTCCTTTCGGCTGTGTCTTGAGGATTGAGGGTGGTCATTCCATGTCGATTGTCGGCGGCCATAGTCTTTGCGGCCCAAGCCGTCTGATGTCCGGGTTCTTTTTGCTCCGTATTCTCGATCGCCCTGGCCGTAGTTGCGATCAACACCGGTGTTCAATCCAGCTCTATCAGGCTTCTGTTCTCCATGCGGTCGCGCTCCATAGGATCGACGTTCATTGAAGTTGGATTGACCGGATCTTTCGTATTTTTGCTGTCCGTATTGTCGCACCCCATTTGTTTGACGCTCATTGTAATTGGATTCACCTGATCTCTCGTATTGTCGCGCTCTGTACTGCCCCTCGTATTGTCGCTCGCGTTTAGAAAATCGAGACTCGTTGCCGCGGCGATCCTCTCTGTCCGCATCCGCCGACTGAGATCTGCGAATACCCTCCCCAATTGCTGAATTTAAAGATGCATGCCGAATCGCTAAGACTGTAGAATGCGAGGAGTTGACCACTCTTGAAAGACCATACAAGCCCGTTCTTGAGATAGCACTGAGCATCGCGACAAAGTTCCGGTCTTTGCAGGTTTTCCAGTCCGGCATTGGAGAACTTCGATATCGAACTGCGCGATAGGTCTCTAGCCGCCCCCGTACTTATCGTTATCGCAACCAAACGCGTTGCGCGATCTGGGCTGTATGCGAATTGGAGTCTGGTTCAACTTCGGCTTTCTTCTTCTCTCATTCATCGTCCCTCGTTCATTCTTTTCCTTCTTATTCACTTCGAACTCATCTTTCCTTTGAGAGCCCAATCAATCCAAACCCTTGTTTGGCTGTCCATTGAAACACTCAACCCTTTCGTCGATCCCATACCCATTTCATAGCTCAGCTTCACTTCAGTTGACTTCTCCAGTCCTCACTTGTAGGAGCCGCATGTGCGGTTCCTACAGCTTCATTCTCATTTCCTGACTTCTCACGTGATCAGGACAACATCATGTCTCAACCTAGAGACAGTTCTCAAACCCTAAATGATCCTGATGCGATGGCTGCGCAATTGCTGGCGCAGTTCCAGAGATCATCATCTCGTACGACTCCTATCGTTTCACATAAGGGCCCCGAAGGCGCCCTTCAGCCAGTGCAACAGATCACTGGAAACTCAGAAGCATCAACAATGTCTTTTGAGATCATTGTGCCAGAGGTTAATAACTCTGAAGACTATGAATATTTGCCCGGCCACTTCGAGGTTCGTCGCATTCTTGCGGTCGATATGAATGAGCCAAAGCTCATTGTGAGACTCAAAAGTGGTGAACGTCAAACCGTAAGTGAACACAATCAATCAATCAATCACAAGCTCCATTCGACTGACCATGGCGTTCACTAGATGACCATCAAGGAATTGAAAGGTCTTAAGAACGGACCAGAAGCTTTGCGTGAATTCAACCGTGATTCACAGAGCCCCGATCCCCTCGCAATGGACCACGACCCCGTTCCTCGTCTCATTTACTCCGGGGGAGACGGTCCCGCAGACTATGATTCAGACATGGATTGGGGAATTGCACGACGACGCCAACGGCGTGGGCCATCAATCTCATACGATCATTTCTTTCGCAGTGGCGATGAAGATGAAAACGACGACCATCAAAGCCGTGATGATACCAGTAGCGTGCATACTGAAGATTCAGAGGAGTCTAGTGATGAAGATGACAATAATCCTCCAACCAAACGCCGCCACTTGAGGCGAGGTGTACAGAAGAAGAGCCGGAAGCAACGTACCCGCGAATGGTTTGAAGAATCTTCTGCCTCCGATATTGGCAAACGAGCATCATCTCGCCTGCGAAAGACCCGTCGGCGCAACTTGAAAGAGAAACTTGAAGACGACGAATTTTCCGAGCGCGAAGTCGAGCAGCCCAAGCAACAAAAGTTCTCAGGTGCAAGGGAGCAGTTCCGTGAACTACCACCCGACAATGACTTCAGACTGTTACACTCCCAGTTGTGTGCTCAATGCGGCCAGGAAAATTACGACCCTGAAAAAGGATCTTTGGTATTCTGTCAAGGCTGTACAGTCTCGTACCATCAAGGTTGTCTTGGCGATCGAAGCAGTCGAAAGCATTTAGTAACCAAGGTTGCCGAAGGGGAGTTTATTCTTCAATGTAGCCGTTGCTTGGGGATCAAGCACCAAGAACATGATATGAAGCCTCACTTGGGTCACTGTGCTGTGTGCAGAGAAGCAGGACCCATGTCTCAGCCCTTGCGAGAGAACCTTACTTCCCAAACCGAGCAACAATTGCGAGAAGCCAATGATGGCATAGATCCGATAACCCATGTGCAAATTTCTCGCATCAACAATGTGGATAATATCCTTCTCAGGTGCCTTGGTGGCGGTCATGCCTGCAAGCGAGCCTTCCATATCTATCATCTTCCAGACAAAGACTGTGCCGACATGGATCTTGATTCCTGGCAATGTAACGATTGCTCTGAATCTCCTTCTGGCGCCAACCCAATCCATGTGATTGTTGCTTGGAGACCAAAAAATTCCGAAGTCAAAGTTGTTCCGCAGTTGGTTGAGATGCTTCCAGAGATCGACAAAGAGTACCTTATCAAGTGGAACAACAAGTCCTATTTCCGTGTGACCTGGTTGACTGGAGATTGGGTCTGGTCCAAAGCCCCCGCCAGCCAGATGAAGTCATTCCTCAAGTCAGACAGATCTACAAAACCGATCATGACAACAGCCGAAGCTGTCCCGGAGGACAACCTACGAGTGGACATCATTTTTGATGTGGAATATCACGATGAGCCCGAATCTCAAGATGATCGTGCGAACGGCGATTTGGTCAAGCGGGCGTATGTTAAGTACAAAGGGTTGCCTTACGAAGACTCAGTCTGGGAAGATCCCCCAAGTCGGACTGATACAACTCGCTGGGAGGATTTCCAGGTTGCTCTCTTTGACAGGGTGCTCCGGGAAAATATCCAACCTCCAAGGGCTAAGGATCTCCAGACTCGTCTCAGCAATGCCCGCACAAAGACGTTTGATGAGAGCCTTATGCTGTCCGCTCAGCCTGGCTTGGTGGTCGGGGGCGAGCTCATGGAGTATCAGATGGATGGAGTAAACTGGTTGCTTTACATGTTTTTCCAGCAAAAGAACGCCATTCTTGCTGACGATATGGGTCTGGGAAAGACAATCCAGGTCATCACCATGATTTCGGCATTGATCGAAAAGCTGGATTGTTTTCCTTTCTTGGTTGTTGTTCCGAATGCGACTGTGCCAAACTGGCGTCGAGAGATCAAGAGCTGGTCGCCAGACGTCCGGGTTGTCACCTATTATGGTAGTGCCTTGTCTCGCGAGATGACCAGAAAGTACGAGATGTTTCACGAGAATGGCACTCTATGTTGTCACGTAGTCATTGCTTCATACGAAAGCATGGCCGATGATGGGGCTAAGAGAGTCTTGTCCAGTGTCAATTGGGCCGGCTTGGTCGTTGACGAAGGCCAGCGCCTCAAGAATGAAAAGACACAGCTCTATGAGCGTCTTCGTCGCATGAAATTCGGCTTCAAGTTGTTGCTCACTGGCACACCACTTCAAAACAACATCAGAGAACTGTTCAACTTGGTTCAATTTATTGACCCAACTTACAATGCCGAAAATCTGGAAGCCAAATACGGAGGATACCTCGACAATGAACAGATTAGTGAGCTCCATGACATGATCCGCCCATGTCTCCTTCGTCGAACAAAGGCAGAGGTTCTGCCATTCCTCCCCCCGATGGTGCAGATCATCATCCCAATCTCAATGTCGGTTGTGCAGAAGAAGCTGTACAAATCAATTCTTCAAAAGAATCCGCAGCTTATCAGATCCATTTGTAAAAAGCAAACAGGACAGTTGAAGAAAGCAGAGCGACATAACCTGAACAATATCCTGATGCAACTGCGCAAGTGTCTTTGTCACCCCTTCATTTACAACCGGGACATTGAAGAGCAAACTCTCGACCCCGAAATTTCTCATCGACGTTTGGTCGAAGCGTCTGGAAAGCTTCAGTTGCTCAACCTGATGCTACCACGACTTCGGGAGCGTGGACACCGAGTCCTCATCTTCAGTCAATTTTTGGAGAATCTCACCATTGTTGAAGACTTTCTCACCGGACTGGGACTCCAGTACTGTCGCCTGGATGGCAAGTTGTCCTCAAGAGAGAAACAGCAACAAATCGATCAGTTCAACGCGCCGAATTCTCCGTTCTTTGCCTTCTTGCTTTCGACGCGGTCGGGTGGTGTTGGAATCAACCTTGCCACTGCCGATACAGTCATCATCATGGATCCAGACTTCAATCCAAAGCAGGACATGCAGGCACTGTCGCGTGCCCATCGAATCGGGCAGAAGAATACAGTTCTTGTGTTCCACCTAGTAGTGCGCGCATCAGTGGAAGAAAAAATCATGCAAAAGGGTAAAACCAAGATGGCGCTGGACCATGTACTTATCGATCGCATTGAGGCCGACCAGGATGAAGAAGACTTAGAGTCAATCCTCAAGCATGGTGCCCAAGCACTGTTCAATAACGACGACTCGGCGGATATTAAATACGACAGCCAGTCGATTGACAACTTGTTGGACCGGAGCCAGGCCGAGCAGGCTGAGCAAATTGCCAGTGAGGAAACTTCCAACCAGAATGAACATGCACAGTTCAATTTTGCGCGGGTGTGGCAAAAGGATCGTGATAACCTCGAAGAAGTTGTTGAGACTGAGGAAACACCTGTAGACCTGACAGCGTGGGAGAAGATTCTGCAGGAGCGTGAACGTGAAGCACAAGAGGAGGCCAACCGCCAATCGGAAGGTCTTGGTCGCGGGAAAAGAAAGCGTGGTGCACCCCGTTACAATACTGCCATTGAAGGAGTCGACGACGATGAGAAGCCTAGTCCTGTTCGCCGGCCTCATAGCAAGATGCGAAAGAGAACCGATGATAAAGACTATGAGTTCCAACAGCCAGAGGACGATGGTGACGAAAGTGGTGATGAATTCGAAGCCGTAACTGAGCCAATGGACACTGCAGAGGATGGTGACACGACTCTTTCGGATCCCGGGGTTGATCCAAATGAAGTTCCAAGTGCTCTCGTTCTTGCACGTATCGCCGAGGCAGAACAGCGAGGTAAGAACTGTTTCATTTTCCATGCACACCCTGATTACACCTTGTGCTATTTAGTTACAACCAACATCCCTTCCTTCCCCATCACAGACAAAAATATACAGTTTGCTAACATACATGATTCCACAGCCGCGCGCGCATTCCGCCGCGTTGATACGCCGCCCCCACCACCAATGGGCACCTTCGACGGCGCCCAAGATGATCTCCCATCTTGTGTGGCGTGCCAACACCGCCACGTGCCGGGGAATTGCCCGCTCCGTCACGCCGGTGTCGAGTTCTGCGGCCTGTGCGGCCTGGCGCACTGGGGAGGCCGTCGTGCCTGCCCCCACCTGCAGTCCAGGCTGCAGGTCGGCCGCATGCTCGAGGCTCTGGAGAAGAGCGCGGAGGCCCCCGCCCTCATAATGGGGGCAAAGAGATACCTTCAGGGAATCCTGAAGTCGGTCGCGCGCATTGAGCGCGACCGCAAGAAGGCCTCTCTCGTGGCTCCGGTGGAGCCTCAGATCTCCCTCACCTCGCCCTCACTGGGTGGGGTGAGCACCGCCTCTGTCATTGATTTGACAGAGGCGGGTGCTGAGTCGTAAGACTCAACTCAAGTCTTTCTTCCGCCACCCCAGCGGGGCCACCCGCCCGCTGGGGTGGCATCTGATCACAAAGTGATCACGGTGTGAGAGGAGCTTCGGCTCCTCTCTTCATGCTTCTATCAGTTTGTTTGTTTTTTTTTTTGTTTGTGTACATCGGGAGGAGTTCGGATTTTTTTTAAAAAAAAAAAAAAAAAAAAAAAAAAGGGGGAAACCCCAAAAGACCATCAAAAACCAAAGGGGGCGTTATGGGCATTAGGAGCGAAAGATACCCAGCTTTGTTTTGTTAGATTCAATCAATCAGTATGATTACAATGCTGTTGTACTCCGTAGAAGTTCCTTGATATATGGCATTTGTAATGAAGAACTAGTCTGAATATGAGGTGTTTATATTCACTTTCGTTCATTTCATCACCTTTCTAGCAACCAATTCAGTATATAACATTCTATATGCAGGTAACCAGAAAGCAATCCAAATCAGGCGAACATCTTTGAAGCTGCTACACGATGCTCCACCTCACTGTGCAATGCATGATTATTAGTGATATGACTGGCAAACTAATATTTAAAGAAACAAAGACGGGCATATGGACGTCTTTCTTCTTCATCACTCCATTCTTCCCCATTGCCCACTTTCATCATTCAAGCAGCTTCATTGAACTGGGTTCACAACATGGACCCCCCCAAACATCATCCACGAAGGCGTCGCATCAAGCAGGAGCCTGCAAAGATGAAGCAAGATCCTACTATTACTCCACATGTGATACCCAAAGCCACACAGGAGTCTGAGCAGCCTGGCATCTCGGACAGTATCCTTCATCGAATTGGAGATGTTCCAATCAAAGCTTCAGACGACGATGATGAACAAGGTTAGTCTATAAAACAGCGCAAGGGCTGTTACCCTCATGAAAACTGAACAGATTAACAGCCATATCAATCATGTAGCAAAAGAGTCGTTGATCAAGGTTGAGAAACATGATCTTGATTTGATACATGGTCTTGAAGACCAGAAGGTAGATACCGATGATCATCAAAAACCGTCCTCCGAGGATATCGATATGCCCTTGGCACCCAAAGTCGATTCAATTGAACCATCAGTCACAGTTGGAAAGCCTGAACATGATTTAGCCGCTGGTTTCGAAGATCAGAAGGCGGCTACTAAGCTCGATCGGAAATCATCTTTCAACGATACCAAGATGCTTTTGACTCCTGATATCCATCTGATTGAATCATCGATTAAGATTGAAAAGACTGATCCTGATTTAGCAACTATCAGGAACGAACAGAAGGTCCCTATTGGAGCCAAACAAGGCCCCTCTTGCGAGGATACCGAGATGCCCTTGGCCCCCGAATTCGATCCGGATAAGCCGATGGTCGAGGTGAAAAAGTCTGACCCTGATTCAGCTAGTGTTGGCAAACGAGATCCATCTCGCGAAGATGTTGAGATGCCATTGGCCCCCAAAATCGACGCAAATGAATTGACAGCCAAGCCTGAGCCCTCTGACTCTAAGCGCGGTCTCATCCCTTTCGATTCCCGAGGTCTTTTCAAAGAGACGCATACTACGACCTCCGTTGAGTCTTCGGACACAATCCCAGAAGGCCGGCTCTGCTTCTCGTGTTTCAAGACATGGGCAAAGCCACTGAAGCCCGGGAAAAAGCTACTGGATTGTGAGATTATCAATGAAAGTGAGTCCTGCTGTGGCCGATGTGTCCGGCAACACATCACATGCGTGCTAGTAAGAATACACTTCACTACATCGAAGACCTAGCTAACTCAGTACTAGCTCCCATCTGATCTGACAAGTGGCCTGCTACAACTGAAGAATGAGATGAACAATGCTTTGTATGTGGGGGATGCTATTGAAGAAAAGAGAAATTTCTGCAATGCGTACCAGAGTGAATCCGGGAAAGTCGCACAATTCCATGCAAACATAATGAAAGCAAGAAAGCGAGAATACCAGCAGAAGAACAAAGACAGGCTCAGATCAAAACAGCGAGAATACGACCGAAAATACTGGCAGAGGAACAAAGACAGGCTCAGTTCAAAACAGCGAGAATACAAGCAGAGGAACAAAGACAGGCTCAGTTCAAAACAGCGAGAATACTGGCAGAGGAACAAAGACAGGCTCAGTTCAAAACAGCGAGAATACTGGCAGAGGAACAAAGACAGGCTCAGTTCAAAACAGCGAGAATACAAGCAGAGGAACAAAGACAGGCTCAGATCAATGAAGCGAGAATACTGGCAGAGGAACAAAGACAGGTTCAATTCAAAACGGCGAGAACGGCGAGAACGGCTTAAAGCAAAAAAAGGTCTGCTAGTATCAAATTCAAATCCCAAGGCTAAACCGAGGGAGCCCAAGCGAGAGGGCCAGGTCAAGTTAGAGGACCGAGTCAAGCAAGAGGACCGGGTCAAGTTAGAGGACCGGGTCAAGCAAGAGGACCGGGTCAAGCGAAAGGGCCAGGTCAAGGAAGAGGACCGAGTCAAGCAAGAGGACCGGGTCAAGGAAGAGGACCGAGTCAAGCAAGAGGACCGAGTCAAGCAAGAGGACCGGGTCAAGTTAGAGGACCGGGTCAAGCGAAAGGGCCAGGTCAAGGAAGAGGACCGAGTCAAGCTAGAGGACCGAGTCAAGCAAGAGGACCGGGTTAGGCCAGAGGGCCAGGTCAAGCAAGAGGTCTAGCTGTTAAATTCTTGAGATGGGTTGAGTTGTAGGGTGGGAGCATACCATGAGCCAAGGTCGATAAGATGACCTTTGCAGAATTGCAGTTGAGCAAACCTGCTATTTGATTTTCGCTTCCACCGAAGAACCATCTGGCTACAACTTGAGTGGATTTACCAATTGAAAGGGTGTTTCAACTTTGGGAAATGAGGATGTACGCTTGGACGGTCGAGTTAGGTCAAGCTAAGTCACGGGATTTTGACCTGAGCAACGACATCCGAGACGACAAGAAAGGAGGACAGCACCGAAGGGTATTTGTCATGTTTTTGTTTTTGTTTTTTTTGGTTTTCTTTTTTTATATCTAGATTGGTTTTTATTTCATAGCTCTCATTATTTTTTACCTGTTTGGGCTCTTTGCAAACTGAGTGGATTGTGGTGGCAGCCGCGTGAAAGCACTTTGTCCCATTTTCAAGCCAGTAATACAATTTTTCCTTCAAGGCAAGAGAGCAATGACTAAATCAGTAGTATCTCCTATATTGCAAAATTCAATAGGCTCAGAGGTGATATAGTGGAATAATTAGCCAATTGATACTGGAATGAGTCGCAGTGTCGAATCTTGGAAGAGAGTCCCCTAGGAGAGAACATTACATCAACCAAGAGACAATATTATTTTTGTATTCTCTCAATGTATTGTAGACTTTGATATGGTCTCTTTCGGACACAATACCAAGGACAATGACTACATTTGCCTTAAACAACATGTATAGCATTGGTGTTTTGATATAAGCTTATTTGAAGACATGGAGGATAGAGAAGCAACATAGAAGGGTGAATTTAGAATCAGACTAGGTATGTCCTGCAGGTGGCCGCTGGACCCTACCAAGGCACACTTTCACAAGGTTATTACCAGCTTTAAGCATGGGACTCCGTATACAGCTTATGTAGGTATTTCAGTCGTGAATCGCTACACCAAGAGGAACTGCACTTTTTGAAATGCAGAAAAGCAATATCTCTATATCACCTTCTTGTAACACTTTACCTTTCATTTCACGATCTGGCGAACTAGAGAGCCTTTGTCCCCACGGGAAACTCATTGTGAAATTCAAGGTAGGTTGATTCCCATTGTGTAGCCAAGTGTATCTAGGGGTGTACCTAAGATCCTAAGATATTCTCATTGTGTTGATCTAGTTCATATACCCCTTTGTTATGTGGATAATGAGTATAGAGTAGTCAAGCTTCATACCTAGTTGATCCTTTCTAATATATGAGATTGTGTCCCCAAAGACTTCAGTTGACGATCACATTTTCTCTTCATCCCAAGTGCTTTTTTTGTTTGTCTCCAGGGCTGTCACCTGTCACCTACCCTTTCTGTCGCTTGTCAGCTTGTCACCTATCTCATCACCGTCTTCTCCCACAAACGTCTTATTCCCCCACAACCTTTTCTTTTCTTCTCCATCTCTCACTTCTCTGTATCACACAGACCATTATTATTGCACAATCCTATCTTCAATATTTCATTTTTACCTTGACTAAGATCTGCTTTTTGTCAAGATGGCGACTTCTGATCGTCCTCGATTCTTTTGTACCCGCCCTGATGGGACTTTGACCCCACTGGTGGCCGTCGATGAGCTGCCCACTGACATCACTATCCGTGGCGTTTCTCGCACCCTCAATGCTGGAGAGACTCAGGGTATGACCAGCTGCGGTCTAGCCACCCAGCGTCCCGAGCCTTGGTTTGTTGACGGGGTTACCCAGTCCTCTGGAGGTGAGGCTGGCAAGGAGCCTCTTCATGATATGCACAGCCTTTTGCTGCAGATGATTACCAACAACAACATTCCTGAGCCCATGCGTGTTTCTGCTCAGGCTATCCTGTTTCAGGGAGTTGACCGCCACGGCCTTTTCGGCGATGGCACTCCTAACGGTGGACTGTCTCCAGTTGCGCCAGCGTTCTTCACCAAGAATTCCCAGATGGGCAATAAACATGTATGGTTGGGTGCTCCTAGCATCTTATGGCTTATGTTTTTAACTCTTTTCGCACAGGCCCCAGTTTCCAAAAAGGAGTACTGTTCTTACTGGATTCGCCATGGTGAATGCGATTACTCGCAACAGGGTAAGTCAATTGGCTAACCGAGACCCTATGAGGTCTTGACTGACGCTGTGCCTAGGCTGTCTCTACAAGCACGAAATGCCGGTCGACATGGCCATGATTGAAAAGCTTGGCCTGCGCGACATCCCCCGCTGGTACCGTGAGAAGTACAACGTACCCAGCCTTTTGCATTCAAGCCAGACTCGTCCTCAGCTTGCCATTGCTGACCAGCCAGCTATGCGAGCTCTACCATCACCAGCTTCGACCATCGACGAGAGCTGCGGTAGCAAGGTTTCCACTATCAATGCAAACCCAAAGGGTACCAAGTCTTCCCCTCAGTTCACCAAGTCTCCTCCCCGTGGACCAGCCAACCGCGGAACTCACAACGGTTTCGGCAACCACCAGCATCGTGGGGGCCGCAATGGAGTTTCCAACGGACATCATGGTAACAACTGGAAAGGCACCCACCGCGGTGGACGTAACCGCAACACGGGCTATGTTCGTCCAACCATCAGCGGCGAGCGAAGTGGCGAGTGTTCCCCCGGTATGGGATCTCCCCGAGCCGCATTCGATTATGGAACTCATGGATTTGGCGGCAATCAAGTCTGCACTCCGGCTACCCCAGTCACTGCTCCGGCCACCGTTCCGATTACTTTTTCAGCTACTGGTCATGCTGGCGTCCCCATGGCCCCCCATGCGAGCCACCAATCTCTCTTGGATGACGGTAAATCTCGCAACCGCAACTTGTATTGGCCACTCAATGAGCTGACCGAATGCAATGAAGATATCTTCGAGGATCGTTCAAGCAAGCCTATTGAACCCCATCGCCATCAGCCTCTCCACCTTTACCACGGTTCTACCCCTTCTTCCGATGGCGGTGTGATGCTCCCCACCGTGAGCTACGATTCGTCCTTCGGCACATTCGGTCATACTGAATTGCCTGATCGCAAGCAGTCGGCTTCAAACAGCTCTCATAGTACCCCCCCGCATGAATTTTGGGCCCTCGACTCCACGGCTCGGAGATCTTCATATCACAGACAACATGCCCCTCAACTCGGCCGAGACTCGTGTCACTTGGGGTCCCATTGGAGGTCCAATCCTCAAGCGCACTTCTCCACCAACTGACAGCATTGCGGAGCTGTTTGGACCTTACTCCAACATTCCCCATAGCCACTAGTTTGGTCCTTTGAACCCTTCCACTCAGGCGTGTCTGGCTTGGGGTGGTATTCATGAGTTCTTTCGTGATACCACTCGCTGATCATTTCTATTATTTTATTTTTCACGTGCATTCATGAGATCTGGTGCATCGACGTGCTTTCCTTTCGATGTCAACCTACCAGATATTTGCCATATGATATCGCAGACTATATTCCAAGCACGTTCATGGTCCAGACATGCAACAACGACAATACATGAGTGAAAAATGGGAGGTAGTCATGGACTGTATTTTTTTCTTATTTCAAGGCGCTTTGTTTTTCCTGTTTTTTGTGCTTTTTTCGCTTTTTCACTCGGGATTGGGATGTCATCCATTGTTGATATCGTTGATATGCGATGACGATATGGAACGATATGGAACAATATGTGCCCATATGGAGTTGTTATTTTCATTTGTGATTCTTTTCATTTTCTGGAACTGCAGCAAGGCCTTGCTCATCTGTCATGGATAACAGGCCGTTGTTGGTTCGAGTACAGATCAGATGAAGTCGGCCGATGGCCCTCTGAGGTTGCAGTCCATACTGGAGGTTGGTTCTGCTTACAACATCATTGGCCTTGGCAAAATCTATCACAAATAAAGGCGTTGCTTATTTCATATTGCTTTTTCGGTTCTTCTGTAGTATCTACATACTTGTGAGCTTTCAGATAGAGCTCTATTGAGAATAGTATGTATACTCGTACCGTGGTGAGTCCGAGGCACACTACAAGATGGAATGGAGTAACAGCGAGCCGCCAATGCATGGAATAAAATGACTATAGTACATTTGAAAGAAAAGATGCCAAAAATCCTAAAATATGCGCCCGCGCCTCGCAAATGTCTGACAACAGCTTCTCACACACACCCAATATACAGTTGACGAACATCTATTACCGGCGAGCGATCTTTTTCCGCGCGCCAACCTTGACAGCCACGCGCTCCCGCTCTTCAGTAGCCTTGGCCTGGAGAGCAGGGTTGAGTGAGGGCAGAGCCTTGATAGCATCGGAGACAACTGCATTACCGTCTACAAGGGCAGCTCGCGTCTCCTCCGCAGCGAGACGCTCCTTGCGCCGCGCAGCCAGCTGACTCCGGCGGGCCTCGGTCATGTTCCAGTGCTCTGGGAATTGCAGTCTGGTTTTGTACTTGTGGTGGCGGAGGTCGAGAGGAATATCGGCGAAGGAGTCGCCTTCCTTGGCCTCCTTGATCATCGAGTTAACGACGTCTGTCAGGTAGCGCTTGTTTTGGGCGCGCGAGCCGAACTTCTCGCTCGACATGCGGATGATATCGGTCTGCGGGTTGTATCGTACACCAGCCAGCTTGAGGAATGTTTGGCGCTGGGCTTCGGTGAGGTACTTGGGGGTCAGATCTTGGGATGCAAGCTCCACAACGACCTTGGGCTCGGCCGGGTGCTGTTCGCCCATGTAGGTAGTGTAGCGGAAGCGGAGAATGTGGGTAGGAGGAGGAAGGGTGAATGGTTTAGCAAGCTCTACAGTTCAACGTTAGTGGATGGGAAATGTAGTCCCGATGAGCAATTGATCTTACTGCTCAGCATTGGCATATCCCATGCTGTAAGGCGGGCATATTCTCTCATTTCACGGTGCAATTCCATCTCGGCATGTGCCAGGGACGTGATTTCGTCATCGTTGATTTCCTCATCTCCATCCTCGAGTATGTTGACCAACTCGTCGGGCTCGTCCTCAGCCCAGAAACCAGCCCGACGGGGGCGAATTTCTTCGAACCGGAGATCCTCCTCCTTGTCAATCTGCATAATGCTCCTCTCGAGTTCTTCGAAGGCCGCGGCGCGCTTCTGGGGGTCGTTGAATTCGGAAACCATCCGGGTGTTTTCTTCGTCGAATGCCGCGCGCTCCTCGGGAGACATCAAATCGTACATTGATCGCTGCTCCTTGGTCAGGAGTTCGACTGAGTACTCGGGCATCGGGGGAAGTCTTCCGCTCTGAGTTCCTTCGGCGGAGGAGGAATCACGGGGTCATCCTGGACGCGATTGAGCGGCGAGACGGAAAAGTACCGAGCAGAGGGGGCCATCAGGCCACTCCGGACCATATGCCCAGCTGGGCGAGTCAATAACCGAGCTGCTGAAGCCATTGTTGAGGGTATAGCGTGGGTAGAGACAGGATCTCGACCACGATGTTTTCCGCTTCCACTTTTGCGAGGTTCACCGCCGTGCGCTATTCCAAATTTAGACTAGTTGGGCTCATCCACACGTGACACCATGGTATATGATGGCATCTTGATCTTTGGACTATTCCTTCATCTCGATAATGCATCTTTTTATAATTCCCTTGCGTGAGGATGATAACTGACTACGATAGAACCTCATGTTGATATCTGCTTTCTCCCCCTCAGCAACATCACCATAATGAAGCTATGCTTTGTGACTGTCGGGGCCACGGCTTCCTTTCAGAAACTACTTGAGCAAGTACTTAGTTCACAATTCCTGGAGACTTTAGCCAAACGTGGCTACACCCATCTTCTTATCCAGTACGGTAAAGACGGCCAGCAAGTCTTCCAAAACTTCATCGACAGTAACCAGCCCCACCACGGTCTCACCCTTGGGGGATTCGACTTCCAGCCGAGCATCGATGCCCAAATGATGATGACCGTGGAAAGAGAGACTCTTGGCCAAGAGCGTGGTTTGATCATTTGTCATGCCGGTATGATACATCCATCACTATCTCGCACATCACCTATATGAGGCCTGATCACTAACTATCTCACAGGAAGCGGGACTGTTCTTGCAGGACTTCGCCTGGGTGTGCCCTTGATTGTGGTCCCCAATCCAGATCTTGCCGATAATCACCAGCAGGAACTGGCCGATGAGCTAGAGAAAGGGAACTACGTGATTAGTAGTACGGTCGAGTAAATGATTCATCTCCTGTCTACTTGACCAGTCTAGCTAACTACTGATCAGGGATGTGGGCAATGCAATTAGCAGAGCAGAGACCCAGAAAGCCCAGGTATTACCTATGAGATCTGGAAATACAACACTTGCGGAAAGTATGTCTGACGAGTTGAGCTTTTTGGACTAAAGGAATCCCCTGGGTGCCCTATGAAGACCGATCTCCGCCAATCCGCCGTTGTTGATAAACAATCAGCCTAGGAAGATCTCTTTATCACGAATCATGACACTTTATGAAATATAATAGGCATCGATCAAGCAATTGGTTCAAATTTGGTCTGTTCGGTCTATTGAGTAGATGTAGAGGTCCCATCTGATAGACCATGAAGAGAACCAACTACTTCATAAACCTATTTGCACGACCACCGATTAACCTTGAGCACATACAACTAGCCTATGTCCCTTGTTATATCATTCACTAGACAGAAATATTACGATAATCCTGTCAACTTCCATTCTATGCAAGTCCAATTTACGAGACGTGAACTAAAAGTGGCCCAAGCTCCTTGTTGACAATTCCCGATTTGCGGATTTGCGGCCTCGCGTCCACTCCTGAATCAGTGACACGAACATCCACGCCCAACCACCGAAAAATTATATGCAATTTCAATCCACTTCCACTCCGCTGATCCTCCGAGTCGCCCATCCTAGGCCGAGAGGCCGTCTATACCCGCGCTTGTCCTAGCCCGACCTCACCTCCCATCCACACCCACACCCACACTCCCCGCAATGGCTGAGGCAACTCTTCATAACGTACCAATTGTCATCGACAATGGCAGTGGCACAATCCGAGCAGGCTTCGCCGGAGAGGAGATTCCATCATGTTATTTCCCGTCGTTTGTCGGCCGTCCCAAGCACCCACGGGTGATGGCCGGTGGTCTGGAAGGGGACTCGTTCATCGGGTCCCGCGCACAAGAACTCCGCGGACTATTGAAGATCAGATATCCACTGGAACATGGCATTGTCACAAATTGGGAAGATATGGAATCGATTTGGCACTACGTCTACGAAAATGAGCTCAAGACCCTCCCCGAAGAACACCCCGTGCTGCTCACAGAGCCACCGCTGAACCCGCGCGCCAACCGGGATATCGCAGCCCAGCTCATGTTCGAGGCTTTCAATGTGCCGGCCTTGTACACGTCGATTCAGGCCGTGTTGTCGCTCTACGCGTCTGGTCGGACGACGGGTGTGGTCTTGGACTCCGGTGATGGTGTTTCCCACGCGGTGCCTGTCTTCGAGGGTTTCGCTATTCCAAACAGTATTCGGAGAATCGATGTTGCTGGTCGTGATGTTACGGAACAGATGCAGTTGCTGCTACGGAAGGCTGGACATGTGCTGCACACCAGCGCTGAGAAGGAGGTGGTGCGCATGATTAAGGAGAAGGTCTGCTACGTGTCGCTGGATCCGAAGCGGGAGGAGAAGGAGTGGATGAACAGCTACCACAAGTCTGATGCTAAAGCGATTGACTACGCTCTTCCAGACGGTCACAAGATCAAGGTATGCACTGTCTTGGAATATCATTTGTCCTGAGGTTACAACAATGCTAACGGACCTCTCTCAAGATCGGCCAAGAACGTTACCGTGCGCCTGAAATCCTCTTCGATCCCGAGCTGATCGGCCTTGAGTATCCCGGTGTGCACCAGATTGTACAGGACGCCATTACTCGCACAGATCTGGACCTGCGAAAATCGCTATACCTCAATATTGTGCTCTCTGGAGGCTCAACACTGTGCAAGAACTTCCCTGATCGGTTGATGCGCGAGATCAAAAAACTAGCAGTCGAGGACATGAAGATCCGCATTTCTGCACCTGCCGAGCGTAAATACACCACGTGGATTGGTGGTAGCATTCTTGCCGGCCTGAGCACGTTTAGAAAGGCATGCAGATCCCCCGTATACAAATTCATCATAACTAACTGAAGACTCTAGATGTGGGTAAGCGCCGATGAATGGCACGAGGATCCCGAGGTGATCCACAAGCGATTCGCATAAAGGACTCACCTATGACAAGAGTCTTTGATATCATGGTGGCCTTCTGCCGAGTCATTTTGGGACTAATCACAACCCCTTTCTGCAATATCCCCAAGGCACCATCTCCAATCCCCAGCACAAACACAAGAAACAGATCTTGTCAACCTGGACCGATCATCATGCAATTGGCAGTGCATACCAAGAATTGATCGACCATCACACATCCGAGTCGCATCCCCGACTCTTGATACCCCCATCCCTATCCAGCTCATCTTAGCATTGGCTCTGACTTTATTCGTGCAAATACAGTCTCTTTTGCGTCTTGGGGATTGTTCTTGTCTGGACATAATTTACTCGGACATACTAGCCTGCATACTTATACGTGTTCTCTCGTATCTTTTTTCTCCTATCCGTCTCGCCCGACTAGATCAGCTCGATTGGGCTATATGTGCAATCTACTTAGAACTTGTGTAGTAATAACAGTCGGTATTGTTCATTCTAATTCTGGATTATCAGGGGCGATAATTAGGAGATGGTTGCTTATTCTCAAATTCGCCTCCTATTATATGACTCAACTAGCCAGGGTATCCAAACGCAGCCGGGATTCACTTGGCAAATGAGGCATTTGTTTTATTTTTTCACCCCGAAATATTATTTTGAATGGAGATACAAATCAAATAAATAGACCTGTGGATACATATACGTACCTAGATTGTGACTATTGAATGGCGGTGGAGTTGAATCTCAAAGAAAATATCATGAGAGTAGGCGGCAGAAAAAGGCGGAAAAAGTATGACAGAGACTTTTCTATATAAAACTTCTGACTGACGACTGACTGATGTAGAATACCTAGCAATATAAATCAAGAACATCATGGACCAGTCAATACCCCAAGAAAATGACAAAAATCAATAAAATATTCCAGACCATGATCAAAGAATAAACAAGTTTACCGACATGGCCACCCCAGTAAAATCTTTTCGGCGGCTATCCACGGCTACAACGTTACGACTTGATGCGACATGTCCACGTCTAGATTCGCCATGGGTTCCACCCACAAGCACGTCTTATACGAAATTTACCTCTACAATGATACAATCAAGAAAAAATAGTGGAATGTAATCCAGCCCGGGGAGACCCAGGCACGCAATTCATTGTGTAGGAAGAACCTAGTTGACGCAATGTGGGGGAATATGTTGAAAAACAGAAACACGGAGTGTGTGACACATTGAAAACATTGGAAAAACCAAAAAAAAAAACAGGACTCCGAAGATGATGGCCAGACAATTGTTGTTCGATGGCGCGATCTTGGGTATGTTGAAAAGTAGAAACCCTGTTTCCAGAAGGCGTGATGCAAGGTGGTTTGGCTCATGGCGCAAGATTGACCACAAAGAACATGATAGAACGCCGGGTGTCCATGTTTGAGGGACAATGTCTCAAATGAAAGAGATGGTTCCTTGCGGAAGGATGTCTGAATGATGAATTCGGATTGGGGGTATTTCGGAGAAAAAGAAACATAAGTTGAAAGACGATCAAAGTGTGTCCGATGTTTCGGTCGAGGTGTATATTCCCGTATTAAAAAGAAAAGTGGTCAAAAGAAAGGCGAGGAAAAACTTTTGTGGTCGTTATGTCGTTGATGTTGATGTTGATGTTGGTGATGTTGTCGGGGACGAGGTGTGTTGAAGAGACATGCATCTAGGCAGTACCCTTCAGCTTTCCCCAACCCTTCTCGAGACCACGACGTGCCATATCACGGGCACGATCTGCCACCGATCCAGAGCTGGAATTCGTAGCGGTACTGGCGGCGGAGAACTTGCGACTCAGGGTGGAATTGCTGCAGTCGTCACGGTACATGGTGTTGCCGGCACCCCCCGTCCGACGTGGTAGACGGGTGCGGCCTGACGCATATCACGTTCGAGTTCTTCGTCGAAGCTGAAGATGGCCCGTTCGGAACTGCTGTGGATGTTGCCGGCACCACCGCGGCCGGAGATGAAGGTTGTTGGGGTGCGGGAGTCGAGACGGGCGAGCGAGGCCGGACCGGTTGCGCTGCGCGAGTCGGTGGTCTTGGTATTCTTCAGGTTGACGACATTCCCGCATCCTCCTCGGCCGGTGTAGACGGCTGGACGGCCGGCATGAGGGACTGACGGATGCGGTTCGACGACGCGGTAATTTGAAGGCATGGTGTATAGATCTGAAGTAGGTAAACAGTCTAAGCGGTGACTATAAAAACTCCATCAAGTGCAGAATTTGCATTATGGACACCAGCGGGGACATTTCAAGTTATATAGTCCCTGGGGCCTTTTTTTTGGGGTCATTTCCAGATCCAGGCACGACATCCAGTCACAAGGTGCTGTGGGGGAAAATCCTTTTTTTTTTTTTTTTTTTTTTTTTTTTAATTTTTTACTATTTATTGTTTTCTATTTATTTTCTTGTCGTCATCGGAGTATAGATGGCATGGGATATTTCTGTTTTCAGTGCTCTGTCAGCAACAGCACGTGTCTAACCGCGCCTGTGACTTGGTTCAAGAGAATGATTGGTGGTGGGATTCCCCCCAGATGGTCTGACTCTGGCCGCTTTTACCCTGGGCAACCGAAAGTCATCTGACCCAGGCTCCACCAATCGTGGCAAAACGTAATAGAAACCTCCGTTGGAACCAATGGGGATTTCCATTACCCCCAGGAAATGAAGAAAAACCTCTCATTTCTTGATCACCGTGGATGGACACAAAGTCGCGTTATCCCTTGTAGGCACACCGCATCCTCACGTCAGGTTTACCTGTCAGGTGCAATATGAGGTATTAAGCATAACATTATACTCGAACAGCGCATACCTAGCTGAAGAAGACAGATGGTAATACACACGATGTTAAAATACGTACGGAGTAGGTATTTTACTCTTGCATCATTTGCCGGCCCGTGTCCACTTTCTATTTCCAGAGAACATGGGCTGTGACACACAATTTTCATCTTCCTGGGCAGGTGCTCATGGGTAATCTGCAAAACGTCCGTCGGAGTACCATATTGTACGATGTACAGAATAAGGTGACTCGATCCGTATGTCTTCATCTATATACAGTCATACTCTGGATATCCTGTAGGCATACCGGCCCGATGAACAGATTCCAATACGGTACACCGAAATACTGATATGTACGATGACTCCATCGCACCGAAATTTGCGGGATAATTCTTAGCGTCCCCCTGTAGATCAAAGGGTGACTAACAGACTCGGTACAAATGGAATGTAATTTACTCACCGTATGGAGTAATTCGCAGAATGCCGAGAATGGTGTCCAAGGTTGAAGTCAAACCCTTGGGGGCTTGGCTTGGAGGCCATAGGGTCAAGGGGCAATGAATGACGTTGAAAAAAAAAAAAGAGAAAATGGAAAATTTGACGGTCTCATGTGCCCTGGCCAAGACATTGTACAATCAGCCGTCTGTGCGTTTTCCCCAGATTTTCTCCCCAACTTTTTTCCCTTCTGCCTCGGTGGCTGCTAGGAATCAATTCCGCGTTCACGTGGGGAAATACGTGTCGATAAAAATATCCTCTTTCAGGAAACCAGCACCTGACTATATCGTAGTAAGTAATGCGCCATTAAATCCACGGGGGTAACATGTCCAATGCAACTCCCCATACTCCATACTCCGTACCCCCCGCCCCGTTATTAGATAATAGCGCAACTCCATGACACATGATTTTCACCGAGTCCAGGCCCGGGAACCGGCTAGCCGGGCTAGTTCAATGATGTAGATGCACAGAGAATACAGGTCGAGAGTCCAACAGTCCAGTACGCCCTGTTCCAGCGTCTCCCTGCTTCGGCCCTCGGGTATGTAACTTCGGATGTCAGCACCGGGATTGACATTCGGAACGCTTTCCCAACATCCTATTGTTTCGATTGAGTAATTATATGCCACTGGAGCTGAGCTGGCCCGTCGATGTGACCTGTTTCCCCGAACTGTATCCTGCAGATCGGGTCAGCTGTGTAATGATTGACGGTGTTAGGGTTGGGGTTCAAGGCTAAGCGCGTTGGGTTGGAATTTCGGCTACTTTGGGGTCGTTATACATGGTGCTGGGTCATGGGCATTGCGATTGACAAGTTGTCTGTATCGATGTCTTACGTTCAAGATGTTGTCATTCCGGATGTCCAGTGTAGAAGTCCGAAACAGATTTTGCGTAACACCCAAAAACAAGACTTCTGATGGACAGTCGACTCTAAAATGCTTGTTTGGGATTCGTGAAACGTTGGATTGACTCGGTCACACTATGGCATGATTCCAGGTCGAACCTCAAAGCTGTATCCTTCACCTCCAACCTCAAGCTATCTTTTAAAACCGCCAATATCACCGAAACCTCCAATCCCAATCCCCAGCCCTACAGCGGAGCCTCAACCTTCACAGCCAAGCATATCACCCCCTCCAAACCCTAACATGCAATACGGGATATCAAATCGTCGACCCTCATTCCTCAGCCCGGAACCCCCATTTCGCGCCAAAGCCCCCATCACACGATCTCTGAACGGATATGCTTCATCACCCCGAAGTCGACTGTGAAAGGGACCACCCGCCTTGACCGCAAAAACAGTGCTTACCAGCTGCACCACACGGGAGACATAGCTCGAATTGAGCTTCTTCGACCCATTCAAATCAAAAGTAATCTCCTGCACCATATGTCCTCTTGGGACAGCCCGACAAGCAGCCCTCCAATCCGCAATGAGCGTGATAAATTCCAGCCCCTCGGGGTATGTGATGTGATCGATAGAAACGAACTCAAGACTCGGGTAAGGGAATGGCATGGCTTGGTAGAATTCGCGTACCTCGGCCGGCTGGTTGAGTGACTGGCGAGTCCATCCTGAACTCGATGCTCCGGTGGAGCTCACACTCGGGAATGGACCATCGATAAATCGATGCATGGGGACGAGACGGAGATGGGTCGCTTTTGGATGGGTGGGATTGGAATTGAAGTATTCTTCCAGAGCTTTGGGGTCTTCAAAGACGAAGATACGGGTGGAGAGGGAGTCGGGGAGCTCGCGGAGTCGTATTGAGATGCGAGGGGTTCCTGGCGGGGGGCTGATTGGGCTTGCCATGAGGTCGCCGTCGCTGAGGGAAATTAGCAGCTCAGTTCCGGTCATGAGAATCTTGATGCCTGCTGCGAGCTTGTCGATTTCCATTGTGGGTGTGGTGGTTGTCATTTCGACTGTGGGTATCAAGTCAGATGGGATGGATGAGAAGGCAATGTGAAAGGTGTAAACGTTCGTCACCATGGGCTGTTGTAAGTTCACTGCCTTAAATCCCATCTGATCTAGTGAGTCTCACTAGAGGTTTACTTAAAGAGCGAACGGACGAGAAATGAATAGTGAATATGGGTCTTGCATATCAGAAAGAATTGCACGCAAACAATCTGAATGGACATGATTAAGTGATCTATCTAGCTCTTTAACAACATTCTAATATTCTCAATGCAAAATCCCACTCAGAAGTTTCCAAGTTGAGCATCCGAAACCCAATGGAAACCACCAGCACATCGATATCCGCCGCTTTGTTTAATCCACTGAAAACCAGCGACACAAACGCCCATGTTCCGCAGCTTTGCCTGATTAGCTTGTTCCTTACGGCGTGCTTCAGCCAAGGCTTCTTTTTGCTTGCGGAGCGTTTCCAAGATTGCTTCTTGTCGCCTGCGCTCCAATTCATGCCGCAGTCGAGCTTGTTCATGGCGTCTTTTGACATCTTCATCTGCTTTCTTCTTTGCCTCTTCCAGCTCCCGTGCTGCCTTTTCCTCCTCTGCCTTCAATTTCAATATCTCCTTCTCCCGCTCTTCCTCTTCTTCTTTTAAACGTAGATATTCTTTCTCTTTGGCTGCTGCCAGAGCTTTGTCCTTTTCGAGTTGATACCACACTTCGTCTGTGACGCCGGCATCTCGATTCGTGGTGTCAATGGATTTGTTTGCTTCAGGCACCATCGTGGCTGGTTCCTTTTCGGAGGCCATATCCTCGTTGATTGAGTCTTGACTTTTCAATTCTGTAACAGGTTTGCTCGAAGGTTTAGTGCGGATAGCTAGGTCTGTTTGCTCCCGCAGTTTGGTCGCAATTGATAGAGGTGTTTGCGGGTAGACTTCACGGCTGGATCGCTCATTGATCATTGAGTCCAGAACCTGGAGCACCGTAGCTTCGCTCAGAATCAGCTTCTTTCCACTGGATGCTTGAAGAGTTCTGCCAAAGATGGTGTTCGTCAGTGTCCCAACGTCTCGTGCGTTTGCCCAGCCAGCGGTTTTTGAAAGTTTATCAAAGCGCTCCGACATTCCTTTCATAAACTCGAAGTCTGGACTCTCTAAGCAGACCAGATCAAATTGCGCTTGTGAGTTGCTTGAAAGATCTCGCTTCTCTTTCATCAAGAGCTCGCACATTAATTTGACACAGTCTGCCGGGGACAGTGGGTCAAATTGAAGAGACTCTGGGAAACGACTGGTGAGACCAAGGTTGATTGACATAAGACGGTTGATGTCCTCATCATAACCGGCTAAAATGATGATCATCTTTTGAGCAAATCTGGGCTTGGTAATGCCATCCACAATCTCATCCATCGCCTCTTTGGCGAAATTTCCCTCGGCGAGCCGATAGGCTTCGTCAATGAATAATACTTTTCCAAGGCCACGTTCTAGGACTTGTTGGGTCTTCGGACCTGTCTGGCCTACGTATTGACCCACCAGGTCCGTTGCTGAGGTTTCGACCACTTCACTCGAAGCCAATAAGCCCATATCGTAGTAGACCTGACCCATCTTTCTGGCTGTGCTTGTCTTTCCAGTACCTAGGGAAGGGTCATATGTCAGCAATGTTTCGGGGTACAGAAGACTGTGAATGGAGATTTGTATACCTGGAGGACCACGGAAAACAAAGTTGAATGGCACCTGTCTGCGAGGATCCATGTCTAGTCGTCTGAGGCTCTGAACCATTTGCCGATAGCTCTCCAGCTTGGTAATTATATCTTCACATCCTATGACGCCTTCGAACAACTTGGCAACACTATCCGTCTTATCTGCGCGATCGAAATCTTCATCAAAGTCAGGAGCATCAAGAACAGAATCTGGAACAGAACCGGGGCGTTGGGTAGAAGATAGGCGCTTTTGATACCGCATCTTGGCGGTATTGAGCAGAATATCTATCTCGCCTGCATTTCCAAAATGCGGTCGATTCCGAGCACGCTCAAGCATCTCCAGTACCACGCGGCGGCCGATATCAGTTATGTCAAATCCTTGTTCCTTGAGCTTCAGGTTTAATATCGCATCGAGTTCACTCGAGGTGAAGTCTTCAAAGACAAATGCCTGGTCAATTGGAAAGCGTCGGCTGAGACCAGGGTTGACCTTCTGAAACATCTCTTCCATAAGGTCCTTGTAACCCAGAAGCAAGACACACCTATCGTCACCAGGCGTGCTTTGTACCTCTGCCACAATGGTGTCTATCACAGCAGCTCTGTATGGATCACTCTTGGAACTTGCCCCATCCGAGGTGCCTCCAGCAAACAGTCCATAGGCCTCGTCGATGACTAGAACTTTACCCAATGTAGATGCCAGTATTCCTTTGGTATTCTTTTCGGACTCTCCCATCACGCTGCCAACAAAGTCTGATGGGTTCTTCACCACCACTGTGATTGTCAGTAAACCCGAAAGGCAGAGAAGGGGCTCACATACCTTCACCATTAGACAGGCACCCAATATCCACAAGTATCTGGCCGTAGATCTTTGCAATTGAAGTTTTTCCAGTTCCAGGGTTTCCCAGGAAAACCTTGTTGAGATTGTACTCAACGAGGGGCTTCTCATCTAGCTCACGCTGGTAGTTATAGCGCATGGTGTCTATAATTGCCTCCACTGTCTTCTTCACAGCGTCCAAACCAATCATGGTCTGCAGCTCTTGCCAAGCATGCGATGATTTCAAAGCCTGCGATGGATCCGGCCCAATCATGTCTTCCTTGCTTAGGAAGAAATCATCAACTTTGCTGCCACCCTGTCGTCTTTCCAGGCTGATCCGTGAAGTTTGACGCTCGGAGATTTTAGACATGGCGTTCTCAACAGCTCTTGCATTAGCAAAGCCCTCGCGCCCACGTCCGTTCCCAACACGACGAGCTACAATGCGGCAGTAAAGTCCTCCAAGGTTATCCTCGACTTTCATCTGCTTCCTATACGTCTTCTCGATGCATCCCACCAAAATCTGCATCAGCTCAGTATCATCAAAATCTTCGAACTTGAGCTCATGCGGGAACCGACTGAGAAGCCCTGGATTGTGAGCGAAGAATTTCTCCATCGGTCGTTGATATCCGGCAAGAATAAATACCACTTTCCCCGTGAGGTTTTCAATTTCGGCCAAGAGGAAGTCCAGAACCTGGGTACCACCGAAACTACCGCCGACGAGTTGGTATGCTTCATCAATGAAGATGGCACCGCCTCCATCTTTCAAGAGGGTTTCGATGGTTTTTTGACATCCCGAAATACCATCATTCGCGAGCCTGGACCCGGTTGTCTCGATGAATTTGTCGCCGGGAATGATCCCCATGGATGATAAGAACTTTGCATAGAGACGGGCAACGGTTGTCTTGCCGCTACCAGGATTCCCAAGCAATACAGATCCATATCGATCGCGGCTCAAATCGATGTTTTGTCTGGTGGCAACGTCCACTTTATCTTTGATAGACAAGAACTTTGCTTTCACTGATTCAAGTCCGATCATGTCGATTAACTTGTCAATCTCCTGACTTTGGGCGTTGTAGAATTTCTTTTGATGTTCCCAGTCGTTTTTAGCCGCCGATACCTTTTGCGCCGGCATTACCTGTCCACTTGGTGACTTAACTCTTGGGCTTTGAGTGACTGTAACATTCGGATCTGTGCTTGCTTCCTTGAAAGCTGAGATTGCGCTCGCAATTATTCCAGGGTTGGTGTTCTGTTGAGGAGATGGTGGTCTAGGGGGATTTCTCAAATTCTCAATTTCCTGACGGTGTTGCTCAAGAACCCTCGCACGTTCCGCATCATCATATTCATCACGTCGCAGACGCTTGAGATGCGCAGCCTCCTCCTGAGCCTCTGCAAGCTGTCGGGCGTACTCAGTCTGCTTCCTTTGTCGTTCAGTCTCCAACTCGAGATCGCGTTTGCGCTTGCGTTCTTTGACCTGATCTTCCAGGATGCAGAAACGACACGAACGCTTGGCCTGGGAACACGGTAGATGTAAAGTATGACCTCGGGGACACTTCCATTCCACAGGCCTCGTGCACTTCATTTTTGAATGGTCTGCAAGCTGATGGCATTTTGACGGGCACTCGTGTACTCCGCAACTCAGTTTCACGCCGCTATTAGGGACAGTCAGCATGAAAATACCAGCAAAACTTCTGGTGAACTGACCAGGGTGCAGAGCATCCTCCATCCGGGCACTCTCTCGCGAAGTCGTCCACGGTTCGTAGAATGGCGTTTGTTTGAGGATGTTGTTCGCATTGAACGGGCAGTCCATCATACAGGTGGCCCTCGGACTTCAGTTGGTCAACGAATGGTATCCAATGTTTTTGGCCCTTTCGACTAGAGACAAAAGTTTCCGAGTTCCCCACCAAAATGAGAACATTCCGAGCCCGGGAAAGAAGGACGTTGAGGCGCTCGGGGGCTGCCATGAACCCTATGTCGCCAGTTTTGTTGCTGCGAGTGAGTGAAGCTATAACGATTTCACTCTCTTCTCCTTGGAAATTGTCTATTTTATCAGGTCAGACTCTTCCTTCCCACTATCCTTTTCTTCCTACTTACCAATTGTAGACAGCTTGATTTGACGCTTGGAGTGGGAAGCGCTTGCTCGAGATAGAAGCCCTGCTTTGACAAGGTCATGCGAATCGAGATCATTTAGGACTGGGTCGTTTTGCTTGCTTAGAGTCTCTCTTAGTAGACTCAGCTGACCCAAATATGGAGTCAATATGACCAACTTGTCTGTTCCATACCCCTGCTGTCCAAGATACTTCACGATCTTCAGGACAATGTCTGCCTCAAACGAGTTCCTCTTACTCCCTTTCGAGTTTTCGTCACGTCGGTCAGAGACCTCGGAGACAATATCTTCGGGGTTTTTATGATGGAAAAATATAACTCGGTCGCACAGCCCTCGTGGCTGAGGACGGTTTTTGGTCTTTTTGTCGTCTTCCAGTCCAGGGTAGGTGAGATTGCGCACAAGACTTGAGATCTCGGGACACATTCTATGCTGCTTCATCAGTGTCGTATGGGGAAAGCCGGCATGTATGAGTCGCTCGAAAAGAGAGACGTTCAGGTCATAACCATCCCCTTTCTCAGTGCTCAAGGTGTAACTGTTGATCTTCGGTCGCAGCTGTTGATGATCTCCTATCAAGATCAAATGCTTGGTATCCGGCGTCATTGCGGTGAGCACATGGGACTCAAGGATCTCGCCCGCTTCCTCAAGAAGCACGATGCCAGGCGAAGCATGTCGAATGTCTTCAGAATACATTGCCGCTGCTGTAGTGGTGCAGCCGATGATTCGCTTTGACTTCAAGATTTCGCGGTTTTTCTCCCCCAGGGTAGCGCTCAGTCGGCTTTGGCATTTATCGAACAACCCTATTTTAACGCTCAAGGTGTCCGCCTGTTCACTCAACAGAGCCCTTTTCCAAGTCCTCTCTTTCTCCTCCCGTATCTTCTGATCCAGTGCCCAGATGTCACAGCAGTGGGCAGGAAGAAGATCAGCACACACTCCTGGGCCTTTATTCTTGATCCATCTTTCATAAAGGTAGCTTTTCTTGATTGATTTTCCACCCTTGGTGACCATAGTCATGCCGTTCTCATCCTCTGGTACGGTCAGAGCTGTAAAGTACTCTGGCTCTTCAAACTCCAGATAGTCCAAGATGGATGCAGCATTAGCTATGAGGCTCTTGTAGTTCTGAAAGGAACTATCCAAACTCTGCCTTTGCTCATTTCCCTCCGCTTCGAGTGCATTGATGGTGTTCCAAGTAGATTGATCTCTCTTGTAGGATGAATGCTGCCTAAACAATCCAAGTGGCTCGGTGCGTGGTGTCGACTTAGATCCCAGTCTGACAATGTCAGAGGAATCGATACCGATGTCTAGCAAGTCTTCCAAAAACTGGTCCAAGGCATGATTTGTGTAGCACATAACCAGGATTCTGTCTTTGGTATTACCATGCAGGGCTTTTGCGAGAAGGGCGCCAATAAATGACTTCCCCGTACCTGGAGCTCATACTGTCAGTTTAATGTCCTTGGTACTAGAAACGAGAGAGTTGCCATGATCATACCTGGGGGTCCTTGAATAAGACTCACTCGTTGTGTTAACCCGGCCAGCAGAGAATCTAACTGGGAAGAGTCTAGTGTCACTGGCTTTGAGGTTCCAAGGGTGCTCTGGACATTACATCCATATTCTTCTTTCAACTTGTTGACCACCTTCCAAGGAACTAGACTTGAATCTTTCAACGGGTTGTCTCTCTCGTAGAGGAACAATTCCTCTGTGAGAGGCAGCTCTATTCTCTCTTGCAGGCATTTCAAAATTGGCTCGTATGCAAACATTGCTGTGTCAACGAGTAAGTACTCCACGTCGGGATAAAGCTTAAGGTAAAGAAGAGACTTTCTCAGCGCCTCTTCGCCTGTAATACGTAGCATAACCACTGGGGGGTCGGTAACCAGTCCATCGATGTCTCTTTCGATTGTAGCAAAAGCGACAATTTCTGTGCCTCTGATCAAGCAACCGAAGGCACGATGCTTAACAAACTGAGGGGTCTCCTTCAAGAAACGCTTGCGGCCATCTGCTGGCAGTTTCATGAGTCTCTCAAGCCCATACTGGGCAGTAACACCAATGGTACACGGTCGAAGGCGGTTTGAGGCTCCAGAAGTGCAGCAAACATGAGCGAGAAAGAGATTCCGTAAGTGGAAAGCCGACCGCCGGCCCTTCTTCGTGCCTTTTGCAACTTGGATGTCATCGCGGAGCTCCGAGAGCATATCCTCTCGTAGAAGACGAAACTGATTGTCCACGTGGCCCGCAATACGTTGGCCACAGGGCAGCTGCGCGATGTCTTCAGCACGGCGATAGAACGGTTTCTCCGTACATCCCATCTCATCGGCCGTAGGAAAGATGGCCGTCAAGCGAAAATCAGCAAAGTCATTATCATGCCGACCACCCGCAGTAATCTCGGAGTTTTGGAGGGTGGTTGCAGATGATTTCATCTCCAGGCAATATTTGATCTTGTGGCCCAAGTTTCGTATGTCAACCGAGGACGAAGAGAAAAGTGATCCATCGTCCAAAAGAGCCTGGGCATCGGCTCTAACATCCACGCCGCAAGAGGAAGGTAATGAGAGCAACTCGGTCGTCAGCCAGCATAGAGCTTGGATCGCATGATCTTCTAGTTTCCGAGTGCGGAACGCCTCCAGAAATGCGCCCCAGAGAGTACGAGGCTCCAAGATAATCAGAAGGAGCTGCTCGAGAAACTGGCCGTTGCAAAGGAGCTTGACTTCGCGATGGTTCAAGTATTGAATCAACTTTGCGGTGTAGCCGTTGATAAAGACCGGGGTGAGGCTGAACCTCAGTCCATCTCGAAAGCCACTCAGAGCGTTTTGACTTGAGATAACCCGCTGGACAACAATTCCAGGACTGCTTTGATCTAGAATTGCTTCAATAAATCGCTTAAAATCGTTCTGGTTCTGGACTGCTTGCTTTCCATTGACGACCGTTCCAAAATACTTGGACAGCCGCTCCGATCGAATATTTGTAGACATGACAGGAAATAATATTTGAGCCGCAATAGAGTCAGTATAGACAGGTGCAAGACAAGAGAGAAAGATCAAATATAAACGGTGTAGAAAGGCTCCAGGGTCAATAAATAGAGACAGGTCGGATTCTGCCTTGATAAAGCACAGCACGTTACATCGAATATGCAGGCCAGTGTGTGCCTTGTTGGTTTGTGTATAAGGGCTGTCCGCAGCAAACGAAAAAACCACAGTCAAGCGCAGGAAGCTAATGCATTAGATATGTGACGTGGCGACAGGGGTATAGATACCTACTGCATATGCGTTGGAACCACAAGAGTGGTCTTTTCGATGGTCTCTTAAGAACTGGTTTCTTTGGTGGTCTTCTGGTCTTTTTAGATAATTTTCTTGGTAGCAAACAAGAAGGCACTCAAGACCTTCACCCAATCTTACTTGTCTTCTGCCTGTCTGCAACATTGCTTGTCAACCTTCGCTGTTTTCTGATCATCACACGAATCTACACTATGTCTTCGCGTGGAAGAGGACAAGGACAAGGACGATGGAGAGGACGAGGTGGACGCACTCCCCAGATGAGTCCACCGGCACCTCCACTAGGAGATGTCATCGTCACAATCCACCGCAGTGAAATCGAAACTCCGGCAGATCAAGATGATACCAAATCTCGTATCACGAACAGTCGATGTCTGACGTCCTACAATTGGCTTGGTTGGGGACAGAAGAAGATAATCATTCCAGGTAGGAGATGTCTCACGGGAACTAGACACTGTCCACGCAGATATATATCGATGCTGATCAACACGTTTCTATCAGGTGAACCTCCGAAGTGGACACCTTTGTCGAAAGCCAATCCTCCCAAGCTTCCACAAGACAAGGGTGGATACTATCGCGATCGAAATGCCGCGCAATATCCCACTTACCCTCTAGAGCCAATGGTACAAGCAATACTGACAGACAAACCCGACTTCCCGGTGACTAGTGTGGACATCATTGCGTGCAATAATACAATGGTCAACCTGCTACGTTTTGCACTTGGGCAAGATAAGCCCTTCAGAATGCTTGTTGAAGTACTCGGAAATACAGTCTTCTTTATCAGAAGGGAAAACTCGCCCACCGAAATGATTCCCGATGTCCGTGGGTATGGACATACGTTCCCAGAAGCTTACACCACGTGGGATGCAAGCGTGCGTGGATCCGAGTCTCATCAAAGGGTGCTTGAGTATGAGTTTGTCGGCATGCAGTGCTTGGTACGTTTCGAGGCGGATGGGTTTTTGCCCGACCTGGTCCCAGAAACCGAGGAACCCAAAGAAGATCATGTTTCCCCAAAGGATGATATCGACCCAGAGGAAACTTTGTCGTCCATGGAAGAAGTTACTATTGTATGTGGTCCCTCGACGACTGCAGAAACCGCATCGAAGCAACTTGAGATCGCAAGGGAAGGTCGACGTATCTCACAGTGTGCAATCTTTGACCTGAAGACCCGATCTCGCAACAAAAGGAATCATAACACCCTTGAGGAAGAACTACCCCGGCTGTGGGTTTCGCAGACTCCCAACTTCATTCTCGCCCATCATATGTCTGGTCAATTCAAGGATATTCAGGTCCAGGACGTGCGGGATGATGTAAAGCAATGGGAGGAGGCCCAACAGCCGGCTTTGGGCAAGTTTGCTAGCTTACTGCAAATGATTGTGTCACTCGCTCGAAGCGCGGATAACGGGAAACTTGAGGTTGAACGTGAAGAGGGTGAGCAGGTTTTAAATCTGAGAACACCAGGTGGAGTTGTCAATGGCGTCTTGTCCCCGGCTGTCGCAAGCAAGTGGGAGGTGTAAATCGGCTCCCATGGGTACAGTGCAAGCTCCTATTCTTTTAGGTTGAAGATCGATCTGGGATGTAAATCAATTCGAAATAAGTTCAATGCTATTCACTTATTCCATCCTAGATCATATGTAGAGAAAGCCTTCTGTATGTTTTATACCGTTACCGCCCTTATATATTGTGGTCAAGTTATGAATCCGACATGTCTACTGCGTGCTGATATTCCTGTCTTGCTTTCATTCCTAGCGGTACTTCTATAGCTCATTATACTCCCCTCTAACTGCAACAAAAGGAATATATAAAAACATCTAGAAAGACATCCAGATCTTATCTTACATATAATACCCCAATACCTCTTTGAGCCAGGTAAATGAGATTATTAGAGTCTTGCTTCCTCAAAGGTAGAGACCGCATACGCATCTGACTACTTTTGTGTGTGGTAATGAGTGGATGAATATCATATGCTACTGGCGGAAAAATGTGCTTGCACCGATTTCTGGCGCCAGTGTAGAGCTGGCAGGACAAATTACACTAGCAAGCTGGACTAGACATCATTATTCCAATCACAAATATTCACCTCTCAGTAAAGGAGATGCTGTCTTTGTTACAGAGAGCCTATGCGATAAGACACTATTCTGCCATTTCCGACCGCCTGTTCAACTCTCGCCATCGAGCTCCGAAACGACTTATCGGTCCTGTTCCCTCAATTTCTCTCTTATCTGCGTCACCAAGGCTTCACCTTCAAGATTCAGCCGAGATCACAAGAGTGCAAATCAGTGAAATCTTTGCTAGCCAAGGCCCCCGCCTCCTGAACGAAACCAATCCCGGAAGGGAATTTTCCTCTTTCGCGCGACGACAGCAAGGTACTTGCTGCAGAAACCGGCAAGATGCCTAAATATAAGTCCCCCTGGTCTTTATCTTTGCAACTAGAAGCTAACTCCCCATGAACTCTTTTGTAGGTTTTGTCCCAAATCCAGGTTTAGACAGACCAAGCCGTGTGATAGCCTATTCCGGGCACAATGCGATACGATGCTATGCCCTTTGATATCGACTGCGGCCTCTTGATCCCACATCAATCGCCAAGTTGCTAACCCTTCACTTCAATGTATAGGCGACTATTGCGATGTCTATCTGACACACGACTCGATGAGCGTGCGCAAGGCGCATAACTCCGGCCGAAACCACCTGAGAAACGTGGTGGACTATTACCAACGTACGTCCAACCGATGGCGCAGCAAGACCCGTCAAACCCAACAGCCGAATGATAGCTAACCCTTCGGACCTATCACAGAGATTGGCCAAGAAAAGGCCCAATCCGTTATCGACTCCATCACCTCCTCCTACGCCGCAGAGGGCCAACAAGCCCCCAACATGATGGCCCCCGGCGCTTTCCCCGCCTCCCTTCGGATTCCCGGGTACGACTCTCCTCCCATACTCTCCCGAAAACCAACTCAAACACAAGCTAACACCGCCAGGACATCCAGGCATGCCAGGCATGCCCCCTCCCCCGTTCGGCATCCCTCCACCAGGCGCCCCCGGTGCCCCAGGCATGCTACCTCGTATGTCCTACCTACCTCCAATCCCACCCCATCGCAAGAACAAGAACCACAGACGAGGATCCCAATTCTACCCAGGACAATATCAAGCTAACCAATATCCGTTCCACCCAACAGCCCCAGGAGCGCACGGCCTGCCCTTCCCACCGCCCTTCCCTAACGCCGGAACCCCGCCAACAGGCGGCTTCCCTCCTCCCCTCCCCAACATGCCCCAGGGCGCAAACCTGCCGATCCCGCCCCCAGGCGGCTTCCCCAACTTCCCCGTCCCCCCACCAGGCGCTGCGGGCTTCCCTCCTATGCCTATGCATGGCCAGCCCGGCATGGGTCAGCCTGGTATGGGGTCTGGTGGTCCTTCGCCCATTCCTACCGGGCCCCGTGGCTTGGAAGGGTATCCTCCTCCCCCCGGAGGTGGGAATTCCGGTAGGATGGATCAACAGTGGTGATCATGATGACGATCTTGGGGTTCGTAAATGGTTTGTTTCTGATACCTTTATTTATTTTCTGTGGGGATGTGTGGTGCCGTCGGCGTGACATCTCTCATGGTTTCTTTTGCTCTTTACTGTTAATGTAAAATAGCGGTTTCTTTTTTATACGTCTCTTTATTTTCGTACGTTGTGTTTCGTACAAGATGGCCTGTTACGGTTCTGGTCATGGAATTGAATTTATACGAGATGCAAGATCCTGGGATTTAGGGATGAAAATCGTAGAGCAAGGGACTGAAAATAACACCGACATCCGCATCAAGAGGCGTAAATATTGCATTATTATTTACACTAGAACTACATGCCAGAATACTGGTATATAGGGTGACTGATGCTGAAACCTGGAGAAATTGAAAATATATCTCACCGGCAGCAGAGATACTGCAAAGCCAACAAAAAGGAGAAAAAGAAACCCAAGGCCGATCACCGTATCCAGAATGCATCAAAGAACGCCAAGCGGAAGTAAAAACAATAGAAACACGCGACCACGAAAGGATTTGACCAGGGGGAGATCGAATGAAGCCAGGAGAAGGAGAAGAATGAAGGGATAGATGAAAAAGAGGTCACGCCATTGACATATGGAGTGAATTAAGAAAAGAAGTTTATCTGACGCGACGAGGATGCTGCAAACTTGTGCAGAAGCAAAAAAAGAAAATAGAACCCCTAACCCAGAGGAATGGCGATTGGCAAAATCATAGACCATCGGTATTCCGCGCTAAAACAAAATCACATATCTTCATCTCAGAAGCGACAAAATCAGAGTCCAACGGCCGTTTTTAATGATCATAGCCAGCGCCCCGTTGCCAGGGACTGGTACTATTCTGGGTTCGATAAGTTGCCGCCGACAAGGCAGATTGGCCAATAGGGGCGTTGTTATCAAGACTCCTCCCAGCGGGTGAAGGTGATCGACCGAATTGGTCGTATCCAGGGGGAGCATTGTGATGAGCTGGCGCATTACTGGGGAACAGTGGCACAGATGGGTCAACGGGTGACCGAGGTGCTTGGGCGGCAGAGCCGTGCGGTGGGTAGGTTGATTCCATTTGGCGACCGACGGATGCACCATTTCCACTGGAGATAGAAGCGGTATCGTCGTCGAATGGGTTATTGTTGTATTGCCCAGGCTTCATATCACCGCGCGCTGTAGCACCCAAGGCATCCAATTCAGTGGTCAGCTGGGTTTGGGACTTGATGAACGAGCCACGATCATCGCGCATAGGCTGGTAACGGGTATCGGGGTTCTTGGACACCACAGCATAGACCGAGGCGATCAGAACCAGGATCAAAAGGACAAAGGCAAAGATGCAATTGTATACGAAGAAGATGACACCCATGACACCGATCATCAATCCAGGGGGGTCGAACACGTCTGAGAAAACGAGAACGAAGATGGAGTTGAGGAAATTGATCACAGCAATAGAGATGTTGAAGACGTTGGTCTTCTTGTCCATCCAGGGACGGATAATGCAGACAGCGACCAGCATAGCCAGCTCAAGGACAACCAAAGACACTGCCTGAACGATCGGTGCAGGCTGGCTCAAACCGATAAACATGCCCTTGATCAAGGTGTAGATGAGGAATGGAACGACGAAATAGTATGATGTTGCTCGGTACTGCACATACAAGAAGCCCCACTTGTTCAGACAAGTCGGATCAGAGTAAAGGATGTATGCCGGGTTCTTGTGCATAGTGACTGAACGCTTCGCCAACCGAATGACCTTCTGGGAGGCCCATCCAAGAGAGACGAGCATAGAAAGGAGCATGACTGCTGCCAAAACAACCTCGGCCGCCGAGTCACGCTGGGTGAACTCCCAGAGACAGAGCACAGACATTTGGGGGAAACCGATGAGGGTCAGTCGGAACAAGATACCACGCAGAACGATCTTCCATCCATTGCGGAAGTCCTGGAACCGTTCGGTCTTCATTTTGCCGTGTCTGACAAGCAGCTCAGTAATTCCCTTGAAGGCTGCAACAATTATGACGACAACACAGGTGAAGACTGCAAAGAAGATCAGGCCAGTGAGGAAAATGTTGGTCTCCTCCATATTCGCACGGAACCCAACACGATCAATTCCTCGAATGACAAGAAGCTTCTGGCTGTTCTCGGATCTCTTGACCATACCGGTTGCCCGTTTAACTATCATTGGTTTTGTGGCTCTCTTCAAGAGGTCCAGTGCTGGATCAGCGAAGTCACGCTTGCGGCGTTTGAGGACTTCTACAGAAGTATCTCCGAGCTGTGACAGGATTGTCGAGGGAGTTCCACCGGTAGCCCGCTGATACCAAGTAGCAATCTTCTGGATGAATCCGACGCGGATGATACCCATGCTCCATTGGAAGTTTTGGGTCCAGGCTTCCACGATAGGGGGCATATGGACAGAGGTCATGCCAATAATCGCTTGCGACTGCATGAATCCGAAAAGGGAGAGCGCATTTGCTGCGACATGAGCCGCGGTGTTGGAGTGACCTAGCCCGGAGGTAATGGCGGATGCAGCGAGACCTAGGCCGGAAATGACAGCGGTTGCCCACGATACTCCGGCTTGATTAACGGTCTTGCCGTTGGAAAGCGAAGCCTCAACACAAGCAATCTTCTCCATAGTGTCAGCTGTCTTGATGACAATCCGCACATTTGCGTCAAGATCAGGCACAGTGTAAGCGATACCAGGAACGTTTTCTGAAGTGCCCTCTGGCAGATCGAGAGAAAGCGGTCCCAAATCCATGGGCCCAGCGGCCATGGGACACATGCCGAAACCATCAATCTTACAAGGATTAAGTGTGTTCTTGTATGCCTCGTAGCCATAGGCAGTAAGGGTCATCTCTGCGACTACCTTACCCTCGATGTATGAGACACCATCGAACCCGACCACAAGGGAGTTGTTTGCTGGGTAGAAGATGACGCTGAAATACGTTGCCGTGAAATTGCTGCTTTCCATGCACACGCTGAGTGCATTGGATTCAAGGAGCTGAACGGCGGACGCTAGCGGCGCCAAAAAGGCAACGAAGCAGGTGAGAAGCGATATTAACCGCATATTGGTGTATATTCGATATCAGGAAGAGGTTTCAAGCACTGGATTTTCCCAGTGATAGATTAGGATCAGGGCGAGAGGGGAAGAGACCTGACGGCTATTGTGTCAGTGGCACTCCAGAATACCACGTTACCAGCCGCCGGATGCGGAAATTCTTGTATAGCTGGATGCTTTCTGATCGCGGTGGGGCTGAATTATTTCCTAATGTCTCCTTGGACATTCACCGTGTGTGTTTGCCGTAAATTGTTTGTTTGTCGCAAATCGGAGGAAAAGTCAGGGTTAGGTCAAGGTGAGCCGTTTTCACCGGGGCATTGAATATAAACGGTGCGTAGAAGTAGTCGTAAGGGGGGTTAGGGAATCAAAGGCTGAATTTGATGTGTAGATGAACGAGAGTATTCCAGAGCCTGAATGAGAGTGATTCGAAAGCGAAATGTCGAGAGTGAGTGGACTGGCGATACGCAGTATGGCCGAAAAAGGAGTAACGAAGTTATAGGCTTGGTAAATGGGAGAAGTTGGTTTAAAGTGGACTAGAAGTCTAGAATCAAAAGAAAAATGAGAGACAATGAGAGAATGAGGGTGAGAGAAGAAGTCTCTCAGGGACCAGGGACAAGGTCGACAAGGGTCCGTGGGAGAGACACACTGGATGACCATCGCCATCCAAGGGTATGTGGTTATGTACTGTAAAAGGACAGGGGCGCCTAACTCTGGGCCAATCAGAGTTGTATCCTTTATTGTATTGTACTGTATTGCTGTTTGACTTTGTTCTGTATGGCCACACCCCCTTCAACACACAGAATGCCTAATTAGATCATCTGTTTCACTTGCTTTCTTTGCTTGGTGCATGCTATTCATACTATTCATGCTATTCATGTTATTCACTACTCCGTACACTCCGGATTTTGCTCATTCCCCCATACCCCATTCTCTTTCATATTTTTTTTTCCCCTTCTCAATACGCCTCCCCTGCCGAAAGCGGTTGATCATGGCGGAACCAGGCGGGTCCTTAGGCCTAATTATTATTAGCAGAGACAAAATTTGGATATGCCAATATTAAGTGCACTGAACCAAAAGAACTGTTGCCCCCGGCTGTGGAGTGTGCCGCACACAGTGGACCGTTACATACTCCGTACTCCGTACATACAACAGATAAAATATCTGAATATAATGTGTCAGTATTTCGTCTGCCTTAATTAATTTACTTTACACCTTCTAGGTCCACCTATATAAGTCGCTGCCTACTACTCCGTATGTACAGTACGGATCCTCCCTACTCCGAAGCGCTTCTGGTGGGGCCCATCTTAGCTGCCGCTTTTGTGAGGGCGCTGAATTAGGGGGTGAAAAATTCCAGCGCTCGTTTACTTATTGGCATCACATGACCATCTGGATCTATATTCGTGTAATCCTGGATATCAGCAGATAGTCACAGAGGACTCAGCCTTCACCCTATTGTAACTGGGATCGAACATGGCCTTTCAGACATCGGCTACTTCATCCTTCTTGACCCTTGTTGACAGCCTAGTTCGAGGTGGCCTCACCCAGCGAAAGTAATGTGTCTCAGCTTCATAGCAATGCATCGAGATCGCACGCCCGTTCTCATATAAGGCTCTCCATCTCGGGGTTTGCCCAGCTCGAAAGGCACACTATAGTCGGGCGGCGTGGGTAGGTCCGGCCATGTAAGCCACTTGGGTGTATTGAGATACCGGTCCATATCCTTGTCTTGCTTTGTTACCCATTCATTCGTATCAGGATGAATGAATAGATTCTGGGGTGCAGTATCTTGACGCATGATTCCTAGCTCGAGGTTTAGAAATCCACCAGTTCTATGAGTAGTTGCAGCCACTCAAATCTGAAAGGCATTTCTAAATTGGTTGGACTGGCTAGATTTCCACCTGGTATACACTCCGTTGTGAATCTAATCGCTCGAGATTCCATGTCTTCTAGGATGCGATCAATTGGTACTATATTTGGATGTGGTGGCAAAGGCCCAAGAATGTTGACTTCATTCCAAGCCTTCTGGAGACCTCTGCTTTTGTGTAACATTGAATTTGAAGGCAACTTTTTGAGGGATCCCGAGTTTGTCTTCATATGAAGAGAGATCAATACCCGGTCCATGTCGATCAATCTCTTCAAATTTAAGATAATAGGTTGTACGAAGATTGGCAAGTGAGCAATTGGCGAGCGATTTGATCATTGAGAAGGAAATATATGCAAGAAACATAGTGTCGTCCTCTGGGTCGGTAGAGACTCCAGTAAAGAGCCCATGGTCATCGAATGTAACCGCACGCATCTCTGGCGACAGATCACTGAACGGAAGAAAAACCAAGGAGCCTTGGCTAATATCTTTGTCGTCTTTTTGATGTTTCTGATGGTTTTTCGATCCGGGGGGTAGTCCTCCCGAAGTGCTAATCTGATACTAGTAAGAGTTATGGGATACATTGCAGACATTATTCTTATTCTACCATCTAGATTCTAGACCTAGGAATACCATTGGACTGTGTTTTTTTCCCCATTTATAGATACAGAACACCTTTCAATGATAATACAAATGACACAATGTGCTCTTTTCCTATCCTTTATATGAATATCAAAAAGAGAAACATCTGAGTAGGCTGCATAGGCGTGTTACAGCGATCGACATTATACAAATGCCAACCAACTAAGATTATGCACACATTGCACAGCCTCGTTTGGCAACGACCATCTTCATCGTCTGGTCGGATCAAACACGTTTCAGAAATAAAGGAACCTCAATATGCATGGACCATAAGTGAGCTTGGTATCATTGTGTCAACTCATATAGTACCCCCCTTCCCCCTTTATTATGGATCTAAGTAATTAGCTTCCCTAGTGTGTTCTACTGCCACCCCCTGATCACCAGAAAAGGATCAGAATGATCACGTATTCTCCCGTGCGCATCATGACGTCTTGATTTTCTGCTCAGCTTGTAATCCCATCTACAGAGTACACAATTGTCTCAACTTTTGGGGGTTTGATGTGCTAAATGAGATATTGACGGGACATCGGGACTCCTGTACCAGTATTTTGCAACGGTCAGATGTGGTTTGAGTCACGGGTGGTCTGGCTATGCTGTATTTTTGGATCCACTGTTACTGTCTGATTGGCTGGTTGATTATTGCATTCCATTGGCCAAAAATTTCTGCCGTGATTGCAATTGGACCGTTGAATAAATGTATGTGGAGGACTTCGATCACTTTATTTACAATTTTATACTCCGCGTGTTGCACGGAATTCTCGTCCTCAGTTTTCTGTTTCAATTTGCATACATCCGGGATATATTCTTCTGGCACTTATAGCGAAAAAAAGCGTTTACCTGACACTAGACTGTCAAGCTAGGTAGTCATTGTCTTATCGACACTTATTGAGAGATAGAAAGCTGACTTGGCTGGAAACTACATTGGATCTTAGTCAATGCAATTTATTTTTACATCCAGGGCACTCTGTAGACATACCGAGTACCAGTGCACAGAGACAGAGGAGCCCAGCCCTTGGCATGAGACAGATATGTACGCGACAACTGAGCGGTCACTCAACACATGTCATACGTACTGCAGTATCTCAGCTGCCTAACTTGAAGCCAAGATATCGGCACTTGCACAGCCTTCATACTAACATTCCGTCCTTGTTCCACTAAGTAAAGCATGAGCCCACCAGGCGAGCATCTTGTCCGGCATCGTTTCTCTTTGTGTGTAAAAAGAGGACTAGTGATGTTTAAATATGGGGACCTCAAACTTGAAACAAATGTAGTCTTTTTGATTCCAAAGCTGTGTCTATATATCCAAGTAATAATCAAAATCATAAGAGATGCCTAACCTCGTGGGGTCACAGGCCTAGTTAACTAACTAAAGGGTTAACTAACTAACGTATTTCACTACCGAGCTGCGCACACCACCGAGCTGCGCACCTAAATCACCCGATCAATTTCAAAGGCATTTATCTCAACCAAAACACATTAAATTAATTCAACTAATTAATTGGTCTATTTGGACATGTTTCCCTTCGATGCCCTGGTAATCTGCATATTCCACACCCCCGGGGGGCCGAGTACGTGGCTGAATAGCCGATTCTCTAGAGGTGCCAGGGCCGGGGGGAGGTGCTTCACTTGCTCCCTGTTGCTGCAAAATTAATGCAGAGGCTTCTTCAATTGAAAGGCCCTCTTCAGAAGCAATATGCCTTCGGGATCTAGTCCGCTTTTGCTTCTGCTTCTCATTTTCAGCGCGTAATTCCTGGTTTTCCTTCGCTAATAAAATAGCGCTTTGCATTGTGAGACGGAAGCCTTTCACAAGCTGGTTTAATGCACGATCTGACGGGCTAGGCGGGCTTCGAGACCTCGTACGAAGTAAAGCTTTGATTGACGAAGCCTGTCGACGTAGTTCTTTCTCTGTAGCAGGTGTTTTTGGTGTGAAATTCCGGCTTAAATCGCTCCCCCTACTAGGAGGGGGTGTTGGGGTTCGAAGTTGAATATTCAGCTTCGAGATCACTCTTTCTGGTGAAAAAGGGACTAAACCAGCTGCTCCGAAGCTATTCTTAATAGTCTCCGATTTAAAAGCTTCGATTCGTACAAGTGGGTATAAATCGAGGAAATCAAGTTTATCAATATGATTAACTTGGCGTCTCATTTTCATCTCCACTAACCGACTATATGATCGCTTTAACACAGCAAAGCAGCCGATATCAAGAGGCTGTAAAAGGTGAGAGGAGTGCGGAGGCATACAGATAGGTATTATCCTATTTTGCTCGCAGATTTCATCGAATTTCGGGGTCAAATGGCTTCCGTGTCCGTCAAGAACTAGCAGCCTATACCTCCCCTTCGTACGAAGAGAAGTGCTAGGAATAAAGAGCTTTTCAAGCCAGCGAAGTCCAATTTCATCTGAAGTCCAACCATTAGGACTAACTTCAATTCGCCAGTCGTTTGGTAGGCCTTCGAACCATGATTCCAAGTAGACTTTGCCTTTAAAAATAATACACGGAGGGAGGGCCCAACCCGATGCATTTGCACACTCAATAGTAGTCACCCATTCGCGATTTCCAGGTTGTAAAAGCGAGCGCCGACCGTAGAATTCGCTCCTTGTTATCACCTTCGCAGTAGCGATTAACCCCATTGCGAAACCAGTCTCATCAAAGTTATAAACGTCATCGGGGTCGATTCCAAATTGAAGGATGGTATTTTGAACAAGATTAAACCACTCCTGAATAATCTTTAGGTCTTCGCACTTCGCACGTTCATAATTATAGCGTCTCGAGAATCGGGAGGAGAGGAGAGGGTTCCTTTTCACAAATTTTGTAACCCAATTTTCGCCGACTGAAAGGACCGGGGTAGTTCCGCGCTTTTCGAGAAGAAGATTCGCCATTTCTCGAACCATAGAAGGCCGAGGTGCTGATCCCCGAGAATCCATAGAGAGAATCCATTTTTGAAGAGAATCCTCTTCAATTTGTGTCAGTTTATGAGAATTAGCACGAGAAGTCGCGCGGTGTTGAACGCCACGTAGGCGTGTCCGGAGTGTCGATTCGGGTACGTTAAATCGGCGTGCTGCTTCACGAACAGAGCTTATTTCTTGTTTCTGAATAGCCTGAGTAGCTAATAAGATCCTGCCTTCTTGCTCTATTGAATTTCGAGAGCTTTGAGAGCGAATTGGTGGCATGGTGGGTGGTTGAATTGATTAAGTGCAAATTTAGGGACGCGTTTTGGGTGGGGTGCGCAGCTCGGTGGTGTGCGCAGCTCGGTAGTGAAATACGTTAGTTAACTAGTTAGTTAATAATATTCGCCTCATAGACAAGGCATCAAGGCATCATGGTACCAAGGCACCAACTGATCGAGTCTATCAACACGTGATATGGAGTTCTGCCACATTTTACCGATCAGAAAAAAAAAGTAGCAGAATGATTTCCGCCCGCAGAGATCAATAATCTAGACCTGCAAAACACAAGGTCCAGGTGAAACGAAACAAACCCTTGATTGATTTGTTTCAGTGTTAAATATTACACTGTCGAAGAACCAATCAACAAAATGCCTGGCCCCGTGGACACCGCAAAGTCCATCAACAAGCGCAAGAGAAAGCACAGCTCGAAAACAGAGAGCGATGTCGCCAAGCCCGTGGAGGCCAAATCCAGCCCTGCAGTGACCCCGAAAAAGAGTGCTGCTTCGACCCCGAAGGCTTCAGCTGAGAAAGCTACCAAGAAGCGCAGAGTCAGCCCTTCACCGAGTCCCGAGGAAGAAAGCGCCGACAACTCCGAAGCCGTTGAAGATGTCGAGGATGTGGATGCAAAGGAAGGCAGTGATGCCGAAGAAGACATTGCGGCTATGAATGGTACGGACCTTCCTACTATGGAAGATGTCCGTTTGCCCCAGACTGAGGGCAAGCTGCAGAAATTCACTGAGCTCAACCTTTCCGAGAAGACCATGAAGGGTATCGAGGACATGGGCTTCACAACCATGACTGAGATTCAACAGCGTACTGTTCCTCCTTTGCTTGCCGGACGTGATGTGCTCGGTGCTGCGAAGACAGGTTCTGGAAAGACTTTGGCCTTCCTGCTCCCCGCGATTGAGATGCTGCACGCCCTGCGCTTCAAGCCCAGAAACGGTACTGGTGTTCTCGTTGTGTCTCCTACCCGCGAATTGGCACTGCAGATCTTCGGTGTCGCCCGTGAGCTCATGGCCCACCACTCGCAGACATACGGTATTGTTATCGGAGGTGCCAACCGTCGCGCCGAGGCCGAGAAGCTGATGAAGGGTGTCAACCTGCTCATTGCCACACCCGGTCGTTTGCTGGATCACCTCCAGAACACCCAAGGATTCATCTTCAAGAACCTGAAGACCTTGGTCATTGACGAGGCAGACCGAATTCTCGAAGTCGGTTTCGAAGATGAGATGCGCCAGATCGTTAAGATTCTGCCCAAAGAAGAACGTCAGACTATGCTTTTCTCCGCCACACAGACCACCAAGGTCGAGGATTTGGCCCGGATATCCCTGCGCCCCGGACCCCTTTACATTAACGTCGACCACAGCAAGGAGCACAGCACGGTGGCGGGTCTGGAACAAGGCTACGTGGTGTGTGAAGCAGACAAGCGTTTCTTGCTTCTCTTCTCGTTCCTTAAGCGTAACCTTAAGAAGAAGATTATTGTCTTCTTTTCGAGCTGCAACTGTGTCAAGTACCATGCTGAGCTTTTGAACTACATCGATCTCCCCGTTCTGGAGCTGCACGGAAAGCAGAAGCAGCAGAAGCGCACCAACACCTTCTTCGAGTTCTGCAATGCCAAACAAGGTACCTTGATCTGTACCGATGTTGCTGCTCGTGGCTTGGATGTATGTTTCCTAACCCCCATTCCCATGTTTATTCCATAACTGACTCCAATTTCAGATCCCCGCTGTCGATTGGATTATCCAGTTTGATCCCCCTGATGATCCTCGTGACTACATTCACCGTGTCGGACGTACCGCCCGTGGTAAAGAAGGCAAGGGTCGCAGTCTGATGTTCCTCCAGCCTTCCGAGGTTGGTTTCTTGAAGCACCTTAAGGAGGCGCGTGTGCCCGTCGTGGAGTTCGAGTTCCCGGCCTCCAAGATTGTCAATGTGCAGTCCCAGCTGGAGAAACTCATCGGCCAGAACTACTATCTCAACAAGGTAAGCCATCTCCCCCATTCTCTCATTTACTTTTGATCACTCATCTAATAACCCATCTGTACAGTCTGCCAAGGATGGTTACCGTTCTTATCTCCAAGCATACGCCTCGCACTCCCTTCGCACTGTGTTCGACGTGAACAAACTTGACCTCGTCAAGGTTGCCAAGGGCTTCGGTTTCAATGCCCCGCCTCGCATTGACATCCAACTGGGCTCCAGTCTCAGTCGCGATAAGAAGCAGGAGCAGCAAGGTCGCCGCACTTACGGTAGCCAGCCCAAGCACGGTGCTGGACTGAAGTTCAAGCGGAAGCACAATGACTGAGAACAATCTGTATGAACATCAAAAGCGATCGATTGTCTCTGCATTTTTATTTTAGGGACATTGGAGTTCAGCAATGTGGATATATCTATTTGGGTTTCAGTTTTGTCCCATTATTCAGTAATCATAAGAGAGATTGCATTTGAGTTGAGTATTCGTATGGCCAGCAGTGAGATAGTCGAACGCGTCTTGCTCTTGGTATGGATCAATTTTATTTACACCTCCTTACGCCTTGGTCAATGGTCTATTGTACTTTGTGTTGTAAAAAGGTTAAGTATACGGAGTACACTCAGCCTAGGAGAGGTCAATCCGAGATCTGACCGTTTAGTTGCACATGCCTAGGCGCTTATCATGCAATTTCTGATGTGTGATTAGCCTAAGGCTTATGCCTTCCCACACGGAATGCCACAGCAGAATGTCACGGCAAGCCTTCATTGAACCATGTGGGCTTCGGACTTTTTCCACGTGGAAGGGGCTCGACGTCAAGCAAGGACAGGAGCACTACAGAAGAGATACAATAATGAAAATCCTTGTAAGAGTATCCTTACAGAAGTACATATTGGTACCTATATGCAATGAGTTTTACAGGGCACCCAATACCCGCCGAAACGATCCAATTGGAAGATGCCAATCTTACACAGTATTGCAGTCAGGCGATCGTTTGCCAATGACAGCGTCAATCAGCTTGATTGCCACTAATGTACGAGATGCAGCAAGTCCTCAACCCCCAGCTGCATAAGTAGGCTCGATAGGAATTGCTTGCGCCCCCTTGCAAGCGCTGCGTTTATAGTTCTGTCCAGTCATAGTGAGTTCACGGATAGTAAATCCGGGGCCAAAAGTTGGAAAATATTGTCGGTGTAGCTCATATCTGGGCTGTAGACCAACCATTTCATCAACTTCAATCATTCTCATCAATTCTATATGGAGAGGTTGGTTAGGTTGAGAGCTCGAGCACACACGAATGTGATGAGTTGGCAGACGCTGGGGCCAATCACCCGGTCTCCAGGGTCTTTGTCGTCTGGGCGACGGTGTGCTTGCTCCGGTTCTTCTGCCTTGTCTTTTGCGGGTCCCACGGAGAACTACAGGTGGACCGTATGTGTTCGTGTGTGACGAGGACAAGTTGTTTTTGTCGTTTGGGGGAAAGTTCAAGTTGGATTTGCCAAGATTCCAAGCCACAAAAGAGGTTATACAGAGTAGCCTTTAGGAGATGAGTTCAACCTTGGAAGGGTTAAAGATCAAAGTTCCAAGGTTGGGATGAAAAGACGAAAAAGGAAAAATCACACCAAAATAAAACCACAGAAAACCAAATCAAGTAAAGTAAAAGATGAACCAAGGAACCAAAAAGACGATCCCGAATACATCCCAAGGTTCCGTTTGTTTACAGTATACCTTATTGTACGAAAGTAGCTGTTGAGTACTACTTGTATGGTGGCCCGCGCAACTCGGAACTTGGGATGTACATCGCCAACACATCCAGCCTCTTCAATTTTTTTTGGAGGCTGGGCAACTATCTTAATTACTCGGGTACCGGCTGATATTCGCTATCCTCTTCATCTTTTATTCTAAGAGATCTTGAATTCTTTCCCCTTTTCCTCTCACATTTTCATGTGAGGGATCGGCGACACACTCTCTCACCGTTTTCTCTCTCTCTCCTTCCCTAATCCCACATTCTTAATTCCCCACTGTTCTGTGGTCCGCGCTGGTACGCTCTCAACTCCTAAAATAATTCTCGGGAATCTCTTCTTGAGTTCCTATAATTTGTCCTTCCCCACTATCGTGCCAACAAGCACGGAGCAACAGTGAACCCCCCCAGCAACACATCCCTACACAGAGCACGACGGAGCATGCGATTGGGCTGAAGGACGCCTCTTCATCATGGGGGTCAATACCCGCAGACCGATGCTTCCCGCTCCCACAGAATCCATCATCGATACCCCGGGGGACAGCGCAACGGGCACAGATCTGGCAACTGACATTTCTCGCCGCACAGACAAAACGTCGTACTCTATCCCAGACGACGGTAGCCCCATCACTGTCTCCACTCGGCGACAGCGGGACCGCGACGAGAAATTGTCTCGATCTCAACACGACTCTCATACCTCGTTACTCATCGAGTATTTTGAGGGCGGCAAAGGATCGGGCGGCATCGTCTCTCGTCCCAGCGTGCGAGTACGTGTTACGCCATCGTCAGCTAGAAAGTCCAAACACAAAAAAGACCATTTCCAAATCACCGAATCAAGCGGAAGCGGAAGCGGTATTCGGAAACCGTCCTATACCCACCGGATATCTCTGCCCTCGCCATCAAAACGAAAGCAATTAGACTCGGGCGCAACGGATGACCAGAGCATTGGTTCACTTTCAGCTGAGGAGGGTCATCATTCGCCACGTCGCGAGCCGGTAGAAATTGAGTTCGTGAACCGCGGACAGGATAGCGAAATGTCTTCCCTCTCACAAGACACCCGATACATGGCATCCGAGGTTTCATCTATGCCGCCGGAAAGCATGATCAACGCTTCGTCGGCGGGTCCCAGGCGGAAACGCAGCCAGAGTCTGGAGCGTGGCTCGCCCCGTGAAGACACGGGATTGCTTAAGACTCCTCACCGACAAAGAAGTCGCAGTTTGAGTAAGGAGCGAATTGCGCATCGAGTAGCAGAAAAACTCACCGGATCACCTCAAGAGGCTTCGAGCGGAAAACACAAAAGCCAGGGCGGCAAGGATTACCTCGAAGCCGACACAAAAACATCTCGTCGCCGAAAGCACAAGTATGCGGAAGAGGATATCATCAGTCCTGAATCTAGTTTGCTCAGCACATCTGGAGTCTCTTCAAACCGCAAATCCGATCAGTACTCAGTCCGCTCCGGTGCATCCAAGTCATCTATCAACAACCCAAAATTACTCGAGACGGTTGAGGATGCCATCAGGAGATTAATTCTACCAGAGCTAAAGGAGCTCAAGAAGGACCAAAAGGTCATGACCAACAAGAACAAATTTGATCGGGACATGGCTACATCTTATTCGTCCGGCACGAGCTCGAGAGATGAGCTAGGCCGACGCCTCTCCAAGCACGCCAGTGCACCCGATGTCATGAAGCCCAAAGTTGTTCTGAACAAGGATAGCAAAGATGAGGGCATTGTCCTTTCTCCCGAGTCGGCCCCACGTGACAAGGAGCGCAAATCAAGTAAAAGCAGCGAAGTCTCCGACATGGCAGTGAGATGGGCCAATCGACCTGACTACACCGAACAAGACAAGATCCGCAGACAGAAGAGTAAGGGTCTCCGCGATGCCCATGCAGCTGCCCGAGTCGGTTCTGCACTCACAGCGGCTTCTTTGAAACACCACAACTCCAACTCTAGCCTCGGCAAAAAAGAGCACCGCCGAAATAGTGGCTCCCGGAAAAGTGGCTCACGCAAGAGCACTGAGAGTATGAAATACAACGAAACGGAACTTGTTTTCCAGAAGCACAATGTTGCGCCAATGCCAATGCACAGCGAGATTGACTCCGAGTTGACCAGGAACTCGTTGCTCTCTGAGCGAACGGCTAGTCCCACTTACGAAAAGCAGGCCTCTTACTTCGACATTCCTCGTGGATCGCCGGGCCAGGGCATGTCACCGGCTTCCCGCACTCCCACTAGGAACTCTGTTGACTCGCGTTATGAACTCGGAATGCGTCATGGCAATCGGTCGAATCATAACATCTCGGTGCACAGTGCTTCGGATCGTGACCTGCATCGCCAGAGCCAATCTCCTGGAACCGACAGTGGCAACTGGGAAATTGCAGCTGCAGCCGCAGCTAATCTCCTTGATGCCATTCACCCTGGACATCATGAAACGCAAGATGACTATCACCATGAAACCACTGGTCGTGGACTGAGCCCCATTCAGAGTATTGCGAGTGATCATACTGAGACTCACCACGATCATTATGCGGGTCACGGCGAGCAACACGTCGACGGCAAACATGACATTGAGCCTCGACTCTCCATTGACTCTCTGTCATCTGCCCCCAGTACAAACCTCGCGAGATCCACTCGCCAGGGCACCAGCTCACATAGCCAGAGTGGATTTTTCAAGCAGCACAGCCAAGACTCGCCGGGGCTCGGGTATGAGCACTCGCGCCAGGGCTCCCAGGACAATGGCTTCTATGGTTACGACGAGGAGAGCAGGCGCTCCGTTGATGATGGAGATAGCGATGTTGACTTCATGGACAAAGTCAAAGAAGGTCATCCTGTAGCAACCGGCGTTGCTGCTAACCCCCAATTTATCCACCCACTAGCCGTTGAATCCGCAGTCGCGTCCTTGATGGATCCCTCTGTTCTTGAGTCTCAGGTCTCATCTGCGAACCGCTCGCAAACAGATCTGGGTCAACGATCAGGTAGCCGAAGCCCTGAAAAGTCGGGAAGTGAAGTCTACCGCGGAAGCCCCTTGAAACAACGCCAGGATGCTTCCACTGCCGATGAGACCTCATTCCCTCGACGTATGGGTGCCACATCCCCCCCTCAGAGCGTTACCCAGTCCTTTGAGGACATGGACGAGTCTGCTATGATGCCTGACAAGGCCCCGCGTGGAATGGAGAGTCCTCTTCCGGATGCTGAAAGCCAAGAATCGGAGTCTGAGATAAACACCAATCCGTCCATTATACAGGGCCCCATTGGTGGCGTTGCCCAGGCAGATCGCTGGGGATATCATTCCGGGTCTCCACCAGTGGATCACTATTACGATAAACAGATTGGTGGGTCCAAGGGTCTGAATGCCGAGCAGCAAATCGGACTTGATGCAGAATACTACCAGACTGCCCAAAATATCTTTGGTGGTGATGACTATTCTGCTCACTCTGGCGACAACCAACCCCAGCAAATGTTTGGTACCCCTCCTGGGGCCAAGGATGAAGGCTATGTTTCGGCCGCAAACCCCATGTCTCCCAGTATCGGAACCCCAAAGCAAGCTAGTCAAGGTCTGGGGGGCGTAGATGCCGCTGGAATGGGTAGCTTCGATAGTCCTGCTGGGGCAGACGATCCTTTTGTCGCTGGTCATGAACGCCACTTCAGTGGTTACTCTCACGGTGTTGGCTCACCACTCTACGACAGTGCTACCGGCCGGGGTATCGAGAGAATTCAGTCCCAGGATATTGTGGCTCTTATGGATCATTTGACAGTTCGGGATGCCCAGCGGAATGCTAGAGATACCGAGATCCTGGTTACTTTGGTTCGAAGTGCTGCTGAGATGCGCACCTCCTTTGAGCAGATGAAGAAATTCATCGCTGACCAAGATGATCTCATCATGGACACTAGCGACAGAGGACATGAGCGCACTCACAGAGCGCTTGGTGGTCCTCGGCCATTGCCCCCCAGCGCTTCTCGGAATCGGCAGCTAAACACAGCTGATGAGGAAGACAAGCGAAAGAGCATCTTCAAGCGTGCACTGAAGGGATTGAGTCTCAAGTCGGGTAATGACTTGACCAAAATTGAAGGCATGCTCGAGCAGCTGCTTGGCGAAGTTGAGGCCCTGCGATCTGGACAAGATGGCTTTAGTGGCACCAGAATGGGAAGCATGGAGCCAAGTGGGTATGAGAATGTCGGTCCAAACGGAATGCCTGCTGAGACGAGCCGGTCTCCCTACGGGTCCAGTTCTTCTCACCCGGTGAATGCACAGCGCAGAGATTCGGATCAGCGAGTCAGCACCGTCCACGAAGTTGACGAAGACCTTGAGCTTGATGATAGTGACCAATTCATGACCTCGCATCTCCCTGTCCGTGAGCGGCCTGGTCACGAGCGCTCAGGCTCATTGCCGCTTGATACGCCTCCACGCAGGCCGGTGGCCACATCAGCTCGCAGCACCGAAACAACCCCCAAGGCCCGCAAGCACAAATCCAGCAGTTCTTCCATTTTCCCAAAGATCTCCCGCTGGTCCAAGTCCACGGCCACCTCTATGGGCGACGGCATTCGCAACAGCATCCAGCCTTCTCGCAAAGAACGTCCGACCTCGGACGAGTCTCGGTCTGGATCTGATCTCGCACCTCTTGGTGCCTACAAAACCGACTATTATGATCCTCAAGGAGATGACAGAATCCGGTCCACCTATACTTTGGACGACGGGCACGATGAGAACAGACCCCCTTCTCCATTAGTTCCTTCCCAGGTGTCAGAGGTGCCCAAGTACCGTGGCCACCGTGGTAGCCTCGAGTTGCAGCATCCCCAGCCTCGACAAGGCCCAACCGGACGTTACCAGTCCCGCCTCGAAACCGAGGCTCAGGTCTACGGAGGCCCTATCTCTCCCACTGGCTCAGAACAATGGGAGTCCAACCCCAGCCTGCCCGTGGTCAACCCTCTTCAAAACCGCAACAGTGGTGTGAGCGGTACCACGCGTCTGTCCCCAATCTCCGACGCAGGCTACTCGGAGACCAGCTCCCGCGCAAACCGTACACCGGGCCCACCCCGTCCCCCCAAAATCAAGGACGCGGGCCCTCTCATTCCTGAGCGTCCTCCGAAAGTTGCGGATGACGAAGAACCTGCTTACAGCGGCGACCGTGCCGTTTCCAGAGTATGTATTCCATAGACTCCCTTCCTCTTGTTTCAATCGAATCAATGCTAATGTTTGCCCTCTCCAGAGCTCTGCCATCCGCTCTCCCCCTACACGTAAGCCAACTGGCCCGCGTCCCCTCGCCTCTGCCGGCTCCTACAGCCCAGGCAACGCCAAGCGAACCCGCTACCGAGGCAGTCCCGCGCAAGTCGACTATGAAGATGAGCAGTATTGAGACTTGCACCGTGATACCCCTGGGTTGATGTTTTCAATTTCTGTTTCCCTCGAGCGATCTTTTGCCTTTTTTTCTCTTCTTAACGACACTTATGACCGTTTACTGAGACTTCAGTCCCAGTTTCTTTATCCCCAAATCTATGAGCAATGTGTGTGTTTAAATGTCTACAATACTTCCTGCCTTCCATGTTCATGCCAATGGCCATGAGATGAGCGGGAACTTATGTCTTCTCTTCGCCTCCCTAGCTATTTTTACTCTTAAGTTTCTCCGCTTGTTGTCTATGCTCTTGCTTTTGGGCATAAGCTGCAGCTGAATAGTGGGCCGGAGCGTGCTGGGGCTTGAGCCTCTTTGTAACTTTTGTGCTGTGGTGTAGATAGTGGTGCAGATTAAAACATGATCTATTCCGATTTTGAGGTGTGGAATAACTTCTCGAGTCGTGTTACCTTTTGTATATGCCACAGAAACGCAAATACCTGATGCATTGAGTAGATACAACTGTAGCGTGGGTAGTGGGTAGTTCGTAGTAATCATCCAGGTACACATCAACAACAACCTGAGCCACTGGCCGTTGACGCCTCAGGATGTTCCAGTCCTCCGAAACCCTTTGTTGCTTAATAGTACACACGCGTAATCGTCCCAGTACTCTCCATTTCCGGCAAAGGGAGAAAAAAATAGAAAGGCACGGTTCCTTCCACATAACCATCTGTAAGACCTCTATCGTCACTGCAGAATGGGTGTAACCCATGGGCTGCTCGACAAATTTTGAAAACTAATCGTGATCACCATTCCAGCACGTGGATATATATGGAGCGTTGGAGTGTCTTTATCTGTCTAAGCAGGCCGTTAACCAGGGACTCGGCATGATTGTGATGAGAGTGAACCCATCCTCAGGGTTGGGATGTATGGGTACCCCTTCCTCGGATCCGTTTTGTCTCTCGATTCGTGACTTTCGAGCTTCGATGAAAGTGTAAACAAGAGAAAATGAAAATGTATCAAAAATACAGACCCGCTTTGCTTAGAAGACTTGTCGGTCATTGCTAAGAGGACATCAAAGCCTTCGTTGTTCAATGGTAGGCCAACCATGAAGTCCATCGTGATGGTATGGTATGGGATTGGTGCGGCACAGGTTGGCTGGAGCAAGCGGTACGGCCTATGTCCTGGTGTTTTGTTTTCCAGGCAAGTTGGACATGTTAGAACTTATTGTTTGGGCAATTTGGCATAAATGACTATTGTAGTCGAAGCTGCAGAGTACAAAGATCTCATTGAGCGACTAGAATAAAGCCCTGATTTTTGATAACGGGTATAATGAATAGTACAACACTAACTCTGATGTGATGCCCTAAAAACAAACAAAAAACTCCCGGTTGGAAACGTTCAAACGAGAATCACAATTGTCATCGGTAGAACACCTCCAGGAACTGGGCATACCAATGAAGATATCACACACCAGAAGAAAGCCCTAGTAGTCTGAGAAAGGTCGGACAGAGGTAGTCCCCCTTCCTCTCACGGCATAAGCAGTAGCAAGTGAGCTATAATCCAACGAATCACTGACAGGAAACTTCCCCGGATAACTCTCGATAGAGTGATACTTGCGCGCACGATTCATCTGCACGGTCTCCGAATCAACTGCCGCATCGATCGCCGCCCCAAACGAGACTGGCTGGTGCACCTTGGTTCCAATTGCCGGCCCAGGGTCACTGAAGTGACCTACGACACGCGCAGACGCAGACATGGGCACAGGGAAAGGCACGTTCTCGACGAAGCGAGGCTGTGAAGTGCGCACTCGAATTGGAACGAGCTCTTGCTCCGCCCGTTCCTCGTCTGACGGCGAGCCATTCATATTCCCTGGGACGATGGCCAGTGGCTGTCGGAAGATGGCTTTTGCCGAGGTGGCAAGCTTTGAAATACTGCCTTGTGTGTTAAACCGGATCTTGCGCAGTGTTTCATGAATGGGGGAGTTTTCCCGGGGTTTTTCGGTACCCGTATCTGGTATAGAACGTTCTTGATCCGATGAGGATTCGGAGTCTTGGTGTCCTTGCTGTGGCGATGTTGAGCTGGCTAGCAAGTTGGGGGTGGGCTGATGGGTGGTGCGGATGCCGTTGCTCTCTGGGTTCAAGAGACCATTCCCTGATGACAGGTACCACTGGCGCTCTGTTGCTGTTGCGGAACTATAAGCTGAGAGGGGGATGGCGCCGAGGAGGGTGTTGATAATTCTTGTTTCTGTGCGGCTGAGGGCTGTGTTAAAGGGTGGAAACTCGCGCCGTGTGTTCCAGAGTGGCCGTACGAGGTAGGACACTGCGTATAGAAGTTGCAACCAGGAGAGCAGATGAATAAGGTATATTGTTTTTGAGAGGGATAGAGGAAATGCCCCTGTTGCGAGATGTTTCCGATCCATGATGTATGGGGAGAGAGGAAAGGAGGGAGAGATTGAATTCCATTTGAAGGAAGCCATATGCCTAGGTAGACGTGGAAAGAGCTGAAATGTCCCAAAATATCAAACAGAATAACCTTCGGCGCTATTCTCGCAATCCAAGGTTGGGGACTTGAAGAACCCTGGAACGTTATAGATCGTACCCGTGGCTCCACTTGGCTAACTCCACCTCTTCAACCTCCTCTCTCTCTCATGTCCAAACACGCTGCTCGTTCCATCATGTCTGCGATTGCCTGCAAACATCTTCGTCCGCGAAAGTTCGCACCTCTCGGTTCTTCCGTGACGTCGACTGCCCCTCCCTTGAAGGGGATTGTATTTGATGTGGATGGAACCCTGTGGTGAGTCATTTTTTCTTTTCTGGTGTATCAGCGTTCTACCTTGCGTTTTCTGTTGTTCGCTGGATATTGGTCTTGCTGCATGCGTCCTGGAGAATCGATATAGACATCTTGATGTTATTTATGGAAGTGGACAGAAAACGATGATCCAGGCATCAGTTTGAGATTCAGGCAGAAACACCTTTTCCTATTCGGGGAAGTATACCTTGCGTTGGGCTCGGGTGTTTCGCTTGATGACCTGCTCCATGTTATATGATTATTTCTGCAGCATAGCGTCTCCCACGTGGTAGTTGAGGGTAGGGTGCCATACTCATCTAGTCTATATCATACTCCAGCCTTTTTGTCTTGTTCTTCTGTCGCCTCGGGGGTTTGCGTTTTGATTGATTATTATGATCCTATGCATTTTAATCGTGTCATCGACTCAACTTTATATTGACTGAACCTTGCTGACCTCGATCAGTTTGCCACAACACCACATGTTCAGCGAAATGAGGTACAACCTAAGAGCAATGAGCTATCCGAAACTGAATCTTCTGAAGTCTCTTTAACAAATATCCCAATATAGAGAAGCACTGGGAATCGATCGCTCTATTGACATTCTCCAACATATCCGCGAACTCCCCGCTGGAGAGCAAGCCACAGCCGTATCGAAAGTGCAAGCTGTAGAGCGCCGAGCCATGGCCGATCAGCAGCCACAGCCCGGTCTGGTCCGCCTAATGGACTACCTCGAATCCCGCGGCTTGCGAAGAGCACTCTGCACACGGAACTTCGAGTACGTTCTACAAGCAATCAACACAACCAGGACATAACCATATTCTTCCTGGTTATTTGATACACCGATAGCGCTAACACATTCACTCACCTCCCCCAGAGCACCAGTCCAGAACCTTATCAACAACCATCTCGATGGTCATATCTTCCTACCAATCATCACACGGGACACGCCCAATCTCCTGCCCAAGCCTGATCCCGCGGGTATCCTGCATATTGCGAGTGAATGGGGTCTCGCTAATGGTGAGAATTTGATCATGGTTGGTGATAGTATTGATGATATGACGGCTGGACATATGGCTGGTGCGGCGACGGTGTTACTTTTGAATGAGCAGAATGTGCATTTGAAGGAACATCCGCATACGGATCTTTGCATTAAGCAGTTGGATGATCTGATCGATATTCTGGAGGGGGGATTTGTCGGGACTAGGGAGAATGATGAGCATGGTGCGTGATAGGATTCTAATTCTGTGTGATCCCATGCGACGTAGGTAGAGGCTTTGGGGTAATGGATGTGCCGAACAGTCCACTCCGCCTGGGCAGCATGGGCATGTAGCACAATATGAGAAATATACTACTGAAGTGAGAGATTTCAGAATGAAGTGTCATTTAATCGTACATACATGCTCAGTTGAGACTGAGCGGATTGGTAGACACTGTGCTATGTACATGGCGGTGTTCGCCGAGATCTTCTGGTCATATCGTAGCGGGTTTACCACCCGCGGCCTCTGCCGCCGCCACGTGGTCCACGTGAGAATCCTCCTCGCTGTGGTCCACGGCTTCGGCCACCGCCACCACCCCTGGGTGGAGGGCCCCGTGGGAGGGGTGGGTTTGGCGAGCGTGAGCGATTGTTGTTTCCAGAGAATGTTGAACGGCCTCGAGAGGGCCCCCTGGATGGTGCATCGCCACGCTTAGCTCCGACTCCGCTTGCGAACTTGATAGTGCCGCGAATATTGCCACGAGGAGCAGGGACGGGGCGTCCTCGGCCTCGGGAGACACGGGACATCATGTCATCTTCGTCTGGGGAGGGGGGTCGAGACCATTCCCTGGCTCTTCCGCGGGACTGGTTTCGGCTTGGTGGGCGGCTCTCTCGTGGGGGGACGACGGTGTTGAGGTTTGTGATCATATCTGGGTCGATACCCTTCAAAGTAAATGAGGAAATGGTTGGTACGCGCAAACTGGAAGATGGGCAATCTCCGATAAGATGCTTCGCACTGCAACAATTCGCACAGCAGATTGACACTGTGACTTGGTTGGAGTGGAGATCTCTGCTTGGGAACTTCCATAGGCAATCACATTCGGATTCCAGATGCTCATTGCCACAGTAGTCACAGGGCACTTCGTATGCGAAATTGCGTAGCTTCGCGGTGCATTGCGGCTCGTCGTGACCACGTTCACGGCATCTTTGGCATCGTCGCCAGTCGGGACAAGTATTGCTTTGATGTTGATTCCAAGCACCGCAGTGTGCACACTTTATATCTAATGTTAGTAAGGGAAAATAAGATAACTGGAAGCAAGATACAACATACCTCTTTTGTTGGGCAGATGTCGGCCAGATGGCCCTCGCTTTGACATTCGATGCAAGAGATAGGGAGTTTGAGGTCCAGATCATGAATGCTGCGATCAAAATACACGTACTTGGCCAGGATCTCGAGGTCTGTCTGGCTTAGATCCACCAAAGCAGTGGGCGCATTTGGATACTTGCTTGAGAAAAGCTGGAACGCCTCCTCTTTCGACCCAGATCCCGACTGTGTAGATCCACCTCTGATGATATTTGAGTCTCCAGTGTTGGAGTTATGCTGATGAGCCAGGGTCGCGGGATCGTAGTTATTAGTGCCATCCATTTCCATCTTGTCCCCTATGTTCAGTAGGATAGAGTCATCAGCCTCAGAACCAAGAGAATCTGAATCATCTGTGTCACTCTTGGAATCAATTTCTCCATCCTCCAATTCGTTATCATGTTCAGATTGGTCGTTTGCTGTGGGCTTTTCTTCGCCGTTGGTCGACGCGACAGATTCACTGCGACTGCGCCAATATTTGTCATTCACCGCTTCAAATTGAGTAGGCTTCTCGTTTGCCGGCGCTGGTCGTTTCCCAAGTGTTGTACGCACTGCAGCCTTCCGACCCTGATTCCAGCTAATTGCAGGGGCAGTGTTGCCAGCATGTGGGTTTGCGGTAGTAGGGTCTGCATCGGAATCGGAATCTTCACTTGATGCTGAGCTAGATCCAGAGCTAGACGTACTGTCTGGATCCACTGGCAATGGTGTAGCACTGAATGCAACACCTTTTGGCACAAAGTCATTTAAATCTGAATCCTTTTTATTTCTGTTGCGGCGTTGTCGCTTGGCTGGGCGGGTGCTGTCGTTCGATGCGGAGCGCGAGGTGGAACGCGGGTTCGATCGAGTACGCGGTGCGCCCACCAGAGCTGTGCGTGAATCAGCCTCTTCGTCTGATGAATTAGCCATGACTAATTGGAGGAAGGTCGAATCTCAGGATAATCCAGATCGAGTGAGAGTCTGGAAGGATCAACAGTAGAATTTGGGTCCCCAGAAAACTTCACGGTAGACGATATCCACCATTCGTGCAATTTTGAAACTGAAGTAGACGGCGATAACGATAACGATAACGATAAAGACACCCGTGGACCCGTCAAGTATAGCGATAAGGCGTAAAACCCCTAGAGCCCAGAGATTTTGTACAACATATATAGACCTTCAAGTATGTTACTTTTGAAGGTATTTTGATCTGGTAGCTCCTTATCAGAGCAGGAGTAGACCTTCTTGGCTTGGGCATCAATATACACCAGCATCCCTATAAGCCAAGATATGCATACAGAGGTACCTATTAGAAGCATGCAAGCTTGAAGGAGAGAACAAAAAGCACAAGATGAACAAATCTCCGAATAACCTAATAGGTCAGTTAATCGAGATCAATATGATCTAGACGGACAACCGTGACAGTAAGTCCTTTTGGTTCCCGTACTATATTCGGCACGTATAAATCTATTTGGCCAATGATGACAGTGTGAACAAGGACCGAAGATGTTACCTCCAAGGAACCATGAAAATTTCTTCAGGCAGGGCGTTGTCTTTGGCGTCAGATCTATCCGTGGAATATAGCAGATTGATCGACGCCAAGAGTGGGGTTAATTTCGTCTTTGTAGGTCCCAAGTCCCAAGTGCCGATGTTATTATGGATAACATAGATCATTAGACTCAATATTCAAAAGTACTGTTAGCTATCTATGGACCGTGGTCTAGGCCCACGGACCGCGATCATTCAATGTGTTTTCCCAGATCCATCGAGTTAGGGCACCCTCCGTTGCTAAATCAACCAGTTCATTCCACAAACTTGATATGGCGATACTGGAGAATTATCTAGCAAGCACCAGCTTCTAAAGGGCGAAAGGAAGACCCATCCTTTCTTCCCTATCGATGGCAGACAGGCCTACATAGAAGTTCAGAATCCCCCAATGATTAGGCGATTCCCCTACCAACAATTGCCACAGCTTATATCAATTGAGTACTATCACCGACTTCTACCTACTGATTCAGAGCAATATTTGACCCCGGAGCTGGTTAGCACTGTCAATACGAGCAGGAAGAATCGGTGGGTGAAGGAGGCCGTGCTCCAGGCACGGCAGACTATTGCTTTTCGTTTAAAGTATGTCCATATCCACTTTTTGTTATAGTGTCGGAAACTTCTTACCGGACAAACGCATACGGTCACGAAGCTGAGGGTAATTGTATAAGAATGATTGGTCGCTTATGTGGCATTGTCGGGCCTTTTTTTTTCTCTTTCACGGGCCTTCTTAGATATCTATTGAATTTTTACGGGGGAGGAAGCACAAATCGTGTAGAAAACTATATGCGTATAATCCGGGATGTATTAATATTTGATGCCTAATTTGGTTATCCCCGGTATGAGCACTATGATATCCTGGGACAATCAGGAGACAAGAATCAAGAAAAAGGAGTCGTTTTGGAGCCATAGCGAAGCAAAGGTGGCCAGGTTTCTATTTTAGCCTGTTCTTTAGGCATCCATGGGTGTCTCGAACACATTCGCCCCATAAAAGAAAAAATGTCAATGATAAGATTTGAAGAAATCCTCACTAAACTAGAAGAGAAAAAAAATGACTATATATTCACCAATTGAGGAAGCTTCCCCCTTTACCAAACCCTTAATATAAAGTACATGTACGATGTAGTTTAAGTCCATTCGGGCTAGATTCCGCACATGCATACGTTTTGTATCAAGGGCCAATTATGCATTTGCTCCGATTTAGGCCAATCTCAAAAGCCAGGAAATAGATTAGGGGTCAGAATTAATCTAATTTTAGACAATCTAATAGAGAAGACAGAAAAAAAAAAAGATAGTCTAGAAAAAAAAAGACGTGAATCAGAGAGCTCTTCCGCACCCCGTGACCGCAAGCCGATCCAACCGGCAAACTCCAGTCTGGGCCGTGCCACCTCATCCCCACGCTCCTTTTCATTCTTCTCTCCTTCTCTCCATCCAACTTATTCTTTTTTCTTTTGGATCCAACCGTCAAGCTGGCGTCCGACAATTCAAAGGTGTCTTCCCTGTTGACCCCCCCGTGGCATCTCCTTCCCTCCGGATGTTGACACAGGGCCGCAGCGGCTATCTCCAAGCATGACCTCAAAACATGGCCGCCGGAGGCGATCCAGCAGTCTTATCTACCAGGAACCGGCCGAGTCTATTGAGCATACCAGCGATCAGGCCGCATTGCCAAATCTTAATGCAAATTGGGTGAATGCCAAGGGTGAGTGACCCAAAAAAGCTGATCCTGGAGACCACATATCACCAGATACAGAAACCAAATACTAACGTGAGATTCTGTTTTGATTTTAGGTGCCTGGACAATTCATTTTGTGTGTATCGCCGCTCTCAAGATTTTCTACGACATCATTCCTGGCGTCTCGCAAGAAACATCGTGGACCCTCACCAACATCAGCTACATGTTCGGATCCTTCCTCATGTTCCACTGGGTGCGGGGTATCCCCTTCGAATTCAATGCCGGTGCCTATGACAATCTCAATATGTGGGAACAGATCGACAACGGCGACCAATACACACCTGCCAAGAAGTTTTTGCTCTGCGTGCCCATCGTGCTCTTCCTCCTCAGCACTCACTACACCCATTTCGACTTGACCCACTTCACCATCAACTTCCTAGCCACATTAGGAGTGGTCATTCCCAAGCTGCCTTTCGTATGTTTTATCTTCTTGGAAACAGGCGAAACTCATTTACTAACTTTTTGATTACAGTCGCATCGGTTGCGAATAGGTCTCTTCTCCGATATACCCGAGGAGTCATAGTGCCTCCTATTTAATCTTTTCTTTTTTCTCGAATTGTTATCCATGTTGGCGTATCCACAGCCTTCTTGATTTCCCGAGCTTTCTCGCTGTCCCCTCCTTTTCTTCATAAAAGGCCTTTGCATTGCGAAATTGATTGCCGGGGATTTGAACCCTTCTTGGCCAGTGCGCATCCTGTTCCTCTTTTCTTTTCGTCGGCAAATATGAAGACGCAGAAGTCACTGCGAACCAGTCCAAATTCCCACCCTTTCGGTCTGCCTTAGGCAGCTTATCCTTGTCTAGATTTCCCGGTATCCGAGCCCTGCATTTTTTACTTTAACAAGAGTCCATTTTTTCAGGTCCCTGGTCTCCCTTTTGAGACTTTGGGCTGTGTAATGTAAGGGTCATATATATCTCTTCACATGGAAGTAAGCACAACTTGAGCTTTGATTGGGTAATGCAGGTCAATCTCTTGGCTGGAGTCTTTGCGGGGCCTAATAATGCATCACGGCTATGATGAATTAGAATGAAGTATCTATCACTTCATAGCCCTCAAATATCCGAAGATTGATGTTCAAATAAAATACAATAGTAGTGGCGTTGAGATTGGTAAATCTATTTGGTCGTCTTGGTGGTTTTCTGATGTATTGCTTCTTCCCTTGATCACGGCTCTAGCTAGATTCACAAGAAGAATTGGCCGCAAAATATAGAACACAGTAAAAACAGCAAAGAATCTGCAAAACTACTTTGCCATCACATTTGACTAACAGATACAACTCTACAAGCCCTAAATGCTGAGGTTAAATATGCAATTGGGACATATATATATATACCACCATGCCGTACTATAACAAAAATTGACACCCGTGGTATCTTTATTCCTTCTTAATCTAATTGCACTTGTTTATACGTTGTAGACTCAATCCGCTTGCTTTTTCCGATGTCATTGAAAATATATACAGCTATGTATCTAAAGCTGCGCTGAGATTTTGGATCTTTACCAAACACCATAATACTTCAGCATGTCAACCACAGGACTCACCATGCATTGGTCTCCCAGGTCATCCATATCTTGTTTATATATGCCCCCGGTCCTTGTTATTGTACAGCAAAAAATAGCGAAGCTCATTGTTTGTATACTTTCCACCGCCTTTGTTTCCGCCCTCGAAACAAAGAAGTTCAATCTTTTTTTAGAAATGATTATCAAGACCTCTTTTATCTGATGGACTACGCTGTCATATAAACACATCTCTAAGTCTTGTTTTGAATTTCTTATGCTCTTAAAGTAATGTAACATATATCAACATCCAACTGTCTACTGTTCTGCCGGACATATACCTCTTTCGACGCGCCATACGCCATTCTCCACCGCGAATCCTTATCGATAAGCGCGTTGCTGCCAGCTCAAAATGTATCTTTTCAGCTGGCTTTTCAAAACCCCCCTATGCCGACTACGGAGACCATGGACGAGGTACCACATCGGTCACCCGTGCCCCTTCAATGGGAGTTGGCTCGACAGACGGAAATTTTCCTCGAAGACTCACTATGTATGTTCCCTTTTCCCGTGCTTTGAAGTGTGCGGTTGAACACCAAAGAGACACTGCTAATAACCTCTCGCTTTCTCGAGATAGGGCCGCAAGCGTATAGCCTTCTCTTCAATGTTCTTGCTTCCGGCACGATCTCATCAACAAAAGCAGTGATTCCGCTCCCGCAGCATCTCGCCGTCGCAGCTACGATGCTCGTGCACCCAAGAACGACAACGCGCGCCGAATCGGAGTATGAAAAAGAAGCACCCAATGCAGCTTTACGATTTCTTCGCCTGACAAACTCCCGTGTTGGTCCCGTGGATGCAAAGTTTAACCTCGCGTTCAACTTCACCCAGTTCGCATCTTCGCGACAGGGTAGGCGGCGCGGGGGGAGCCCGATGCTCATTGAGCATGACAATCCTGATACCAGGCCTCTGAATACGAAATTCAACCAAGCTTCTTCGCTGTGGCACTGCGCAGAGGATTTTTGGCACGCCGTCGGATGGGCATTTAACTGTTCCGTACTTCACCCGGCGCGGTGGGAGCGCTGGCAGATATGGCTCCAGTTTATGTGTAACGTACTTGAAGATGACTGGAAAGAGCGTGAAAAGAAATACCTCGAGGCAAAACAAAGCCAAAGGGATACCTCGGTTTGGTCAGAGATGTCAGGGAAATCGGAGGGGAGCCCGCGCAGGGGACTGAACCTGCCAAGAAAGAAAGACGCAGGGGCAGAAAACCTAAGAGTGAGGTAGTGGCGGTGCATGATGATCTCGGAATCTTTCGAGAAAGCCTGATCTATCGTTATATCGTCTCAAACACCACAGCTGGACGAGACCGCAGAATCATGCGGGCGATCTTTGCCAATGGCAAATCAAACCCCGGCGAGTTCAGGGAGGTATTCAACGATGAACTGAAAATCCCTGTTCCTGAACAAGACTCCCATAAGACCAAGAAGAGGGCCGGTGAGATCAACCTTGATAAGGATGACTATGGCGACTACCTGGACATTTCGGACGAGGATTTCGAAGGTGATCAAAGCTCGACCTCGGTATCACCTTCAGCCCAGGGATCGAATGCAAGCAAGCCACGGCGTAGCAAGCGCACCCGACGAGGAACACGAAACGCAATGGACGAAGCCACAGACCCCGTCAAGATGCCCAAAGGAAGCCAAACATCCTCCAACGAAAACAGTAATTTATCCCCGCTAGGCGGCTACACCTCCCTCGCCCTCCGCCAACAACTCCTCGGCATCCTCTCCAGCGTCTCGGAAAAACTACCCCGGGACTTCTTGCCCTTAGACAACCTCTACGACATGTTCGTCGAGAATATCCGCGATCTCTCCCTCCCGCTCTTCCAACACTTCATCGCCCCATCTAACCTCCCGCACCTCCTCCCCGAGGCGCACTCTACTCTCTGCGAACTCCTCCTCTTCGTCTTCCGCGAGAGCTCCGCACCAAGCTCCGACAACAACTACCTCACCCAGGCCAAGCTGGAGGAATGCTTCCTTCCCTACGCGGCGGCTACCTCAAACGTTGGAAACAACGCCAAGGTCTCTATCCTGCTCGAGGCCCTGATGACACTTCTGCATAAGAACAATATGCTTTCTGTCACTCCTTCGCTGGCTAAAGCTGTTCGGTCTGGAATTGCGCGTCGTGAACAGGCTAGTCGTGACCGGGGCTCGATTGAATGGGCTTACTTGCAGGAGAGTGGGTTTAGGATGAGGTTCATGGTCGAGCATATCTTACCATGAAGTCTTTGTATGGGATCAGGGAAGGCCGGTGTTGTGGTAATGACTTTCATGATGGTAATGATACTTAATGATCATAATTTAGGCGTCTATGGGTGCTTATGAAGCGTTTGAATGCCCTCTGCTTTTCCCCGGGTTGAATATTAATGATTGTGAGATATACTTTGGGACCAGGGAGTACCTGTGCTGTCTATATATTAAATGTCAATTCTTTTAGCTTACCGCTGAAGGACTATCCTACGGACGTGTGGTCATTTTATATAATTCGGTATTTGCTCAAATGTGTTTATTATAGAATCTAGAGTATAACAGCTGCTATCTACAAACAACCACATCGCGTCAAAAAACAAAATAGGCTGGAGCGGGAATCATAGCACGCAAATAATAAAATAATCCACCAACGCAGAAATATGACGGTAAGTCTTCTGCTTCAATGATGATATCCGCCCACAGAGATAGGGGGAATAGAGCCCAAAAGAAGAAGCAGGAGAAAACAACGATAAGTAGAATGGGGCAAGAACTCGAAGACACAAGAACTCTAGGTTGAATGGGTAGGCTCAGAATTTGCCAAGACAAGTCAACAGCTTACCGCGGTGGTCGGGGCCCAATAATCTGACGCCTAGCGCCGCCAACACCAAGCCCAACACCGCCACGGTTCTGATTGTCACCACCCATATAACCATACTGATGAACATCCCAAGATTGACCTGGTCCTGAGCCTTGCGTGGTATCTTGGCCGCCACGTTCGGCCGCAGCCGCCGTCTGCTTTTGGTTCTCTTCCCATTCCTGCTGGCGCGCGCGTTCACGCTCCATCTCTCGTTCCAGGAGGGACTTGGACGCCCAGCCGCCGGCTTTGGTCTTCTGCTGTGAGGCTGCGCGGCGGCTATTCTCAGCATCGACCTCGGAAGTCGCGGTGTAGTCTTGGAAGCGGTGGGTGGCTGGGGCTGGGGCTGTGGGGGCTGGGTTCGAGGCGAGGAAATTGTCCACGCGGTTTTCGTGGCCCCGGCCGGCACTGTAGGCTACTGGGTCTGGTAGCGGCCGGGGCGATGCGGGCAGGTCCCTCGGAGGGAGCGTTGGCATCGGAGAGGAAGATGATGGCTTTGGTACTGGGAGGGGACGAGGGGGTTGGGGTGGTGCTTGCTCCTCGATGGGTTCCGGTTCCTCCGCCTCGGAAGCCGCGGGCATATCCTGCGTATTTTGCCATTCCTTACGTAGGAGTCGCCGTTCCTGCTCCAGGGAAGAAAGATCGTAGCTAGGCTTGGGGGGCACGGGATGAGGGCGACTTTGACTGCGAGGCTGAGGCTGATCGCCAGTTTTTCCAGCCTGGACTTCCTGACGTCCGGTCTCATACTGACGCTCCCGGTCCTTTGCCAGCTGTAACTCACGCTCAAGCTCTTTGATGCGGCGGCTTTGGGCTGTTTCCTCAGCCGGCGTGGTTCCGGCCACATCACTAACCTGGGAGCTGGAGGCCTGGTATTGGCTCAGGAACTGACCATTGAGACGGTTATCATTCAGACTTCGTCTCTTTAGGCGCTCCTGCTCAAACCGCTCTTCGGTTTCCTTTTCTTCCGCCACACGTCGCTGCTCTTCCGCTTCCCATTGACGCTTTTCATCGTCCCAACGCTTCTTTTCTGCTTCCACCCGAAGGCGTTCTTGCTCCCTTATACGAGCGGTCTCTTCTTCCCATCGGCGCTCCTCTTCTACCTTGGCATGGGCCTCCTCTTCTGCAACCTGTCGCTGATGTTCCCGTTCTGCCTGTTCCTTCTCCGCGTTCTGTTGACGAATCCGTTCATCCTCTTCACGCCTGCGCTTCTCTTTCTCCGCAAGGCTTGGTACAGCGGGTCCAGGAGTGGTGATCTGTCGGCGAGCACCAAATGCAATTCCTTGATTCCCTTGACTAGCTCCCCCAATATAGCCATATTGGTGAATGTTCCAAGCCGGAGTGGTAGCCTGCTCATCTCCTTTCTTGGCCCAAGTACTGTATGACCCAGAAGGCTTTGTAGGGCTGCCTGTTCGAGAGGGAAGTGCAGGGGCTCTCCCATCTCCGACGTTGCTGAAGGAGCGAGTTGATCGGGGTGTGTTTGCTCCGGTGCTCGAGGAACCCGTTGCATTGGGGCTGACCACATTGCGCTTACTCTGTGGGCCAACGGTTCGGGGAAACTTGTTGGGCGCAAGGGCATTGGCCCGCCGACTAAATGCAGCCAGGCACTGGAGAACCTGCGCCGGATCCTTTGCTTCGTAGAGATCGACTGTCAGGAAGACATCGTGCGGGGGAAGGTTGAGCGGTGGCAATTGGCATGCGCGCAAGAAATGCGAAATATTCTCCATCTGTACAAATGGCGCGGACAACTGCTTATACTTCACGCCCGGTGACACAACTAGATTTACCAGCCTTGTAAATAAGGGAGTTAGCCAGGGGCCCAGGCTGGTGGATTGTACTTTAGAACCACAAATAAAACTCACTTGCACAGAGCAACGCCATCTTTCAAGCCTTCAAGCAAGTCTGACGATGCTAGTTTCTCATGCAGCACTTCCTCTATCCAGTCGCGCACCTCCGCGGCTGCCTGCGGGGTATAGCGGGATAGGCGCATATTGCGCAAATCCTTGTCTAGCGAAGTCACAGAAGCCATGATGAGATTCGGATGATCGATGCTCAATCAGAGGGATGGGAGAAGTGTAGTTGTATTATTGTTGCCACCTGGAGTGGTATGTATCCCTTTGCGGGTGCCTGATCGGCCCTAATGGTGGCTGGTGTTGGGTAGCAGAGGGGGTTCCGTGATACAATAAGAAATCGCAAGATGAAGAAACTCTTCAATTACTAGAAGTGCAAGAGGTCTCTAGTAAAGTAGGGATTAGAGACAAAAAAAAGGGGGGAGAGAAAAGCTGAGAGATATGGAGAGAAGAATGGAATGTCCGGGCTGTGTTTATCCCCGATGACGTTCCTGATAGTCCGCCTCAATCTTTTTTTTTTGCCTCACTTCTATTCTTCACACTCAACAATGGTTAACAGCTTATGGTTTAAATGGAAAAAGCTTCGCCTGCCCTGGCGGAAGTCCTTTCTGGTCGGTCAGTATCGGCTTTCTGATTTTCTCATGTCTCAGCGCTAACCATGTTTTAGGTGAGGATCTGGCCGGGAATACCTTCTGGGAGTTCAAAGATGTCATGAATGCAGCTCGGTTCCGACGCATTGTTCGATTCGATCCCAAAACTCATTTCAGTGATGTTCAAGTGACACGTGAGTTTCATCGCAGGGGAGATGCTGCCTCGACTCCGGGGCAGAGGGGAAGGAGACTATTGAATAGTATTTAACAAGTTATTTCAATCCAGCGCAATGGCACCAATGGCTGCGACATGTCCGTCAAGACCCCCCGAGCATCCAGGAGCAGCAGCAGGATCTTGTGCGACAGGCCCAAATCAAACAACTCGCCCGACTCGCCGATGAACGCTGGGCCAGCAAGGCTTCCTTCCTTGATAAACCCAAGACTCAACATCAAGCACCATCAACTCAAATCAATGAGGCGATCTTGAATCAGCCCGCCAAGGCTACTCCCGCACAAACACATACAACCATCTCCCCTGAACTAGCCCCAAAGGCCAAACCCGCACCTGCAGAAGCGAAGACACAAAAGGAGGAGAACCCATGGACCAAGGCCAGCAAGGCTAACCCAGGGGAAGAGTGGCAACCCGAAGCCTGGTCTCCTAGTTCCAAGCGGTGAATGGTGATCTGGGCTTGTTTTGTCATTCTTTTCGCAATGCTATATAAGCCTGACTTCAGGTATATGTGCTGGAAGGTAGAGACGGCCCTCGCCCTGCACCATTGGGCACTTTATCAGCACAAAAACATCTTTCAAGGAACCCCAGGTCATAGATGGTCTGAAGGCTATCTCATGCGGAAGAATCGTTGGACATCGCCCACGCTCCTTGTATGAGGATAGAGGTTATTGTGTATTGTGTTCAACCTCATAGGTCATAACAGGTGTGGCCCAAGCTGTCTCGGAGTTTCAAATTACCAGAGCCATATACACTGGCACTTGTATACTATGCCTCATTAGTACCCAGCGTTTCCCACATTATCTTACCAAGATCTTCTCGGTTGCGGCCATATTACCAGCAAGTCTACTGGCTATACAGACACAGGAGTGTTTTTTGTTTTTTGGATTTTCAATTTTTCTACTCTAACAAAACATGCCCTTTTTTTTGGATTTTGGTATTTTCCATGCTGCAGTGCAAGTGTCTTCCAAAAGCACAGACATAACCAATCAGATAGAATCACCAATGCATGCCATTTTCAGGCACATAAATCTCTTACCTTCTTTTTTTGTATTTTTCTCATTTTCCACACTCGCTGCAGCATAGGCACATCTCAAGCTTGTAAGAAAAGCAAGGACATTAAGCCCTTTTTTTTGGTTCTTTTGTGGTTTTGCGTGGCTTTCGCCTCATGAGCAATATTCCAGCCCAACAATAAAAGTCGCTATCAATGCTCAAAAACAATTTGAAGAACAATGGAGCATAGTAAGAGGATACCAACCTCCATATAACATCAGCCAATTTGTCAAATATCGACAAGGAAATAAAAATGACAAAGGCTAGATTAGATGTAGACCATGCGGTCCTCGCATCCGCTCGCCAGAGACAGGGCAGCGCCTTGTAATCCACTCGGATTTGGAATCGACTCGTTGCTCTCATAGTAGAAAGCCAACAAATACTTGCGGGCGCGATCACAGAACCGGTCAGCCAGGAAGGCAGGCGTGCTGTAACTAATTGAGCGAGTAGCCCGGCCCATCATGTAACAAATACTGTGGGTGAGTTCTTGCAGCACATCAGCTGGCTTGCGGTCCACATTAACCTTTGAGTTGGTGAAGATCTCATCATGAATCACGATGTAGTGAGCTGGTCGAGCAGAACCCTGAAGCGGAGCCTGGGCCTGCAGATAGAAGTCCCAGTAGATAGGACGGGTGACTGCGCGATCGACGACACATCCATTGAGTGGGTTGGAAGTTCTGTCTTGATCCTTGGAGTTAGTAGGGTAAAAGCGTACATTATGTCGCTTTCCACAGACAACGATAGTGATATTGGGCATTGCTCCACGGTATACCGCTTTGGCAGCCTCCTGAATTTTTGGAAGTTCCTCTTTAAGGACCATGGAGAATTGACCATCGCTGACACCGTCTCGGTACACGAGAATGTTTTGGGGAAGGTTGCCATTGTTGGTATCTTTCCATAATCTCAGGCGGGTAAGCATCATCTCCTTGAGGAATTCGATGTTCTCCTGACGGCGCGTTTGGGCTCGAACCTCACCAGGCCATTGTCCCATGCGATAATCAATAGATGCAACAATGCCAGCGATACTGGGGAAAGCTTCCGGGTCTGTACCCGAGGGATGAGTGACATCCAAGCCAACGACCATGGTGTTCTTCCCGGCGCCAATAAAGCGTGCATTCGATGGCTGCAGGAGTTGATTGCATCCACCCATTTTGAGATTGACCTTCATGGCGTTATTGCTCAGGTACTGCTCATTGGCAGGCATGAACTTGGAGTACTGCATGCAGTGCGTAAGGACACCAGTCTTGATATCTCCGGCATACTTGACGAAATCAAAGATCTTGCCCTCTGTGTCAGGAAGCAAAACAACCACGAATGGGAACACCCCCGCGAACTTTTTGAATGCTCCCCTGATGGCGTTCCGATTTTTATCATCAGTCAAATCGAGAAAAACCGAAATATACGGCTTGGAGGGTGGCGGGAGTGACATGCCATGGTCCCGCAATTTCCTATAAAAAGCGTCCATCTGGCTATCAGGATCTATGAATGGGTTTTTTTTCGTTTCATTGAACTTTTTCCTAATCAAAAGACAGGTCCATTTGGTGATTTGGGCGCCCTGGGCAAATCTGGTGTTGACCAAATTCCACGAGCCATTTCGAGGGCTAGCGGTCTTCTTGGCACCATAAAGCAGATTTGGGGGATTCAAAATTCGTGCTGGTACAGTGATCATCTGGTTGCCGGACTTGATCCCTAACGCCTTGGTATGGTCTCCAGAGATTCCCATGATGTCCAATCCCTCGCTCATAATAGAGGCATAGTTCTGAGGAGGCCGCCGGCAACTGAACTTGATCATATGCTGTCGTAGGACAGTGGCAGGGTCAGGCTTGTAGGGTTGCCCAGGGACGACTTCGCAAACCTCCATAGGAAGGTAAACCGGACGTTCACGGGTTCCAACGTTCACGACCGGCATATTATCGTGATATTTGAGGACAATATTGTAAGCTGTGATTTCCTGTTAGCACAAAGCACCTCAAATATCAAATGACAGGCACCCAACATACTTTTTTTGAAGTACTCGGTAACGCTGATGTAATATCCCTTCTTGTCATCTCCCATCCAGAACTTCACGCTTGAGGCAGAAGATCCCAAACGCGGAACGATTGGGGGGTGGACCGGGTTTGAACTCCCACGTCCGTCCTTAGGATTGGAAATTGCGAGGATTGATTTGATAGGTCTTTCCATCACACCAGCTCCATTCTCTCGGGGTTTGAGATGTGTGGCATAGATTTTCAAGCCTCTCAACCACCGGTTCAACACATTCCCATTCTGTCCTTCAATGGGCGTGAATTCTTGAAGTAGCCTGGCCAATGAAAATGGAGCGTAGAATGCGCCGTGATTGACATTCAAATTGAGCATGATTCGTCCAGCACAAACTCGGACACTTGAGTAAAACCCTCGAGCAGCTTCAGCGCCACCTTCAATCTCCACTGACTGCTTTCGGTGATCCATCCGGAAGAATTTATTTCGTCCCTTGCCGATGATGCAGATACCAGGATCTTTGAAGGGATAAGCACTCATGAGGATGTTCAGTACTCGAAGACTGGCAGCTTCATTCTGAATCAACTCTCGCTGGTTGATGTCCTCAATGGCCGCAAGCATTTCAGCTGGTGAATAAGAGCTGTCAAAATTTAGAGTAGTCTGCCAAGGGCCGGTATAGTTTGTCGAACTCCCACTTCCGTGCCCATTGCCATTTCCCATGGAACAAATGTATGGCGGTCTATCATCGGGGAGTGACTGGGCCGTGACAATCTCAGTGGCTCCATCAGTAGCAACACCGATCTTTTTGAAGAGAGAGTAGTTGCGGAGCATGCTCTCAAGAATGAACTTCTGTTGTCCTTTTTTTGCCGGGGGCTCAATCTTGAGTCGATACGAATAGAATCTGACGCCTGGTTTGAAGTCCATGGGGAAGAAATTGGCACGAAGCACGATCGAACGACCTTGAGTGCCATAGCCAGGACGCTGAGCCAAAGAATTGGCGAGTGGTCGAGCCTTTAGTGACTCTGCAACGTATCGGTCCTCAAAAGTCTGAACACGGGAGCTGGGGGCTTCAAAAGGGTCCGTCAACATTCTACGCACATGTTAGATGTAATTTCTCCGACGTAGAACAAATAAACTTGCCTCGAGGGCCCTTCGGACCCAGCAGAGCCGCCACGTCCACCACGACCACCTCCACGGTCACTACCACGGCCTCGATCTCCGCTGTAGCCGCGATCACTGCTACGGCTACTCGAGCCTCCATCGCCGCGGCCCCGGGAGCCGCCACGGTCACCACCACGGCCGCCTCGAATGGGCAGATCACCGTAAGAACGTCCGGACATTTTAGCGAATGCCGGTAGGAGAAAAAAGGGTAATCAGGGGGAAAAAAGTAGAATTCGAAAGTCAGAACGCGAACCTTGCGCGTTTCGGAGAAAGAAAAAGGTAAAATGACACGGATCTAAGGCCCCAGTTGCTTGTGTACTTCTGGGGAGGGTTCGAAAACGACAGGAGAAGGCAAAAGAACAAATCTTGGTACAGGTCAAGCGCTATCTTGACCACCGCAGGTTTCTTTTTTTAAAAAAAAAGAAAGAAAAAAAAGGCGAGTTGAGCTTCGAAATTCTGTAGTCATGCGTTAATAATGGTGATACATTATAATATTGAGATACATGGAGATAGTGATATAGAGACGGACCAATGCAGCAGAGCAATGGGCAATGCAGGGCAGGCAATGCGATGACGCAAGTACCTTAACCCACAGCCAAGAATGATGCCAATAAGAATGGCAATGCAATGGTAATGAAAATGGTGATGCAATGAAGATGCAAGATAGACCGCGATGATAGAATATCCAATGCGGGTAGGGATGTGGAAACAGATGCAGGATGGTGCAAGGGAAAGACTTCAGGGGAAGAGCGATGGATATCAGGGCAGAGTAGAAAAAAGGATTGTGCAGTAGCAAGCAAGGATATCAGAATAGATCAGGGGCAGCAAATGAAAGCTGAGGGGCATATAAGATACCTGGTCTTTGTGAGATGGCAAGTAAATGAAAAGTTTCTTGCAACTTAGAGCTTGGGTTAAAAGATATGCAGCAACCAAGGGGTAGCAAATGAGTACAGTGAAAGCAACAATTGATATGGAAGTGAGGGAAAATGAAAGGCAAGTGAATGGATGGTGAAGATCAAAGCAAGGTAAATCGCTTGCCTGTACAGTGAGAGAGGCAGAGAGGCTCACTTTCGTAGTGTCAGAGGTGCTGGCATGTAATTGAAGGGTACATGGAGTAATTCAGTGTAGAAAGACGAGATGATAGTGGTATAGGACAGTGTAAAGCAAAGCATATACTCACCAAAGCTGTTTCTGTATCGTGGAGAGGGAAGAAGAAGAGGAATAAGAAACTGGCTGGGGTGATATTTATAGTCGGAGCCGGAGCATAAAACACGCCTTCGTACAATTCAGTCATAGATAGGACTTGAGTATGGGACTTGGTATATGGGGCTCAGCATGGAGACTTAGCAGGGAAACTCGGTATAAAGGACTCAATATAAGAAATCAAGTAAGCCATGCCAATTCACGGTAATAGTAAAATAAGAAAGATCGAAAACGAAGAGATGAAGCTCACCAATTTGGCAGAAAAGGATGGATAATTCAAAATCCATAAAGCGTCAAAACGAGAGAAAAGTAGAAGCTACAGCGGAAGCTGGATAGTCACAAAATATTATAGATTAGATATCCACAGAAGAGTCTAGATATTAGAGTAGTCTAACATTTTGGGGGTGCAAGCACCCGGGCCCAAGCCTGAAAGCAAAACCGTAAGCTCCGAAAACAAACCAGATATTCCCAATGATATAACCCTGAAACACCAGCTGAAAAAAGCAGAGACAAGAAGCACAAGGAAGAGGAAAGTAAAAAAAAAATCGAATCAAAAACAAGGTTAACAGAGAACAGCTTCGAGAGCTTCAACGTCACCACCAGCACTGCGCACAGCCCTCAGTGCGGCTTCGCTGAGCTTGCGACGTCTATCGCGAGCTTCTTGCTCGCGGCGAGCCTTGGTCTTAGAGCTGCCGGAGGGAGCAACTCCGGTCAGGATCTTCTTGCTGTCATGGGCGGTAAAGTTGACAAACGATACGCTGACAGATTTGTTCACGCCTCGGGGCGAGGAGCCAGATGCCTTGGCGGGCTTGGGGGCACTCGTGCTCTGGCCAGAGAGTTTACGGCTGTGGGTGCGGCGATGGGTAGGCTTGGAAATGGATCCATAGCGGGTGTCAATGGGTGATATCTCAGCCTTGGGGGAGAGAGATGGTGAACGGGATACGTTGTGGATTTGGGAGGTGGTGAAGGAGGTGTCATATTTTTTGGGGGTGGCGGGTAGCATATTAGATGAGAATGAGTGGTCCGCCGACATGTCGTAGGAGGGGTTGAATTGGATCATTAGTCCTCCTTGCATCATGTCATTTTGGCTTCCAACGCTTTGCATGGAGCGCACTGGTGTGGGAGATGTGAGGTAAGCGGCCTGTTGTTGAGCCACCCTAGAAGGCATGGGAGACCACCATTGAGAATCTTGGCCTTGGAGGTCTGGGGTGAAGGAGAGAGATGAAGCATGAAGAGGGTCTGATTGCCAAGAGGAGATAGAATGAGGGTCGGATGAGTGAGATGACGAGAAAATGTCATCTGTAGAAGAGGGGCTGGAGTTGGTCAAGGTGGAAGAGCTTGGGTGAGCCATGTAGTGCTGTTGTTGCCGTGGTGCCATTGGAATATTTGGCGAAGGCATTGAAACAGAGGGAGACTGGTGATATAGTCTTGCGTCGAATTGGGGAGGCATCTCTGCCGAGTCTCTAGGCTGGTTCATGATTTGTTCGGTAGACATGTTTTCATGCTGAATAAGGACATCTGATGGAGGGGGCGACAGCGGCAGACGATCTTCGGGATTATGAAGATTGAAGTTCTGGATTCGCTGGGCCCAAGCCTCGGGATATGCCATTCTTCCGTTGGATAGATTAGAAGAGCGCATTAAGCTGGGAGAGAAAGTTTGCTTGCGCAAATTGGAGCGGCGCTCATTCGGGTTGCGATGGCGGATAGATTTGGGAGTGATGAGAGCGCTCTGGGCAGGCTTCCGTCTAGGGGTAGTTGGGGGAGTGGACGGCGATGTGGACAGACGGCTGGTTGCTGTAGGGCGAGAGGAAATTTCAAAGTTATTCACATTGACGTCTGAGATTGCAGAAGGGTGGACGGTGTCGTGGAAAGCAAAATGATCGGCAGCGGCTCCGTCATCCTGCAGGGGCCACTCATTACTCCAGGGTTGCGGTGATTGATGGCGTTTGGGAGTGGAGACAGGTGGAATATCGCCACATTCACTCGAAAGCGAGTCAAGCGGGAAAAGCTGATCAAAGTCGGCCAATGCTGAATCTTTTCCATCAGCGGCGCTGGTCTCCATATTAACGTATTGGTTGAACAAGTCATTGAACGAATGGTCGTAGGGTTGGGCGAACATCCTGTCTGATTTCCGTTTGCGGCGACAAGGTAAAAGAACGGGTCGATAGTGTAGTCAGCGAGTGAAGGTCCAAATACTGGATGTGATTGGACAACCAAAGATCTGTTTGAATAGCTAGAGCTTTGGTAGGGTTTGGGAATAGTTCGGGGAGGATCGACCCGGATCTCCGAAGAAAGTGCAAAGGATGCAAAAAAGAAGTGTTTGAATGTTTGAATGTTTGATGGTTTGTCAATCAAAGAAAACACTGCAGATGATGCAAAGAAAGCAAAGCAAACAAACAGATACAAGTCCTATTTGAATAGCTGCCAGGGACACCAGCCTCGGAATTTCTGGACACATTCCAAGCTCTAAAGATGGACAAGGAATGTGCTATGAAGGGCCCGGTTGGCTCCTGGATGGCTCCACCAACCCCCCCAGAAGAATGATTCAGGACTCAAGCCAATCATAGCCGGCGGAAATATGAATGGCTGGCCGACCTGTCAATGTTCGTCAAATCCTAGAGAGGTGCCGTTACGGATAGCCACCCACGGGAATGTAACCCTCCTTCACTAAGCCAGAAGCAGTGGGACAGTCATCAAATGAGTTGGCAAAGCGGGTCTGGAGAGGATTTGGGCATGTTGACCCGATACCTTTAACTGGAGATCGGCATAACTCCCAAGAGCAAGACCGTTAGAGGTTAGGAAAGGAAATGGGTCGGAACGCTCTCCGAGCCAGGATTGTGCAAGGAACCAGGACCAGCGATACAACTGAGGCAGGAGGATGATCACCTGTCAAGTTCCAAGGTTGACACCTGCAGTGTAAGCGTCATGGAACCTGTTACCCCATCATCAATCGCCCGAAGAAGACTTGAATTGGGTGACAGTATGATCGATAGCACACTTGGCTACATACTTCTTTCATTTCCTTCATCATGATTAGCCAATCGATCCAATTGCAGTGGGGTTGATATTGTCCATTGGCCAATGTCCTGCTAGTGATAGACGGTTCGGAATGTGAGTTGAATTGTAGCGGCTGGGCGGAATGTCACATCCTGAGCAATGCACAGAAGAGTTGTAGGTATTCGAGAAGGACAGATTTGCCTGGGAAGCCCCAGTATGTATGTGCATCCCCCTGGTCGGAAATTTAGAAACCTTGACCTGCAGGAGATCGCCGTCCAGGGCCCCTATCTGGGAGTGTTTGCTTCGACCCCATGTTCTATATTTGGACTGCATGAAGTTGATCAAGATAAGGCCTAGTTGAATGCAGCAAAGAACAAACCTTTTCCTCGGCATCAGATAAGGATCTCCTTTCTCCTTCAAAATAACCCAGGTATCATTGAATAATCCAGGTGCAGTCACTGGTTCTCCGATGGGGTGTTTTTTCATATCTCGAATCATCATTCGTCAATTCGATTTCGTCAATTTAAAGATATACAAATGATTTGTAGTGCATTGGTGGCATGTCAATGTGTGTGTTGCTTCCTTTTACGTCCTTGCTGTGTTTGAGGTTGAGTCCGTTGAGTCCAAACACCACCAACGAAGTAGTCAGTCCCAAAAACGAAGTATAGATTCATGTGAGATCGCAGGATTGTGAAGTTCAGATAGAATGAGAGTCATTTGATCGATTTTGAGGCCAATATTTGGTATGGGTGAAGCCCCAAGGCGCTTTGAATCAGCCTGACAGGCGTACAACCAGTCAGGTAGTTGGGCATTTTTATTCAAACGGAGTCTAAAGCGCTAATGCAGAACGCAGCCAGACTATAGTACCTAAATGAGATTAGAAAGACAAATAGAAACAAAATGAGCATTGGAGTCAAAAATCAACAAACCTAGTATGTTGGCGATGCGGCAATAGTGTGTGGCCCTGTTCAATATTTTTTGTTGAGATTTATGCAATCAGCAAGGACTTAATAACAACACTGGAAGCTAAAAATGTCCCTAGGAGATGTGCGGACACTCAGTATCACATCTCAGCAGGATCCTAAAAATCTGAGCGTGACACTAAAAAGGCAACTCTCGGCTGAGATGTACTCTATACTCCGTACTCCTCAGGCTATTCTCAAAGGCTGATATTGTGCAGTCGTATAGAATACTCTCATAAGAGTACTATAATTTGTTATTGTTTATTCACAATAGACAAAGAAATGTATTGTTCGAATGAACTAGAAATAGATTGCATCATGACAAAGAGCCCGATGGGCAAAATCCCAAAAGGCGAAGTTCGGGCTGAGTCAGATGACATGAATTCGGGGCGACCCTTTCAATCTGACCTTGCTCTCTCTCTCTTCCTTTTCTACTAGGCCACTTCAAACCGTGACCTTGGATCCTTAGCTCTCTATCGCTATTACTGCTCTTCTGCAGTCTCCTGTTTTCTTCACACTTCCCTCATCTGCACTTTGGGTTGTCGCTTCTACCCGTGGACTCCGAAGCCGTGACTCAACCCGGTTTTGCCCCTCCGTCACACCCCGCGAATCGTGGGCTACTCTTCTCTTTTCAACTTTCATCTCCGCTCATCTCCTCTTGTCGCGCCCTTCTTCTGCGATAAGCCTGTTTTTTTTTAACGAGACACGTCACGACCCTTGCTTCTCTCGCGACATTCCAACGCTTTCATCGCGTCGCGCGAGCACCGAGCACCACACCTCAACTTTTCTCCTTGCCACCTTTCTGTATCATACATGCATATCGACGAAACCTTTGACCTCTGTGTTATCCGTGACCGAAGCCAACTTATTTTGAATCACCACAGCAACGAACCTCGATCGTCTTGTTCCGCATTTCTGACTGGCAAGAAAGCACCCTTTTACATTTAACTACAAAGCATCTATCGGAAATCATGTCTTCCAACATTTGTGCTGGGGACAAGTTTCCTTAGTCTTTTACACGTTTCCCGTGTGCCTTCACTATGCACTTTTCACCGTGCTTTGCAGGCTTTCGACGCCCTTGCTATTTTCTTTACTCGCTTTCGACTCACTGATCGCACCTTTCCAACTTTGTTGTCCCATAAATCCTAGTTTTCTTGCCTAGGAGTGCTCAGCTACGAGCACAGAGCCCTCAGTCTCGAAATATTTGGGCAGTTTGACAAATCACACAAAAAAAACCTGTCTTGCTGAAAGCATGGACAAACCAATCACTGAGCAAATGAGCAACTCGGCCCTTCATCGAAGCTCCTGGAGCTCTGTCTCATCTACCTTCTCCACCCTCGAAATGTCTTTCTCCCATGACAGCTGCTATGGCTCGGATGAAGTTTCGGTTACATCGAATGGTTGCACCCCAGCTCAATCAGGTGCATCGAATTCCACTACCAAACCGAACTTACGTCCTTTCTTGAAATCGATCCTCAAAACCTCCACCATTGCCTTTGATGACTCCGATGAAGAGTCCGATTCGGAATCAGGCTATAGCTCGGATGGAATTGATTCTGAGTACGATGCACTCTCCGATGAATCCGACGAAGACGACGGGGATGAATCCGACTTCTCGGTCTGGGATGACACAAATGGGGAGGTACCTGAGACGCACGAAGACCACACAGAGTCGTTCGACGATGCCTTCATCTCTTTTGAGGAGAATTCAGTGCGCTTTGACCCGAAGGTGGAGTACATTGACAGCGTGGAAGTATCAGATGATGAAGCTCCTGATCATCAAATGACTTGCCATGAAATGATGATGCTTGCTCGGGACTCCAAAGGTACCCAAACGCTTCTGGATCAACTCGACAAAATGGACATGGCCGATTCCGATTCCGATGAAAATGACCACCCAGAGTTCGTTCGCAAACCCGCCAGCCAACCGGAAGAATTTTCTCGTGATGCCGTAGACTTGGACTGCAGCCTCTTTGTCGCTTACATGAATGGCATCCACGGGATTGCCACTCCGAAGTACCAAACATACCTTCGAGTTCAGGTTGACCACATACGCTTGGGCAAGGATACCGAATTCGTGGATCCAGAGAGTGCGCCTTCATTGTACCTCGACCTAGTCTCCAACCATGTCATTGGCACCTTCTGTAATCTCCTCGCTGAAGACGAGCTCAATGAGCTGATTCGACTCTGCGCAGAAGAGCAAACCGGCGCTCAAAATGATACAAGCTCACCGACCCTAGACTTGGATCATCACCAAGCACTCTTGAACAAGATCGAGAAATTCCTGCTGGATAGACTGGCGAATGGACGCGTCGACATCGGACCTGATGAGCTGAGCTTCTTCGCTGGCGGCATTGCACACGAACTCGGAACCAAACCCTTGCCTGCACAGGTCTAAGATCTGCTTGCACATCGGCAAACAAATACCACGACTTTACGATTATGAGAAAACGTTTTCTTTCAGATTCGCCGACTATTCGGCGAAGGGCACAAAATGGGACGGCTCTTGAGCCAGGAAAAGCATTCAAATTTCTCACGGGTTGCTTTCGGGCTAGGATTTGACAGTGGTCATGTATTTTCCCGAACTAGCACTTGAAATAAGAAAAAACAATTTCAAACCTTCCGATGTTTTCCAGTTGAACCCTCCCGTCGTAGATGTAGCTTAGTCAGTTTTTTCTGCCATCCATCCATGCATGAATCCCGTTATCTCGTATGACTCCCGGGTTAAGTACCCGACCAGTCATTCTAGTTCGCCCTCTTTTCCCACCCCATAACCTACTATCCGAATCTCGGGTAAAGCGAGTACAGACGTAATAGGCCACCCTTCACTCCAAATAGCTCACCCTTGAAGCATAAAGCCTCCGATATCACATCAGCCCATGTAACGGCTATTCAACCTCCCATAACTTATTCCAACTCCCAGGTACTCTGCATCCTTGGTCACAATGTACACATATATATATATATATATCTGTAGGCATTTGCACTCTCGCATTGCACTGCCTTGCTCAGCCGAAGTTAGGTATTTGCGGTACGATTACATGATATATATCTCGCATGCAACAACCAAACCAGGTATCACCAGCCCCGAGCTGGACGTTTCAGAAAACCCTACTAGCCCCTGAAACCCCAACTACCCTCATACATACGCTGTGTGTTGTGTTGTGTACAACATACATTTACACCACGCCATTCTCCTGCCAGAAATATCTTGGCACTTCTCTAACGCGCTTGGTACGCCGGGGAAGCCCCTTCATCCCTCCTAGACCAGCTAGTAAAGGGCCTAGACACTAGTGGACGTTCCAGCCGGGTGAAGCTTTGATTTTCTTCCTTGTAGGGTAGGGATGGGCCAATGTATTTTTGGAGGTGTGTGCGGCTAGTGCGGTAGTTACTGGTTATACACCGTGAGGATCTTGCGAGGCAGTACAATGGAGACCGGTCAATAGTCGATATGGCTCGAGTCGATTACTACTGACATATCCCATAGGGGGCTTTCAATCTGGTTTTTGCTTTGAGTTTCTTCATGGGACGGGACGACTTTTTGCAGCGGGTAATTATCCACTTAACTCCATTAGGATCAACGGGGATTGTCGTTTCATTTGAGGGTGAAAACGGAGTTGGATGCTCGCTTGTTACTCCTTAGTTAGATGATGGGTGGCTTGAAAATCAGGTATCGGACGGTGCCAAGCTCTTTACAGGTTACAGGTTCCATGCGTGTATGTTGGTAGTAGGGAGTTAGTGCTCTGAGGGGTATATCGGATAGGTATCTTTATGCAGTGATGATCACCCCGGGGTTTGGAGATAGCGACGGTAAATCCAACAGGAGCAAATAAATTGAATGTGAGCACTCCGTCTGTACGCTTGGATCTATCCAATATGCATGCCCTCGGAAGAATTGACCATATCGGGGTTGACAGATCATATAAAAATGGTCAGTTGTGCATGTCCAAAATCGAAGTGTCAACTGGCCGTTTTTAATTAAATTCTCTGTCGATCACAACGGCGCAGAGCACAGACAGCATCGGGAGTAACCTTGGGAAGGTAAAAGATACACTAAGGCACAGCATATTCCGTAAGGAGTAAGGAGGATTTTGTTAAGACTTTGGGAAGGATGCGGTGAGGATGATCTAGTGGGAACTGTCTTTTGTTTTGTCTTCTCTTTGTCAATTTTCTCGTTCCAAGGTTGTCGAACTCGCTGTGGATCGTTGACGATCACCTCTTTCCGCATTTGGAAGATATTCTGCTGTATAGCGTGCGGGTCGATAGAGTCGAAGAGCCAATGACAATACATGTATGAAAGTGCATAGAATATACGCCGTACTGCGTCATCCACGTTGTATGGGTCTCATGCGAAGAGTACATAGAGCATATGTACCACGGAGAAATACAGCATAGACGAAGAGGTCGCGGAGATTTTTGGCCAATCCGTCAATCTGAATAATCAGTCTGCCGATCACGGCAGGATCCTTACGTTTATTGAAGTCTCGGTGGACGCTAGGATGTGGAGCCGTGAAGGATTGTCATGAAGGGTTTGACAGCTAGGGACCATAGTGGAGAGTTTCCTTCCGTATGGGGGTATGTCGACTCCAACAATGGAGTTCGGGGAGGGGATATGCCCGCTGGTTCTAGGGCCAGGGGTCGTTTGGGAACCAGTTTTTTTCTGATGACGATCATCAATTGTAGTCATAACCACGCGTGCTGTGGTGCGATGGGGCTTACGGGGATGGAAATGCCGACGGGGCCGTGGAGGCTATTCGATGAAACCGTACGGAGGAGAAATGACGATATTTCAACGCTGGCTATAACGTGAAGTGTTACATTGTGCGATGCGGGTGACTCCTGCATGAGATAAGCCGAAGCTCGTACTTGAATGGCGCCCTCAGACGTGGATGTTGTACATCGTAAGCTGCTTCTAGGGCTCAGCATGGCACGAAGCACCGATCACAGAATATGCACGAGGATGAGATTTAATATATTATTGGATCTATATAGCAGCTCCGCAAGGTACACGAACAATTCGTGGATGGTATAGAGTACTCCGTACTCCATACACTGTAACGTTTCTCATCATTGTTTTTCAGGAGTCTCGGTAAGAACTTCCTGATCTTCTTACATGATTCAAGTTGTGACAATGTCCATTGTTACTGCTAGTGCGCGCTACGTACTGGAGCTGGCAATAGTCGCGGTAACCCTATATTGTTCATTGCCACATGGGCCCACTTGACCCGAAGTCCTGTCATCTCCGATGGTATGCTCAGGTGGGTACGGAGTACACCGTATAGATTCCGTCCATACCGTAGACTATCTCGTCGCTTCCCCAGCTCTCACACTACATCATCAGACAGTATTCTTGACCTCTCCGGAGTAGTTCGGTTAGGATGCAATCCAATAACTGAATCGAGTGGTATTTCCGGGGTGGGCGTTCGGCAAAGAAACTGATTGGACGATCCAGAGTGGACAGAGAAAAGGTTCCGATCAGGTACGGGGGAGCACATTGGGGGCCACTTCAGCAGATGCTGATTGGGGAAATTGATTGTAATTTGAATCTCTCTGTCTCAGATATTCCAGTGTTCCAGGGTTTTCTGGGAATTTTGGCAATCTATATAAAGTTTCCAGAAACTCGAAAATGGTGACGGCGTACCCGTAGCATGGCATTTCTGCGCCACAGGCTTATCCTCGTGTGCCCCTGGGAACCCGTGGAACGGCTGAGGAACGTGTGGAAAAAGGATGCTATGCGCTAACAGCCGCACTACCGAATCTGCCCCGTCAAGCAGCGGGTCATACTTAAATGAAATCTATCACACAATTAGAAATACTTCCCGTGATACATCCTGTAAGCCCCCCATGTACGGAGTACCCTGGCTGCACACCCTAGGTAGCCTTCTCTTTGGGAATGAATCGATGCAAAAATCAATAATTGCACCCAGAACGGAATGGCGCTAAAGGCTATGTGAGTGCCCCCACCGCCCAAATCCATGGAACCTCATTCAATGATTGGACGCCCACACCCAATGGGGTATGAAACGAGGTGCCAGCGGGGCACTTTAGCGTGCCGATCGCTGGAACAATCTTCTGTTTTTCTTTTTCTCTGTCTTTCCGTTTCCCCTGGAGCGATCGCGATGGGGGTCCCTAGGTATTGTGTTTTATTTCTTTCGATAAGGGGAACGGGGAATGACTCTTCAATAAGATAGTAGAGGGACTGGAATTGAGATGAGGTGAATGGCCTCCGTTTAGTGTTTTGAATAGAGGAATAACCTAAATAAGGTACAGGGGGCGGTCTCTACAATGCAACCCGAAAAGAATGGTGTAAGGTAAGATTGTAAGATTTGTATACAATTGCTCCATAAATTATTCGGTGGTCGACCCCGAATATTCCTAAATCTCCACTGACTCAGGTCGAATAATTACTCCTGACTGTCTCTCTTTCTCCCGTTGATTCTCTCTCATTCTTTGGCTTCTTTCTACTTTCCCTATGCCAATACGGTATGACCACCCACCGTATCTTTGATTCAAACAGGTAAGTTGGAAATCCATCCTTCCATTGTCACGGGGGCGCCGTCGGGGCACATGCAGTCGTACAATGGCCCCCCAACTTCCCTCAAGTCAGATTTCACCCGCAGACTCGTGTCAGACTGACGTTCCTAGGAGTACAGGATGATTTAGAAATTTCCATTTCTACCCAGCGCCTTCCCGTTCAAATCGAGGTCTGCAAAGGAAGAAAAAAAATAGAGCCCAGAGCTCTCGAGTCCTCGAACCCTCGACCTAGATATACCTGGGGTTCACAATGCAGTCCACCAAAGCACCCGACTTTCTGGATACCGGGGCCGTGTCCCGTTCGCGCAGTCCCAGTATCGTATCTAGCGACTCGCAATTTTCTCGAGTCAACCTGGTGTCCCCACCGTCCGTAACGCCGTCCCCAGCGTTCATCTCCTCATCTGCAGCTTCAGATATCATCTCTGCCGACCAGGAGTTCAACGCCGCCGACTTTGTGGCCGAAAATGAGGAAACCGGGGCCGGTGCCACGGCCCTGGTGACCCCCGCTGCCTTATCGCTCCTCAACGGATTTCTCGATAACCTCTTGTTTAATATTCTGGCGTCGTCAAAATCGACCCAGCTTGCTTGTATTCGACCTGCGATGGCCGATGTGTTAAAGCCCCGCTTAGCCAAGGAAGTTGTTTCCGCGGCCGAAGAAGAGTTGAGCGAATTCATGGGCGGGGCGGAAGATGAGCAGACAGAATTCCGCGGCGGTCAGGAACCCGGGGGTGATTTTGATCTGATACGCTCATGGAAGTTAACCCGTCTACGATGCATGGTCTACACACGACTAGGTGACATGGAGGAGGATGACGAGGACGAATTTATCGCGCAAGATAGCCTTGGAGAGACGGATGGAGCACCCCGCAGATTTACAAGTCATGTCGACAACATCACACCAGCAGCTTCTATTTTCCTCACCTCGATCATTGAATACATTGGCGAGCGTGCACTCGTCATTGCTGGCGAGACATCGCGGTCCCGTTTGTCGGCACAGCTCAATAATGGCGGTGATGAGTCGAGTGGATCCGGAGAACGGAAAAGAATCGACCGACTGGTGGTGGAAGATCTCGATATGGAGAAGTTGGCCCTGAATGCAACCTTGGGTCGCCTATGGCGTACCTGGAGGCAACGCCAACGCAGAACCACTCTTTCGCGAACCCTATCTCGTGAATCATTCCGCCCTCGTGGATACTCCATGGCAAACAGCAGAAAGAGTAGCATTGTCACAATTGAGGAACCAGTGACTCCCAGTGAGCCTCTCCCCGCCGCGTTGCCGGTTTTTGACCCCGCTACTGTTCCCTTACCAATGAGCGACTACGATGTTCAAGAGATTGAGGTCCCTGGCTACATTGGGGATCTAGATGGGGTACATGGGGAGGTACAGACCATGGAGGCCGTTGTTGCTCACAAGGTGCGACCACGCAGTCTGATGGTGTTTTCATCGCCCTCGCTTGTGCCAAAATCACCAGGTTCGGCAAACAGTTCGCCCGTGAGTGCGTCAGCTATCGAACCCGGAAAATTCATCCGTCATGTTCGTACGAGATCTCTACCCAATGGGGCACCCTCGCCCGACTCTTCTGAGGATGAGCCAGAGTTCCCAACAGATCACCCATCACCCACCACATCGGAGAAAACGCAACTTGAGACTATGTATGAGGATGATGAATCGGCAGAATATGTGGATGCAGCTGAGACAACTCCGGGAATTGCTATCACGACAGAACACGACGAGACAGCATCCTTCGAATCTGCAGCAGAAACTTCTGAAAATGCGAGAATGTCGATCTTGCTCGAAGAAGAAGAGGAGACACCCGCAGTCAGCGAAATGATTGCATCCTTGCGCGCCACCGCACAAGACGAAGACGCTACGACTGATCAATCTAATAGTGCCCGTGTCTCCATTGTGTCCTTGGGTGATCGGCCGAATCAGAAAGACCCAGAAGTGATTGAGGGCACTGGGTTATGCGAAAAACCTAAATTGACTTCGACGATACACCGACCAAAACGACAAACCTCTAGGGATGTTAGTCTCCTTAATGGAACGTCGATCTCTGGACAAACTAGCGACTCTGAATTGCAAGCTGTTGCGGAGAGTAAGCCTCCAATGCAAGGGGTTGAGACCACGCCGGCCCCACCCGCACCCCCCATCGAGGCTATCACATCATATATCGATCGTGACGCGACCAACGAAGATCAGAGTAAGCCGATCATGACAGCCACGGCTTCGACTCGATCATCGGAGGATTACCCCGATACGGCAAACTCTTCACAATCTCTCTCGCCCGATATGGCTCGCCCGATTTCTGTTTCAGGTATTTCGCAACGGTCGAAAAGTCGCCCCAGACCTGCTCCATTGGAGGTGGCAGCCAGCAACCGAAGCCTCTCCGCCTCCGCATCTGCCTCCACTGTTGAACGAGCGGCTGTTCAGCGCATGTCTCGGCCATCAATCTCGATGTCTTCATCCATCGTTAAATCCCGCCGGTCTGGAAGCTTCGGCAGTGGTCGTGAGAACATGCGTCCAGTGACTGCTGGATCTACCACGTCGCAAGTGTCTAATAAACTGAAGGGTATCATGGGTCGACCACAGGGTGACTCTAGTTCGCTGCGCATGCGCAGCTCGTCTGAGACTAGTCGCGCATCTGGCGGTAGCGGAGACTCCGTAGACGATATTGCAGACTTGGACAAGTTGATCAATAGTGATGAGACTATCCATTACACCCTTACTCCCCGAAGTGTGAGGGAGATGACCTTCCCTGACGCGTCCAATCGCGCAGTTCCCCGATCAGAGACGGCAGGCGGCGTCTCCGACCTGGCTGAGTTCTTGAACACCACTGCACCACCAGGTGAAGACCAACACCGCCCTCACGCCTCGGTCTCCTCAAGAGCTACTGGGGAGATGACTCCAATCTCCCACACCAAATCTATCGAGTCACCCAAACATATCCCGCTCACCACGCGCTTGACCAACATGTCATCAACGTCGAGGTCTAGCAAGATAGGGCAGGCACGGGATGCACGAGTTGCACCTTCTGATTCGACACGCGACTTTGCGGACTTCATGAGGTCGACTGGCCCTGCTAGTGGGCCATATGAGTTTAAGACCTCGATCTCTGCCGAAGGCACACGGCCTGTTCGTCCTCCATCAAATGTCTCGACTACCTCCCGCGGAAATCGACCTAAGCTCCAAGCTCGGTCTGCTGAGACGAAAGGATTCCAGACCTCGGATCTCATCGACTTCATTCGAGAGGGACCTCCCATGCCGGGAGGTGCTCACCGTATTCCTCGGACAGTTGCACCGTTCCGCAACACCATTGATTCGGATGACCTTCTGATGGAAACCACAACATCCAGCTCCTTCGTCAGTACTGGTAATGGATCTACTCCTAATAAATCATTGACATCTCTTGGTTCACGGACCGGGTTGCTGGATTCAAACCGAAGCAAGCCTACAGTGCAAGGAAGCGCCATGGACTTCGATGAGCCCAAGCCTGTTCGGAAGCAACGCCGTGCTCCAGATCCCTATGCCATTGACGATGACGACGATGATGCCCTTCTGGAAGAGCTTCTGGAAAGGGAAGCAAACCCCAAGCCCAGGCGCGAGGAAGAGAGCTTGATGGATTTCCTGCGCGATGCCCCTCCTCCCCCTGAAGAACCTTCACAGCCATTTGCAATGAGTACCCCTGCATCAAATGGAGCATCGGGGATGAAAGCCCGCTTGCTCCGCACCTCCCAGACCTCCTTGCGCACACAAACCACCCCCATGAAGGTCCAGTCCAACTACTCTGCCAAGGTTGGACAGGAGCGCAACAACGGCACCATGCCTTCTATCTCAAACCGCAAGACGGACACTGGTGATTTGGCGGATTTCCTCCGAAACACCGGGCCTCCTCCGGGCCCTATGCGGGCTTCATCAACACCGATGGGCTCTAAGCCGAAGGATGGTGGCATCTCCCGTTTCTTCACCCGCCGAAAGAAGGTCGAGGCCTAATAGGTTGGAAGTACCCTCACTACATTTTCGACTAATGTCTTGCTTTGCTGAGCGTTCTAATTCATCTAACGATCTATACATCATGTCCATCGCTTTGGTCTTTCCTGTTTGTGCAGCAGCACTGTCATCTTTATCATTCTCTTTCCTTTTCTTTCACATAGACTCATGTCCTCTATCCCTTATTGTTTATTATGGCTACGACCAGTTGGTTTTTTATCTTCTCTTGCGCTTTTGTGCGCCACTTTATTTTCTGCCCTCCTGCGTGGGAATGAACGAGTAATACGGACCTCGGGTTTTCCATTTGTCTCTTCATTGGGACGCTGCACATGTGCTTTGATTGCTTTCGTGGATTTCGAGATACCATGCCTATCCTTGGGCTACTTTACAATGCCCTGACACTCACAAACCATTACTATTCTGTGAACACCGTCTCCAACCTGCAGTAAAATGTATACTCCAATAAATCTTAAAGCAATCAGACTCTAGTAATATTTACTGTGTGAAACAAGAAACCCCTCCTACAGTCGAAGTATAGATCCTAAACCATACCCCGGAACAAAGTTAATCCCGCACTCCCCTTACCAGGTGTCATCAACAGCACTAAGCATCTGTGTTTACAACCGCCAATTCTACGCCGCAACAATGGGCACCTCACCAATTACAATGAGGGCCATCCTTGGCTTCCTCTTTGTCTTCTTCCAGCTTGCAAGCGCCCTAAAATTTGATCTTGTCGCCACCTCCGGCGGCGGCAACAACGAGCGATGCATTCGCAACTTCGTCTCGAAGGACCAGCTCGTCGTTGTCACTGCCATTGTTGGTGGCACGAAGGGTGATGGCCAAAGGGTCAATATTCATGTGAGTGGAATTATTTTTGGATGTGGATGGGACACAGCCCTGTGTCTACTGGGACTTGATCCCAAACCGCCCAACTGCTACACTGAACCCCGACTGATACGCTTCATTTTCTCTGTATAGATTAAGGATTCTATGGGCAATGACCATGGTCGCCCTAAGGATGTCGTCGGTGAGACGCGTCAGCTCTTCACTTCCCCCGCGGACACGGCTTTCGACGTTTGCTTCGAGAACCAGCTTGTCGGCCACAGTAAGTGAATCCCCTCAAACAACCCGGACAATCGACCGGCAGAAAGCTGGACTTGAAGAGAATGTTATACTAAAACAATTCCGCCCGATTAGACGGTATTGCGAACCCCTCCCGCCCCATCGAACTCGACGTCGACATTGGCGCCGACGCCCGCGACTGGAACAGCATCCAATCTCAGGAGAAGCTCAAGCCCATTGAGACAGACCTCCGCCGCATCGAAGAAATGGTTGCCGATATCGTGACTGAGATGGAGTACCTGCGTGCGCGTGAGCAGCGTTTGCGTGATACCAATGAGAGCACCAATGAGCGCGTGAAGTGGTTCGCTTTTGGAACTATGGGCATGCTTGTTGGACTTGGTGCTTGGCAGGTTGTTTACCTGAGGGCTTACTTCAGGTATGTTGAATTGTGGTTGTGGTGGATGATATCGGTTACTGACTTTTTGGATCGTGCAGATCTAAGCACCTTATCTAAATTTCCTGATCGAATGGTTGCATCTGATGGTTCTTTTTTTTGGTTTTGCAGCGGTTGCATTGCAAATCCTTTAGCTCTGATGTCGAGTGGCATTCTGTTAAACAGTCATGATCTCAATGATATAAAATGTACACCATGCTTTCTGCAGCCTGGCGCTAATAATAATTTCTGTTTCTCGCATGTGATGTCTTGGGATGGTTGGTTTGCTATACTTTACAGGGGCTCCTTTTCACCGATAAGGCGGTGACTGAGTATTGATGGATGGATTATGATCTACCCATATATGTTACAACATTAGCCACATGGCTACATACCCGGTAGGTAGCTGGGAACTTCCGACTTGAGGTCTGTATACATCTAGATCGACCTCTTGCGGCAGGATTCCGGGTTTTGGTGAGACCAAATCAACAGATGGGCAAAGATAGCAAACAAAAAGTGCCCCAATTACAGGCTCAAAAAAGGCCCCAATAGATAAAACCTAACGAAATGCATCGTGTCGCGAAAAGTGTGTAATTGATGGCCTGTGAGTGGAATGTTTGTGGTTGCAAACTAAACAAACACCGGGCATTGCAGGAGCTTCTCGGTTCCCCGGGGCATTACACTGAATGATGTCAAAGCCGAGCATCAAACGCCAACTCATTCCTAGAGAAAGGAAAGTCTCAACTCTCCTTCTATAGGATAAAGTACAACAATATGTCCGCCCCACGGATACTTCATCGCCTCGCGCGACCAGTGCCATCATCCCTAAGCACTATCACAAGACTAAACCGCCAATTCGGCGCAACAGCTCGACGTCTCAAAGATGGCGACGATGCTCCTGAGGTGAAGGCGCACCGCGCAAACCAGGCTAACAAGCCCCCGAACCAATTCGTGCCCAACACTACCTCCACCATGACAAAGGACTTCCTAAGTGTCGGCCAGAAGCCTCCGCCACCGGAGATGCTGAACTCAGTCGATCCCAACTACAGACCGTCTGATCCGTACCCCGGAAGAATTGAACATTTCACCGGTGGTCGCCAGGATAACGGGGCGCAGAAGCCCGAGCTTGGCGTTGGTGAGATGGAGGGTATTACGTTCAAGGTTGAGCCTCTGAAGAGAGTTGGAGAGGAACTTGCCACGAAGAGGGCACGCCTGCTATGTTCGTACCAATTCCCACTGCACCTCGGTCCCAATGTGAAATCCGAAGACCAGGTGCATTGATATATCAAGAACCATTCAAGCTGACCAACTCCATTCCAGACCAAAGCCGCAAGCGCGGAATCCTGGAGTCAGACCTGCTCCTCTCGACCTTTGCAGATGTCTACCTGGGCAAGATGGACTACGACCAGCTCGTCGAGTACGATAGCTTCCTGGACGAGAACGACTGGGACATCTACTACTGGGCGACGCAGGACCCCCAGAGGATATCTCACCCTCTACTCCCAAGGAGGATACCATCACCGAGACTTGGAAGGAGAGCGGTGCCAAGAGTGGTGAATGGGCGCAGACTATTGGCGCTTTCAGAGCGGCTTACCGACCTGTTCCGTCGCGTTGGCAGAGCTCTGAAGTTCTCGAGTTGCTCAGAGCTCATGTTCGCGATAAGAGTGCTACTGGCTTCGAGAAGGCCAAGAATAAGAAGACTGGTGGTGGTGGCGGCTTAGGGAGAATGCCCGATGTTCAGCTGTTTGACTCGTAAAAGGCATGTGGAAGAGATTGAATTCGCGAAGATTGTCGATTCAAAAATTGTACTATAGTTGTCATAGTGGTCATATTGTCCATAGGAGGCATGTATTAAGAATGTTGTATATTTGATTATACTGGGATCAATGGATGTGGAGATCACGGGTTGAGATAGAAAAACACAGCATATGTTAATTTTGAATACGATAGAGAAAACTTCAACGTAAATCGCCATTCAATTCGTTATTCTCCGATATACATTGTAGTTGAGGCCCAGTTTGTATAGATAGAAGTCATGTGACTGGTTCGCTTAGTATTAGGGCTCCACGGAAACCACACAAGGAGAGCAGCGAAGCGGCTTAGGGCTTGAGCGGGCACGTCTGCCTCCCATCTCGATTTTACCTCCCCCCCAGAGTCAACGACAATCTCCGCCCATCCCTCTCTCTCCTTCATTGTCTCATTCCCATCATGGCTGAGCAGCTGGTTCTTCGCGGCACCCTTGAGGGCCACAATGGCTGGGTTACTTCCCTCGCCACCTCCCTGGAGAAGTAAGAATGACCTATCCCGATCGGGGATTGAATTTTTGAAGGGACACAATTCTGACTTGAATGCTTGAGGATAGCCCCAACATGCTGCTGTCCGCATCCCGCGACAAGACCCTGATCATCTGGAACCTTACCCGTGATGAGCAGGCCTACGGTTACCCCAAGCGCAGCCTCGAGGGTCACTCGCACATCGTCTCTGACTGTGTACGTTTTTCTTCTCCCGAATGAACCACACCCTGAAACCATTGGATGCGACAGATGGATTTGGATGGCGCATTTTCGAACAAAAAAAAAGATGGAATGGTTTTGGCTGACCGATGGTCTTGTCTGCGTTATAGGTGATCTCCTCCGACGGTGCCTACGCTCTGTCCGCCTCGTGGGATAAGTCTCTCCGCCTCTGGGAGCTCTCCACCGGTAACACCACCCGCACTTTCGTCGGCCACACCAACGATGTTCTGTCCGTCTCGTTCTCCGCCGACAACCGTCAGATCGTCTCCGGATCCCGTGACCGCTCCATCAAGCTGTGGAACACCCTCGGTGACTGCAAGTTCACCATCACCGACAAGGGCCACACCGAGTGGGTTTCCTGCGTTCGCTTCAGCCCCAACCCCCAGAACCCCGTCATTGTCTCCGCTGGCTGGGACAAGCTCGTCAAGGTACGCTATCGATTCCGAATCTCCCTGCAAAATTTCCTCTCAGCCTTGCTTTGCCCGCGTGATGTTTGCATAAACGTATTTGCTACTTCAGAGCCCTTCGGGGCCATGAGACAATTTTTCACCCATTTTGCCTGATGGGCACAGCAACAATTTTTTTGTTTTTTTATTGAACGAGAGAAGGATTGGAAAAAAAATTTTCCTTGACACTTGACATTCTTTGAGGGTATCGACGCTAATATTCGATTCGCGTCTAGGTTTGGGAGCTCGCTTCCTGCCGTCTCCAGACCGACCACATCGGTCACACCGGATACATCAACACCGTCACCATCTCCCCCGACGGATCCCTCTGCGCCTCCGGTGGCAAGGACGGTACCACCATGCTCTGGGACCTTAACGAGTCCAAGCACCTCTACTCCCTCTCCGCTGGCGATGAGATCCACGCTCTCGTCTTCTCCCCCAACCGCTACTGGCTCTGCGCTGCCACCAGCAGCTCCATCACCATCTTCGACCTCGAGAAGAAGAGCAAGGTTGATGAGCTCAAGCCTGAGTTCGTTGAGAAGGGCAAGAAGAGCCGTGACCCCGAGTGCATCAGCTTGGCCTGGTCCGCTGACGGCCAGACCCTGTTCGCCGGTTACACCGACAACAAGATCCGTGCCTGGGGTGTTATGTCGCGCGCATAGATTTGAGTTGTTGTATCGGAGCTTGAGGAGCCTCTTTTTGATCTATTGACAAGGGAATTGAGAAAAAGTTCAAAAGATACGGCCAAAGAGCATTGGTTTGGGATGTATGAGCCACGAGCAATGAAGCACTTCTCGCCGGGACTGAGATGTCCCCGGCCTGAAGGTTTTCTGACATGTCTAGCTTACTTGATCCGCAATGTATGGAATCTTGTGCGAGACGTGTGATGTTCTAATACCAGTTAAGGCATCAAAATGTTTCCTATTTTTCAATATTGAAAACCTCTTGTAAAATTATCGTACCCGTATATCTTATATCAAAGTTTTGTCTTATCATGTAACCTCCCACATGTATCTATGTAGGGTATACTATCCCAGCCGCCGCATTGGATACCTTGAGTAGCCAACTAATACATCCCAGTTGTGCATTGAAAATTTCTCTGCAGTGTTCATGCTTTTTTTCTACTTTTTCTGCTGTCTACATATCGTGAAAACTTACCTGTAAAAAGAATATCCAAGACGACTGCTGCAAAGACTACTACGAAGTCACCGCAAGGCCGCATAGGCAGCCGACTATTCTCGTATATACATATACAGGAGTGTTGAGATTTCTATTTCCAACGTTGGTCATAATGTACATCAGGCTGAACAGAGGCCTTCACAGATCTACGCATCATTTCTTTCCAAGTCTCTTCAAGGCCTCCTTGGCCATCGTGCCCCCTTCTTCGTATTCAATCTTATCGGCTAACGCTTTAGCCTCAGTATACCGCTGCTTAGCGACCTCTGGCTTCTTTTGTAGCTCAGCCAGCTCGCCCAGGTTATACGTCGCAACCACGCAAGTGATGTCACACTCCTCGTCACGTATCGGGGGTTGAATGTGCGCCGCCACCTCAATGGCCTTCTCAGCCCACTTCTGGGCAGCCTCGACAGTCTGCTGCGCTGTAACAGGCTGCTGCGGCTGAGATTTGGGGGGCAGCTGAACTTGGCCTACCAGAGCGGTAGCAACATCGTTAAGCAGCACCACCTGTTTGCAAGATATGGAAGTTCCTTCAGCAGCGCGGATCAAATCCAACGCACGCATATACAGCGGCATGGCCAATTCGTACCGCTCCTTGGCGGTATAGGTAGCGGCAAGCTCAGCCAACGCCGTCGCGATCTCAGTGAGGTTCAGCCATGCCTCGCCATCTGACCCTTCGCCACTGCTAGAGCTTCCAACAGGAAGTCCAAGCCTTTGGCGGCGGTGCATTTCCTTCAAACAGATCTCCACAGCGGCGACCTGCGCAGCCTCGGCTTTCTTGTCGTCCTGAATATACTCGCTGGAATAAAGCTCGCCGAGCTTCATCGCCATGCCGACGGCCTTCTTGAGCGCCTTGTCTCGCAGACGAGCCTCATACTGCGCCCTTGCTTTCAGATCCTCCTCGCTTTCTTGAATCGCCTCGGTATCAACCTGGACATTGGCAGGGGTCGTCTGCTCCTGCGCCTGCGCCTGCTTCACCTTCTCAGCCGCAGCAGCAGCGTTACCCGCTGTGACTTGATCAACCCAGGCCAGAGTCTCGTTCTTCGTTCGCTCCAATATATCAATCGCTGGCTTCACAAGTCCAGCCTTCTCCAGCATCATAGCAACCTGCAGCTTGATTCCAAGTATCTCATCCGAGTATGGGTGGATGCCCATCTCAAATGCTATTTGAAGGGCTTCTCTGTAGGCTTTCATAGCCTTGGCGGGATTGAGGTCGATCTCGGTGTAATAGATAGCGGTGCGGAGAGCGTCGGCCACCGGAGGCGGGAATTTGTGGTACTGCGGCCCGACGCGTGTCACTTCCACGTAGGAGATGTAGGCGAAGATGAAGGCTCCGCCGACGACGGAGAAGATTGCTAGTGGCATGAGCACGGGGTTCTTGCGCCAGATTCCTTTAGATGCTTCGCGGTATTTGCGGCTGATTTTCTGTAGGATCGTGAGGTGTCGTGTGCCGGAGATGTATGGGCTTGCAAGTGGTTTGCCATTGTTGATTCGTGGTTGAAGGGTTGGCCGGGTGGTGCTGTTGATGTATATTGAGCGAGCGAGGCTCTTTGGTTGTGGTTGTAGAAGTTTTGCGGCTTGCGCGCTCGTCCGCCGTGATGCTGCGCGGAACATGGCGAGTGTGTGAGTGGGTATTGGATTGATATTTCGAGGTTTGATCTCGATTGAGCGGGTGGCTGTCTGATACAACCTGGGAAATTGGCTTAGAGAATGGAGAGGGAGAGGGTGAGGTATGGTGAATCGATGAAGAGTCCGCCCTCGGTTTTCCGGTGGTCCAAGCTCCGCTCCGCGATATGACGTCGCCCGCTGCAGTATGCACTCGTCTTTCCGTTCATTCCATCTAGAAAATGCACTGGTTATTACCAGAATTGATCGCGGAGGTCTTAATATTGAATAAACTCAGGAACTCGGACTCATAATGTGCGGGCGATACGCTTTGGGCGTGGTATGTTACAGTCCCTGAACCTATACTTGTCGCCAGCTGATGATCCCAAGCGCTTGGCGTACATCCAACAACACCTGCAAGACCAAGGCATGCAAGTCGATGAAGCACCAGACGACGATGAAGTCAGGGAGACATATAACTTTGCACCGGGCAATCTCGGCGTTGTCTATCGCGCTGATATCACCGACAAGGGGAGCGACAATTCTCAGCAAGATACTGATAGCGCACAGCAAACCAAAATCTCAGAGAAGGGAGATAGCGTCAGCTTGAAGGATAAAGTAGACATTTCAGATATCAAATACAAACTCCAGAGCATGAAATGGGGACTCATCCCATTCTGGACGAAACGCCAGCCGGATTATGGATCCATGATGCGAACAATCAACTGTCGTGATGATTCGCTGATTGAAGATTCGGGGATGTGGACTACCATGAAGCGACGAAAGAGGTGTATTGTCATCTGCCAGGGCTTTTACGAATGGCTGAAGAAGGGGCCTGGGGGTAAAGAAAAGGTTCCACACTTTGTCCGGCGCAAAGACGGGAAGCTGATGTGTTTCGCTGGACTGTGGGACTGTGTTTCCTATGAGGGCATGTCTAGGTCTTTCTGATATAAAACAAGAATAGGGCTAACGATTAATTTGCACAGGTTCTGACGAAAAGCTCTACACATACACGGTGATCACGACCTCTTCTAATTCCTACCTGAAGTTCTTGCATGATCGTATGCCGGTCATTCTGGACCCAGGAAGTCAGGCAATGAAAAACTGGCTGGACCCCAGCCAAAAGACGTGGTCAAAGGAACTACAATCAATTCTCAAGCCATATGAGGGCGAGCTGGAATGCTATCCTGTCCCCAAGGAGGTTGGAAAAGTTGGAAATAATTCTCCGAATTTCATTGTTCCTGTCGACAGCAAGGAAAACAAGAGCAACATTGCAAATTTTTTTGCCAATGCGAAATCGAAGGAGGATTCAGGCTCATCTCCAAAAAAGGAGAGTATGTCGCCGAAAACAAAGATTGTCAAGGACGAGGATCGCCGCCCTACTAAAAACTCGGAATGGTCCGAGGACAATGCCCCAAAGCCGGTCCCAGGTGTCAAAAGAGAGCATAGTCCAGAATTTTCTGGCGCTACAGAGGAAAGTAAGAAGCAAAAGGCCAATGCGGATTACACGGGGCCATCGCCACAAAAGAAAAAGTTACGCAGTGCTACGCATAATACTCCTATAAAGAAGTCCACTGGGACGAAGGCAGCAGATGGATCGCAGCGGATTACGAGCTTCTTTAAAAAGTGATGATACATGAAATGAGAAAGGAACTTTATTTTCTTTTTGTTTGGTCGGCCATACATTTCTCATCAAGATATATTTTTTATTTTGTTGAAGTGGAGGTGAAAATTCCCTGGCCGAATGATATTCTACTGTGACACACTCCTATCTAAAGCACCCAACGAGCCTACCTCCATGAAGAAGGAAAATCAGCCGACGTGCACTATGTGTTGAGTTAAGAATAGCCAAAACGTAAGAAGATCGCGGTTGAAGAAAGACGGCATAAAAGATATGCGTAAAAGGTCTGTACAGAAGCATCGGTGGCAAATGAAGGAGACCGTACTGCTGAAGGCTGATATATATTTTTACAAAGGATTTCGTGGGCGATATCCCCAATTTTTGAAGTGATCACTTCTCAAGTTCCCGTAGCTTCTGGACTAGCTTTTCTCTGAGGAAAGGACTCAATCCGAAACTATATATATCAATCAATATTGAATACTAGTGTGATCGAACATCTGACAAGGGGGATACTTACATTCCATCTCGGGTCAGGATACGATAGGTACCTGCTAAGCATCAGCTTGGCCTGTTTGAGTCTCATATAGTCGGAACACATACCACTTGGCTGGTAATTGCCATTGTCTCCAACGAACTGACCATTGGCATCCACCTCAAGGCTTCCAAACATATCCTCGGGCCTGAATGGCATGAGTATAAGTATCATATGGAATAAAATGTGCTTGCTGAAACACAGGATCTTACCAAGCAATCCGCCCATAGTCAGGCGGCCGTCTGCCATCAGAGACATGAATCCAGCCCCCTCGTCCACCTGCAGCGCCTTGGCCACTAGCACCACTGCTCGAGTCGCCTCGACGTCTCCCGCGCTGGCCGCTTAATAACACGCCGCCTGAGTTCAGGTTGGCCCCGCCCACAGACACCATGACCTGCGCTTGGGACTTGGCATCTGGATCTTCATGGGCATGCTCTGAGCACACTTCTTGTACTATATCCAGAAATTTCGGGTTTTCTTTGAAAGAATCTGTTGTTGGTGGCAGTTGAGTCGAGACTCCGATAGCCAGGTCCGGGTTGACTGGCTCGGAGGGCAATAGTGACAAGATATGGGTTCCACTTGCTGGTTCAGCATTTGGGAATACGTACTATCAAAGATTTAGTTTCAATGAGGGCTCTGTAAGGTGTAACAATCGCATACTATGTGCGGAGACCCTTCCAATGTTGATACACCACGGAACTGAGTCCATTTGGGGAGAACTCGGGCCTGTTGGCCAAATAGTCTTGCTGCAAACATCGAAATATAAATATAGCAAGTTTCTTAACAGTCAATAATTGAGCAAATAGGCAGTAGGTTGGATGTGGTCAAATCCAAGAGAGCTGGATCATAGCTTGATGGAAATGGCAGGCGGTATAAAAGGCGGTGGGTAGATGTCGGCAAACAAGTGGACAGATGACCTAATTTGATGCCACCTTTTTGAGGCAATAATATACGGGATGAACTTTTCCCGACGCCGTGGGCAGCAAATATAAGGAAGCTGCAAGTCACTTTCTGCATGTTCTGGGAGCCACAACCAAACCATTCGCAAGCCGAGCAGTTCCAAAGTTCAAAAACAGAGATCTTGAAATTATATTGCTCAAAAATAGATATTGCAGTCCTGCAATTCGCGATGAAAGAGTTGCCATTTTCAAGAGCAAGTGATAAGTGTGAATAACAAGCCAAAATACTGCCTCACTGAGGAGGTGATTTCACTAAAGACCGGTGTTGTACTCAACCTCAGACACTCAGCTTGAAGACTTGGATTTCGCTGCTGGATCAGATCCCCCAGTTGAGTCCTCTATAGCCACTAGGTATAGTTTTGTCGGAAACTTATATTCGGGGTCTCGTTGTCTAGAGCATCAACATTATATATCTGCAAGTCTGGAGGAAGCTCAACACTGTCCTCTTTAGGTGATATTGAACCCGACTAGGTACAATATCCACACATGCATATTGTTGGACAATCACACCTCCCATTGTTTGCTTGCAGACTGAGCGGATTTTTGTCAGATATCAGGGTATAAATTCTCTACTTTATTCTAGATTGGACAACAATGATTCTTCCTTCTCTTTCTTTCGTTCACCAGAAGCCATAAGATTTACCTATATACTCAGGGGCCATTCAGCTTTTTATAGAGGCTATAAGGACCAAGGATACTTTCATCGCCTGCAAGTTTAATGCGTCCACTCGATCTAGTCAAAAGCAAAGCTAGTGTCATTCGTGCAGTCGTTGCAGGAGTAGCGCTCCTGCCGCTTTGATCAGGCTTATGACTCTACTTGTGGTGGGTGGACTGGGGAACACTATCCCCTGGGTCAATTATATCAAGGAATACTGGGCCCTATCTTTTCGAAGCATGGGAGAACCATGGTCGGTCAGAGGCGTCTACTTCAATGGTTTATCTAGTAAAACCATGCCAGTCGATACATAGGTGGTGAAAAGTGCCTTGATTGTCACGAGGTATTATCCTCTTGCCTAGGACGGTATTCTACTCCCACCTCACCTCAAGTCGGTGACAGTACTCTCTCTTCATGTGACGTTGATCGTTTGTTGACAACCTACTGACTAAGTTGATAGATTGAGGAGACCTGGCTAGGACTATGGACGAGAGGCACCGCCAAGCTTGAATAGCAAATCTTCATCAAGCAATCCCGCATAATGAGTATGTCCAGTGGCAGGGCAACGGAAAGTTGTTACTGATTGGATCGCAAACAGGCACCAGGAGATACGACCGGGATGATCTAACCTCTTTCATTCTATTTTTTTCTACATCTTCCACAGCTTTGCCTCGTCATCGCTCCATTGATGTGACATTCTTTATACTTATTAGGACCACTTCCTGGTCCAGTTGTTGCCATTTTCAAAGTCACTCCCTTTGACTTGCAAGATATCCTCATTTTCTGCGCGGTGGGACAAGGATTATGGATGATTTTCATTTTGAACTTTCAACATTCATGGAGCTCACAGACACTAAACAAGATCCTATCAATCGATTATTCTAAGTGCATTTCTTATAATGACGACTCGCCACAGGAGTCCATGGATTATTGCTTATGATTTGTAGCCCATTCCAGATTCGACTAATATGTGTCTGGATGGTGCTATAGAATGTAGATTAGGACGGCCTGTACCCAGTGACTATAGCGAACTGACCGACCCAACCATCTTTATCTCGCTTGAACAGGAGTTCTCCTCGGAATACTACTACATGCTGCTTGTTGTTCTTCTTAATTTCCATGAGTCGCAAGGGGATGCAGTGAGAAAAGCTGCATTGATGGTCAGGCCGCTAGCCACGCCAGCAAGTCTTTTGGGGCACTTATTATCCTACAGAATGCGTATGGAGCCATCGAGACACAACGCATTGTTGATCAATTTGTTACACTCACGTCAAATGTATATGATGAGAACTGCGGCACTTTGGAGGGATTGTTGAGCAAGAAAAGTGCCCCGTGGACTTTGGCATTGGTACAGAGCGACGGACTATCCCGAGCTTGTCTGTGGAACTAGAAGTAAAGACAGCGAAGTGCATTTAATTATAGGACCGAGGAAACTATGTAGAGACCCAAATATAAAACAGATGTCCCCTAGCTAAATTGCCTGGGATCCCTGAAGTTCAGAGGTGCCATCCCTCAGGCACCCTGCTGTTAGACCAACCTAGCTTTCGTCAGATTACTGTCGTGAAAAAACGGGTTTAAATCCTGGGTGATTTTTTTTGCTTTTGAGGTGCCCCTGGTATATGTCTGTTTTTGATCAGTGGGCACTCGTAACCTTGGGGGTGGGCAGGGTAGGTAGCTGCCTCAGCTGACTCAGTGAGCGGACTGTACATGACTAATAATCAAGTTTGGCACCTCGGGATCTCCCGAGGTCCCGCCTGAGTTTCCATCCAGGCGGGTTTTCTTATTTTTTCTAAAACAAAGGGTTGCCCAAATAAACATCCTCTGGTATTTGTCTGGTATTTGGAGGGATAAATATACTCAGTGCTATAATGTATGCATGATGAATCTACCATCTTAGAGAAGCATTAAACTTACAGAATGCAGTTCAAGTTGATTCAACCCGTTCCATTTGATATGCTGCTAGGGGGTCACTGACTCACTGTCCAGCTCTGGAATTCTATCTGCAGTCATCCACCTCCCCGGGCTCGCGAGTAGGACTCTGTCGCTCAACGTCCGTAAGGTCCATATGCTGCCCTCGAATCTTCCCTTCGGCTCAATCCTTTCGTCGCATGTACTCAAGTGCTCCACTGAGGGGAGTGGCGAGCGCGATCCCCTGTTTTCACCATGTGGCGCCGTGGGTCAAATCTGCATAAGCTAGGGAGGGAGCAGAATGTAGCTTCGGGCTTAGTCCTGTCCTATGCTGGGGCTTTCTAGCAAAAGCTCACCGACCCCGTCAGGTGGTACCAGATCTCCGACATTGTTTGTGTTCACTATCCAAACTATCCAAGAGTTCTATGGTTGAGTCGGCACTTCAATCTCCGGGAACCTGCTGGGATCCAGAAGACGAGATGGAGAGGGATTAGGTGATGGAATTAGCGCTCAGCTTTCGAATGGCTTCCGATGGTTGTACGTAAACGGACTGAAGATGTATCTTTTCCCTCATCACCAGCCAACAACGTGCTGTCTCCCACCCCCAAGATAGGTAATCCTAGTGATCTTGCACGCTCAGCTTGACGGATCGATGTCAAAACAGTGGGACTTGAATATTTGCACATATTTGTTTCACATACTCGTTGGTGAGCGAGATGTCCATGAGAAGCAGCCCCCCCCCCCCCGGGCCTTAAAGATACCAAGGACGGCGACTGAAACCTATGCATATCTCTCCATAGAAGCAGTTACTAACTTGTCAGGCTGTCTCACGTTGAGCTTTGGGAGCTAGGTTGCAGGATGGGAAGAGCATTGATCGAGCTCAAGGTAAGTCAAATGGCCATCCCAGGTAGCAACAGCTGATTCCAATGGGCGAGGATGGCATTTCACGATGACGAAATCGTAATCGCGTGCATGGGACAATACAGGTGAGTGCTAGACTGCTCTCTCCATCAGTTCAGCCAAGCCTTGGGGACTGAAAGACTCGAGATCGCCAACAAGAGCACCCCGAGGTCGACTACTAAGGGCAGCTCAAAAGGAATGGGCCAGCTGGTGCAGCATTATGTGCGTCAATTCGAGAGAAAATGCAGAGGAACCCAACAGGACTTCTAAATCTACACCATTTGTTCGGATATCACAATTGAGTACAAGAGGCAATTTGCGCTCGTTCATACTTTGTAAGCCACCGGGATGCTTTTCCTGCCCTTGTCTAATGTTAAGTATGTTCCTGAACTGACATGCTGCTGCTATATCTCTGCCAAAGCCGGATAATGTATGAGTTGAGGATACACCGAATGTAGACCGGTCCAAGATCTTGGCTTCGGTGTTTCTAAGCGCATCTGTCACTGATTCCTGAGGGTCAACCAACAGCCATAAAGGCAAAACGACCGGTCTGTTAGGTGAGTCCCTGCTTTCCTGTTTAAGACTAAGACCGAAAGCAGAACCATCGTTCCTCCAGTATATTGGGATAGAACGAGGCCCCATGCTAGGGCCAGCACCGCCCTAGTTGACACAGAATCCTGCTCACCACATGCTACGTAGATTGGTGTTTTCTGTCGAGCGTCGATTGCTTGTATAGCGAAGAGAGGACAGGGATTATTGTTACTAAGAGCTGCTTGAATCCACATCGCTAGCGTAGTTCACTCCAATCAGGGACATTCTCAGTGTGTATGTTATGGCTTCCGTTACTGCCGTATTGGAGGTCATTGGGCTGAATTGTCAGACAGTGATCCCGAGACCCACTGCCTGATTAGGTAGTCATCTCAACTGCTTCTTAGATATGGTTCTATCAAAAGCTAATTGAATTCTCATCAACAAGTGCAGTAGTCTAGCTTGAAGCTCGAAGTATATGGAACAAAAGTTCTACGATTCCTTCGGAGATGGGGCCGGTCAAAGCAAACAGTGCAAACACACGTGATGTTCTTCTTTTGAGGTGTCTGTTTGGAATGTTCACTAAGAGCAGCATCGTACTTGGTAAATGCAGTGTTCATGGGAACGGGGGAGCTTCGGATGCGTCATGGTATTTGATCTGTATAATTCTTTGACAGTTCTTCCCTCGTGCATCCATCGAATTCGCACTTGCGCCGGTGAGAATTGAGTCGCATTCAATGATACCTGGCTTCCTTGCGTTCTGTGCTTCCATACTTCTTATGATACCCATTTTTACCGACAGATTTGACTATATCTAATCTTCAATTACTCTCCACACACTTTGCTCTGGTCATTCCTTTCTTATTATCATGGCGACCCCCCAGGCAAAACCTGGCGCAACGCCAACCCATCTCTCCTCTCCCCACCCATCCTCCGCTCCTCTATCCCGATCTCTCGCCCATAAGTCGCCTTCAATGAGAACACCGACAGCCTCGGGGCCGGCCCATGTGCATCACACGAGTGTCTCGTCCCATCAATACGCTACCCCTCTCGCTGTACCCGGTGGGGTCGACGACACTGTGAATTTCAGCTCGCCTTCCGCTCTCTTAGCGCTCGGCGGGTATACTGGCATCAGTCCTTCTCCTGCGGTACATGATGGCCTTGTTGGCGCGGGCATGAACGAGAGCGACATGCAAAACCTCGGGATGCAGGGAATCAAGCTTGGAGTTGCACGCGACAACGACCAGGAGCAAAGACATCGCGTTGAGGAGGTTGTTCAACTTCTACGAGCGCGTGTCTCTGGTAGAGGAGTCTCACGTGAAAGTGTGGAACGATTGAGTCGCCTCGAAGATTTCGAATCCATTTGGCAAGACGATAATCTCAACATCGCTGGTAACTTTGTTGATCTTGAGATCGATTTTTACCCTGGCCTGGATGTTGTCAAAGATGTCAGCCTACGATATGCCACACCTGAGTACACGGAAGGTGTGCGGCGCGAGGAAGCTACAGCGGTCTTGAAGCGTACCCTCGCCCAGTCCCCGGAAGACGCCGAGTGTGGGAAATGGAGGTCACTCCAAGAGTTCCATGAAAATCTACGATGGCTTGCAAAGCTTGACAAACTCAGCCAAGAGGTCAATTGCTTTGAGGCCTTGGAAAACCTTGAAGAGAACTTCAGGCGGATCTGGGTGGAAGAAGGCAAGAATGGGAAGCACGGCGGCGAGTATCAGCATCTTTGCGCCGGTGTCCTCGGACGTCCCACCATGCACAAGGGGACTCGAATTGGGCTCGGCTTGGAATATTGGGTCGAACAAGCCAAAGTCCTGGATGCGAAGCAGAGCCTGCAATCTCCGGATGATATGGAGATAGACCCGCAACATGACCAAGAGTCAAAGGCCGAGTTGGATGACCAAACCAGATCATGGACCGTCAGGATTGAATGTGAAGAGGGGTATCCGTCACTGCGTATTTCGAAGGAATGGGTTGGGAATGAAGCTTTTACTGCAGGTGAAAGCACTGAATTGCTTCCATCAAATGGTGCTGCTGGATCTGTTAACTGGCTTGATCCTCCACAGACCACGCGGTTGACCCATGGTAACCATGATCCCATGGCGTTGGACTCTAGCATGCTGGAATCATCGCCGCCCAACCGGCGGTTCATCGGTAGACTAGAGCCTGCACTCGACGTTCCTATTCTTGCAGCCTCCGAGATTTACCGCCAGCTGGGTATGCAGCTACCACAAGAGTTCAAAATGATCACATACGATGCATTGCTGGTATCGGAATCTTTGCCGTTGGGGTCACCTATTTCATCCCCTCAAATTGGCCGTAGAAAGCGCCGGATCTCAGTGCATGCTGTTGACTCCAAGGGCGAGCAATATACGAAACAACATAACTACACTTTCCAATCCTTCGAATCTATTACTGGTTGCACCATCCGTGACTTACCCTTCTCGCACCCCCGACAGCTGGCAGATATCCTTCCGGTATGTGTCTTTTCGTCCAATATTGGCTTTTGACTAACTCGGTCTAGATCTTCCGGCAATATGCCGTGTTAGCCAATTTGATCCGGAAGACGTTCCATGTTTCCCCCAAGGATCAGGCCAACGCAAGCGAGTCTCCAAAGGCAACCCCCAAAAACACCCGCGCCCCTCTTGTCCAAACCCCGGACCTCTTCGCTGGTCACGATGGGCCTATAATCTTGAACAACGATGATCCTAACGAGGAGAGATTGAATCTGCTACTAGGCCTGAGTAGCTCAGATGGTAGCAAGACTGACTCAGGGGTCGAAATCTCAACTCCCTCCAGTGGAGGAAAAAGTCCCAATCAACTTTCCGTGGACGACGTCAAAGTCGACGTGACATTGCGTATTCAACTCGGCCAAGCGCCTGCTCTCATGCTGCTCATCACCGACCAGAGAAACTACAACGAGAGCCCCGAAACCGCTCGATTCATCCAACCCCCCAGACAAATTGCAATTTGCTTTGAAGTCGGGCTGAACGGTCATATCTCGGTTGTGGATACTGCTGGACTAGTGAACGGTGAAACGGGTGGCGACACTGAAATGCAGGGTATGGATGACCTTGATTCAGGTCTCCAAGACGTACAAAAGAAGATCGCCAGAGTGCTTGAGGTCTCGCAGGACTTGAGCATCTTGGTTGAGTGGGTATTGCGTTGGAAGCAACAGCGTGCTGGCAATGGGTGAGATCCAGTGGCACTGAGATACAGCATTCCTGTATTCACAGACCAAGGCGATTCCTAGTCTCACAATTGCTCATAACTCATGCTTGATGTTGACATGCAGACCGCTGAGGCGCAGTCGTACATTGGTCGTAATGTACAGTGTGGCTAGTGTAGGACCTTGCTAGCTGAACTAGCAGCTGGCGCTCGCGGTAACCCCACCATCCAAGCTACTTCAGGGCTCTTCTGCCACACAACTCATAATCCATGAGCTACTTGTTGGCTACCCTGTCACCAATTTCTACGTGATTGAGACCTGGATATCTAAATTCTAGATAATCTCGACTTATGCAATATGAGCAGTGATATATATATCAACATCATCATTCATGAAATAAGTTGAAACTTACACGAAATCACAACCGTTTTCTAGCTCTATATATAACGAGAGATAGAGAGGAGGGGCTAGTCATGATCCTGCCACTAGGTACTGGGAAGCACCTCTCATACGTTGCGTATAGGAGTCTCGCAAATATGCTTTTTTAACTGCTGTCTTCGACTATTTTCACTCAAGTCGCAAGAATTTTCCTTCACTAGCTAAAATAGCCTCGAGCCGGCCAGCGCTAGTCATGCAAGGTCACGATCCTGGCTAGGCTCCTGATCAACAGAGTTTCGGAAAGGGTACTGGTTTCATGAGAATATGTGCCTCGCCTAACGGTTATCTCTTTCCGTCTATATGTCGTTTTGATAGCCATAACCAAAGTGAAATCATTGAACTTTGATTTTGCCGCCATGGGTCAACAGACTACCCGCCATCTTATAGCGGTTTTCTTCAAAGCGTGTATATATATATATAAGCATGAACGGAATGATATAGATTGAAGCCCGAGATGACTAGAGAGATACCAAAAGAAGAGAGTACACGTGAAAGGGAAGAAAATCCTTATCCTCCCAACCAACTAGAAAAACATTGAGTAGGACCGAGACATTTTGACACTTGCCTTCAGCACGAACATAGTCATAGAATTGATTTGCTTGTTACATGTGAACTACCCATGTCTGCTTCAGCTAGCGCAATTCACATTCACTATCTCCAACTTGCATTTAATATGACACGATGTTTCTTTAATGTTCCTCTACCCCTGAAGATACTAAGATCTTTCCAAAATAATGCAGATCTGTCATATGGACGCATACCACATACAGATGTTGTATGCAGGTGTACCTAAGATGTGACTGTTTCAGAGTCGATCAGATAAAGTCTAGGCCCTAAATATGATGCGGGGGTTGTGGACCGTGTCGACAAGGTGCGTCACTGGCTAGTCCATACTTCCCGAGGTCTACGGAGACGGTTACTTGGAATATGACATAGACCAGGCGTAAACAGGGCTAGATCGACATTGACTGGTTAGAGTGAGTACCATACCTAAACGGACCAACCCTGCATTGTATCTGCATGTAATAGAGTTGGGCGTCAATAGCAATGGTTGTAGACGTATGATATTGTGTTATTTTCCTAAATCGGTTGTAGGTCTTAGATGTAGTATATTGACCTGGGATTGTAGATGAGGCATTAGATCTCGGTGAATGCATCTGCTTGGTGCAAGGGATACCACCATGCCAGTACCATCTAATAGCTGAGGCATTATTCGATCTTCAAGTCACATGAAGAAGTGAGGGCTTAGCACTGACCATTCGTGTAATTAACCGTAGATGGGCGCCTTTGAGGCTTTTACAATAGCCCCCCAGTTAGATGGATCTATCTATGTCATAGTGCTTGGCGACCTCGCTAGAACAAGGAACGACCTTTTTTTTGTCCATCTTCCTTCTTTTTTGTTTCCAAGCAAATATGTGCAATCTTTGCCTTCGCTTGAGTCATAAGTGGATTTCAGAAGCAAGTTCTTTGGGATCTGAATGACTAAACGCGGTGACAGGCTGGGCAGGAAGTCCGTCAGTATAAAGTCTTGGCACAGGGACCACTATATCCCAAACGGGCTGGTGATCAATATCAGAAACCATATTTTGGAGCCTGAAGATCCAACTGGTATAACTATGT